AAAATCACAGAGCAGAACCAATTCAGATCTGACCGTTCTGGCTAGAGCACTGTGTTCCATCCATCACCCTCCACGTCGGCATTGGAATCATGGCTTCACTCGTGCCTCTACCGCCGTTTGCCCCAGCCTCTGAATCATGGGACTCCTACCTCGCTCGGTTCGACTGCTACCTCCAAGCAAATGAGCTGACAAGAGGGTCTGTAGAGCAGAGGCAGAGCCTCTTCCTCACCCTTTGTGGCCCCAAAGTGTTTGTGACGGCCCGAGCATTGGTTGCGCCTCTAGCAGTCCAGGCAGAGCCGTGGGACATGATTCAAGAGAAGCGCTGCAACCACTACGCGCCAAAGCCGTCCAAGATTGCTGCCTGCCATGCGTTCTACCACCAGAACCAGGCAGAGGGGGAGTCAATTAAGAACTACACCACCGCCCTCCGACAGGCTGCAATGCACTGCGAGTTCCGAGATTTAGACGATGCCCTGATGGTTCGAATCATCTGCGGGGTCCGGGACATCTGTCTGCAACGGCATCTCCTCGCCAAGCCAGACCTCACCTCATGCTGCAGAAAGCTACTGAGGAGGCTGTGGCCTCAGAAGCTGCTGAACTCTCCGCCCAGGAAATCCGCAAGGCCAGTAGCCCATATTTAAAAGACTATGTTCACTGGACAAACTGTACATGTAAAGCTGTATGGTGAATAGGGTCAATAAATATGCTTATGTGCCTTACTGAAAACAATAAGGGTATTGCTGTATGTAATGGAACCACTATGATTGTAACTAATGCCTTATCTCGGTAGGGAGGGGTGTTATGTATTGAAGTTCTCACCCTAGCCACCAGGAGTATCATGTATATAGTTTTCACTCAGGTCCACGTCAGTTACTTTAGGCGGGAAACCCTGGGTTGTTGTTGCTACAATGTTGACAGCCGGTTGCCTATAAAAGCAGGTCGGCTGAGCTGTTTGCTGTTCAGTTCTGTTCTAGCTTACAAATAAAGAGCTGCTTTGAAGAATCGCTGTGTCGTCTGATATGTTCACCCACAACTTAACAATCAGTACAAAAACATTCACAGTGCAGAACGTCTCAATTCCCTGTCTTGCTCAGTCACTAGCAGAATCTGGGAGCGGGCAGTCCTTAAACTTTCTCCAGCAGAGTAGTCTTTTGACCCCCATCCTACGCCTCCCCTCTCTATAATATAGAGGCGGAGGAAGTGCTGCTTCTCACAATCTTTGGAGGCTCCCTGTAACCCAACTGCCCTTCCACCTCTCGCCTCTGAGACGATGGCAGTTCCCTGACAGTCGCAAACCTGGAAGTAGGTGTTCCGGTTTGTGAACTTGGCCTCGGAAGCCGAAGTCCGGCGCGGCTTGGTTTCCGAACATTTCGGAAGTTGAACGGACTTCCAGAATGCACTATGTTCCAAAACCAAGGTAAGACTGTACTGGCTTCATCTTATTATCCCCTCTCCAAAAAAAAAAAATCTCTTCACAATTTGTAAAAAAAGAAAAGAGGAAGAAATTTATTAAGGCCAGATGCAAATCCAGCTGCCTCAAGAAAGCCTCAGTCCAGCTGCTGAGAGGATGAGAAACCTAAGGAAGGAAATTGTTCAGTCTGTTTTCTACAATTTGGCGTTCCTGAACCTGCTTAAAATCAAAACACAACTATCAATCGGATTACAGACTTCTCCAGATTCTACAGAATCAGTCCCCAAAAGTGCAAATATTTTACATTTAAAATGCAGATAAAATACATATTTTAGGGGTGGAGGAATTGTGTTGCAAGATGTTTGTTTTATTGAAAGAGTGCAAATGAAATGTGTGCAATTTAAACAGGTTTTTGTGTGCTTTCTTTCAGAAAGTGTGCAAAAAATGGAATGGAACCCAGACTTTATGAATGGGTACTAACACAGAATAGACTTAGGATGCTCCATCCATCCTTAGAGAGGCACCAGGCATGGAGTCTGGTCTTCTGCGCCATTGCCCCATTGCTTTGGCTATTGGTAAATTTAAGTATTTTCATTCTGTGTACTGCTGCTTAGGTGGAAGAAAGCATTTGCAACTTAAATTGTTAGAAATACTCTATTACCACAGTAGAAAAAGAGCTGCTTTTGGACACGAAGAGATAGGTCAAATAACTACTCCATGCATTTTATGCCTTATGCAAGTCACTATCTGTGAAAGTAAGACATCTCTGTGGTGAGAGTGAAATTTAGGCATCTCCATGGTGCGAGCAGAATGGCTGTTTTCAAAAGTTTTAGTGTTTTATCACTTGTAAAGGGTGATACATCAAATGACACATTTAAGTTGTTTAGTCTCAAGTTTCTCACTTAAAAGCAAAACCCCACACAGTATAAATGGAAATCATTTGTCATTCTAATATAGTTTTTGGCACATTTTAAAAAATCAATCAACAAAGTGCAAAACATTTTACAGGAAGAGATTTGTGCCTCCTGGAACTGGAACATCATCCTAGATTTGCTTTTCTGACACACACACTTTCTGATGGAGCTTATTGGATTTTTTTTTTTAAGGATCTGTTCTACTGGAGGGCTAAACAACTGGACTGAGTATCTTTATAGCCTGTACAACCCAAATATTATAAACCAAGCAGAAATGAAGGAGGGGATCATTATTCAAACAATGTGTTATCTCTGAAGAAAAACATGAGAAAGACCATGCAAACTGCAAGTTGCTGAGGGCCAGTCACATGCTATATCCATATGAAGGCTGCTCCATATGGCTCCATATGGCACAGGACATCATGCCCATTTGCTTGCAGCTGTATGCTACATCGGCAGATGCAATCGTCGGCCAATTTTTTAAGAGTTCAGGAGAACACCAAGGGATGGAACGCTCCCTTCCCTTACTTTCCACCATTCTCCACTCTGGTGCAATATCTTGAACCATGGTTAAATATTTTACTGGTCGCAGTGTGAACCATGGTTAATGCTATCCATGATTCACACTGTCAGGGGACTGCCATCAAGAGGGGAGAAGGAGGTAGGAACGTACAGAGAGCCTCCCACTTTGATCAGCAGTAACACTTCATCAGAGACTGGTGTTAGAACGGAAGAATCATAGAATCATAGAGTTGGAAGAGACCACAAGGGCCATCGAGTCCAACCCCCTGCCAAGCAGGAAACACCATCAGAGCACTCCTGACATATGGTTGTCAAGCCTCTGCTTAAAGACCTCCAAAGAAGGAGACTCCACCACACTCCTTGGCAGCAAATTCCACTGTCGAACAGCTCTTACTGTCAGGAAGTTCTTCCTAATGTTTAGGTGGAATCTTCTTTCTTGTAGTTTGGATCCATTGCTCTGTGTCCGCTTCTCTGGAGCAGCAGAAAACAACCTTTCTCCCTCCTCTAGATGACATCCTTTTATATATTTGAACATGGCCATCATATCACCCCTTAACCTCCTCTTCTCCAGGCTAAACATGCCCAGCTCCCTTAGCCGTTCCTCATAAGGCATCGTTTCCAGGCCTTGGACCATTTTGGTTGCCCTCCTCTGGACACGTTCCAGTTTGTCAGTGTCCTTCTTGAACTGTGGTGCCCAGAACTGGGACAGGTGAGGTCTGACCAGAGCAGAATACAGTGGCACTATTACTTCCCTTGATCTAGATGCTATACTCCTATTGATGCAGCCCAGAATTGCATTGGCTTTTTTAGCTGCCGCGTCACACTGTTGGCTCATGTCAAGAAAGGTGGGAAGAGGGGAGGGAAAGGCTCACAGACTTATCTGCGAGCCCCAGCACCGATCCCAGGGAAGCTAATAGGGAAACAGAGATGCAACTTCCGTCGCCTAGTTTTGGCAGGGGAGTCAAGCGTAAGGGGAAAAGGCGGAGACTGGGCGTGTCAAGGTTCTTATGCTTGGGGGGACGGGACAGGAAAAGCCCACTCTCAGAATCTGCTAGCGACTGAGGGAGACATGAACTTTGGGTGTCTGCACTGTACATAGTTTGCACCAAATAAAACCTGTAAAAAGGCAGGTCGGAGTCCTGGCTGTTTACTCATGAGCATCCATACTCATTCCTCACACACACACACACCCCAAGCAAACTCTACTTTAGAGGAAGTCTGGCTTGCATTAAACACAGATAACTTTGGTGTCACAGTCACTCGAAGAAGGGAAGTGTGGAGGGGATAGAAAGGAGCAGGGATGGAGAACCTTCATTCTGTGATCCGCCCTGAGATCTTATGATGAAGTGATGAATGAAGGGCAGTATATAACATCGGCATAGCAACCCCCACTTTTTAAAAGAGATGTTGATTTATTTATTTTTTAGGAAGGCAGCCCTGTTCAGGGAAGTTTTTAATGTGTGACATTTTAATGTATTTTTAACCTTTCTTGGAAGCCGCCCAGAGTGGCTGGAGAAACCCAGCCAGATGGGCGGGGTACAAATAATAAATTGTTGTTGTTGTTTGTTGTTGTTGTTGTTGTTGTTGTTGTTGTTGTTAGGAGGTCACCCAAAGTTGTTGAGCTTTTTGGGGAACTGCGCCAAAACTTCCTTACCTGGCTTAGCCTGTGGTGTGTGGTGCCCAGCCACCTTCATGATGCCCTGCACCCACCGCATGGTTAAATAATAATAACCTGTGGCTCTCCAGGTAATGCTGGACTCTCTTCATCCCCAGCCAGCATGGCCAATGGTCAGGGGTGATGGGAATTGGAGTCCAACAATATGCAGAAGGTCACACGCTCCCTACTTCTGATCTAGACAGTCTCTGAGCAAGATAGACTTTCCCAAGGCTACCCAACTGATCTGTGACCGAGCAGGAAGTACATCCTAGGCTCCCAATTTCAAATGTGATGCTTGATCTGCTTTACTAGAAGCACTATTCCTCTATTCATGCCGTGTTTCTGGTATTAAAACTTTTTATTGAAAACTTCTTTCATTCACAAGGAAATAGGTGAGCCTGCTGGTCCATTTATTCACTCCCAGTGGTCAGGAGAGACCTTTTGACTCAGGTTGAGCACATTAAACAGCCAACAAACAAGCCTAGAAGTCACTTACCGTCACTGTAATCAATGGGAGCATAAGCCCCTAGGAAAAGGGAGGCTGCAAAGCTGCTGACCAAAGAGATCCTCTGGAAGAGAAAAGGGAAATGAGAAAGTGGACGCAAAATACATTCGTTTTGATTTACAAACAGATCAAGGGCTCATTCCAATTTTTTTAAAAAAGCATTTTTAAAGTTCCACTTTCTTTTTTTTATTTTCTTTTTTTTTAAATGCTTTTTATTAATTTTCACAGACAAAAGAGAATAAAGAAAAACATAAGATACAAATTATAAAAATAAAAAAGGGGGGGAGAGAAATAAAGCAATCTTTTAAAGTCAACATTTTGTACCGTTCCACTTTCAATGGAAGAGTTAGGCAGATACTAAAAAACGTTTTCTTGACCAGTAGGGCTTATGGGTCCTGAACTTCCCAAAGAGTGGCTTTGGCCCAAGTATACAAAGGCAATAGGGCGCTGGGAGTCACCTCTGCAGATATACCAGGGGGGCAAAACAACACAATGCAAGTAGGGTGAAAAATCAGGACCCATGCTCCAAAACATAACCAATTCAGGGAAGGCAGATCAAAGCTCAATAAAGCATACACTTTGCCTGCAGGTGGTCTAGGGAGTCAACTCTTGGCATTTCCAGTAAAAGCAAAGAGGTAGCGAGTGGCCCAGGAGAGCTCTCTCTGACCAGAAACCTGAAGATGGTGCCAGACTATGCTGAATAGCAGCCTGAGCAAGTATAAGGCAGCTTCTTCATTTCCTTATACAGTGGTACCTCGGGATGCAAACAGGATCCGTTCCGGAGCCCTGTTCACATAATGAACAGAACGTAAGACATGACAGCGCGTCTGCGCATGCGTGGGTAGCATTTCGCCGCTTCCGCGCATGCGCGTGACGTCATGTTGACTGTCTGCACATGCGCGAGCAACGAAACCCAGAAGGAACGCGCTCCGTTACTTCCAGGTCGCCGCGAAGTGCAACCTGAAAGCGCTCAACCTGAAGCATATTTATCCCGAGGTATGACTGTATACAGTATACCATATAGATCATGGGTAGGCAAACTAAGGCCCAGGGGTCGGATCCGGCCCAATCACCTTCTAAATCCGGCCCGGAAATCAGCATGTTTTTAAATGAGTAGAATGTGTCCTTTTATTTAAAATGCATCTCTGGGTTATTTGTGGGACCTGCCTGGTGTTTTTACATGAGTAGAATGTGTGCTTTTATTTAAAATGCATCTCTGGGTTATTTGTGGGGAATAGGAATTTGTTCATATTTCCCCCCCCAAAAAATATAGTCCGGCCCCCCACAAGGTCTGAGGGACAGTGGACCGGCCCCCTGCTGAAAAAGTTTCCTGACCCCTGATATTGATACTGAACTCTGTTGGGCACAGCTGTAGGCCAAAGGTGGATGCAAAGGGGCCAATTTTTGTTCTGCACTTGCAAGGAATCAGTCCTTCAGTTTCACAGCATCTGCACTTTGGTTTTACTGTTTTCAGTGCCTGCCAAAGCCTCTCCTGCTCCAGCATGCCTGCCCACCCATGTAATTGTGACATGTATTTTAATATGCAACTTTATTTTATAACGTATATTTTAAAAACTGATTATTTTGTTTTGGGGGGGGAACATAGGCTACCTAACTAACATCTGATTTCACTGGTAATTTTAATGAATATTTTATGCAGACTGTTTAGACAGTTTGATGATTAAGCAGCATAAAAAGTCTCCTGTGCATTTATCAACTGTACTTTTCTGCCGTATGAAGCTTAACAGTTATGGAAATACCCAGGCCTTTAGCCATTAAATAATCTATGGCCTGTTAAAGCCGGGGGGGTTGTTATTAAGGCTGTTATTATGATTTCATTATTGATGCTCCGTAAAATGTTTTATATGTTATACACCACCCTGGGATCTTTTGATGAAGGACAGTATATCGATCAAATAAATAACTTGTGAATATCAGGTGAATTCTTAAGTGGTTAGGATACACAGTTGGCATCCCTAAGTTTGGGTGCAATCCTTCTAGCACCCAGTAAAAAAAAGAGTATTTATTTGGATAAGCATTTAAAATTGCTGCAAGTTGATTTTATTGACTACATTCATTGCATAATTATTATTATTATTATTTCAAAAAGTATGTTATGCTTAAAATTCTACAAGGCAGGCTTAGGCAGTATGTGGACCGAGAACTCCCAGAAGTGCAAGCTGGATTTCAAAAGGGCAGAGGAACCAGAGACCAAATTGCAAACTTGTGCTGGATTATGGAGAAAGCTAGAGAGTTCCAGAAAGACATCTACTTCTGCTTCATTGACTACACAAAAGCATCTGACTGTGTCAACCCCAGCAAACTATGGCAAGTCTTAAAGAAATGGGAGTGCCTGATCACCTCATCTGTCTCCTGAGAAATCTCTATGTGGAACAAGAACCTACAGTTAGAACTGGATATGGAACAACTGATTGGTTCAAAATCGGGAAAGGAGTACGACAAGGCTGTATTTTGTCTCCCTGCTTATTTAACTTATATACAGAATTCATCATGCGAAAGGCTGGGCTGGATGAATCCCAAACTGGAATTAAGATTGCTGGAAGAAATATCAACAACCTCAGATATGCAGATGACACAACCTTGATGGCAGAAAATGAGGAGGAATTAAAGAACCTTTTAATGAGGGTGAAAGAGGAGAGAATATGGTCTGAAGCTCAACATAAAAAAAAACCTAAGATCATGGCCACTGGTCCCATCACCTCCTGGCAAATAGAAAGGGAAGAAATGGAGGCAGTGAGAGATTTTACTTTCTTGGGTTCCATTATCACTGCAGATGGTGACAGCAGTCACGAAATTAAAAGACGCCTGCTTCTTGGGAGAAAAGCGATGACAAGCCTAGACAGCATCTTAAAAAGCAGAGACATCACCTTGCCAACAAAGGTCCGTATAATTAAAGCTATGATTTTCCCAGTAGTGATGTCTGGAAGTGAGAGCTGGACCATAAAGAATTGATGCTTTTGAATTATGGTGCTGGAGGAGACTCTTGAGAGTCCCATAGACTGCAAGAAGAACAAACCTATCTATTCTGAAGGAAATCAGCCCTAAGTGCTCACTAGAAGGACAGATCGTGAAGCTGAGGCTCCAGTACGTTGGCCACCTCATGAGAAGAGAAGACTCCCTGGAAAAGACCCTGATGTTGGGAAAGATGGAGGGCACAAGGAGAAGGGGACGACAGAGGATGAGATGGTGGGTCAGTGTTCTCGAAGCTACCAACATGAGTTTGACCAAACTGCGGAAGGCAGTGGAAGACAGGAGTGCCTGGCATGCTCTGGTCCATGGGGTCACAAAGAGTCGGACACGACTGAATGACTAAACAACAACAATGGATTGTACACAACTTTGAATGCGTAAAAAAGAATGAAGCCTGGTATAAAAATGTTTTAAGTATATGGATTGGTAGTCAGAAAGCCAGGCATTGCCCATGTTTAACAAAATGGTTGGGGCTGAAGCCAAAACCACCAGGATGTACATTTCAGCAGCGGCTCTTGCTAAGTATTTTTCAAAAAAAACCAAAGCATTTTCCATTTAGTGAGAATTTGTTTGTTTAACTGTTGCCTTATTTATGCTAGTACAATTTGTGCAACTAAGTTCCTCTCCAAAATATCTAGGCAAAACAAAAATCAGCTCTGATTTCCAATAAGTGAACTGAAGATTAGCCCACCTCTGTGTGTGTGTAGACCTCGGGGTTCTGGCTGTAAATCTTCGCTATCTGGTTTCCTGTAAAACGCTGCAAAAGACAGGCCAATGCTTAGGAACACAAACTGTAAATTGAGTCAATAACCATTAACTCGGCATAATGAGTTCAGGACGCTGCACTTTGGGTATTTAATTTGTCTGACGCATGATGGAAGTTGTTTTTCGGTTGCAATAGGCACAAAACAGACTATTATGCATCGGCTCATTATGATAATTCTGCTCGCCTTTCGAAAAAGCAGGAGAAAAATGAAAACTGCAGCAAGAGAATTCCTGGCCACAATTTACATTCCAGAAATGACAGATCAACGGAATGTGCAATGCTGGTTGGCTAGGCACACTCCCATCGCAATCCAGGAATCGCCTCAAGTTCTTAACTGGTTAAAGTCATTCAGTCTGTACAACTCAGCAAGAAGACTGGTTAGATCCACACTAGCTTCAAATTAAAGTTGCCGAGGACCTTTGCTGAAACCGACTTACCGTATTTTTCCATGTATAGCATGCCCCCATGTATAACACCCCCATATTTTAGGGGTCTAAAAACTAAGAAAATGGGGGAAGATTGTGCAGAGTTGTTGAGCTTTTTGGGGGGGTTACCTAAATACGCTCACCCACCAGACAAACGCTCCCACCAGACCAATACTTCTGATCACACGCAACGCAGAAGCAACCAATCGTCAGACCGCTCGCCGCCGACAGCTTAAAATCACCCGTCCAATTGCCGCGGCAGCAACCAATCGGCTGTAGCCACCAATCAGCCGCACTGTCGCCGCTGACAATCTTCTGCTTGCGGCAGCAAAAAATTCCCCGTCCCTCCCTCTGCACTTCACATGTATAAGATGCCCCCAATTTTTTATGTTTTAACGTAAAAAAAACCCTAGTCTTATACACGGAAAAGTACAGTAGAGTGGTACCTCAGGTTACGTACTTAATTCGTTCCAGAACAGATTCTTAACCCGAAACTGTTCTTAACCAGAGGTGTGCTTTCACTAATGGGGCCTCCTGCTCAACCCGAGGTACTTCTCAACCCAAGGTACTACTTCCGGGTTTGCGGAGTTTGTAACCCGAAGCATTTGTAACCCGAAGTACCACTGTACTTCTCAACTGGGGGTCTTAACATCAGCATAAAAAACTAGGGAAGCTGTGGGGAACCTCCAGCTCATGCACCTTTCTTGACACACACACACCCCAAAGAGGTCCAAGATCAGTAGGGGCGGGACTCAGTCCTGCTGAGTGTTGCTTACTAGCACATTTCAGGAATGCACTAGCAAAGCAGTCCCCTGCAGAGAGAAGGATTGAAGCTTCTGCCCATCGATTGATGAGTGTAGAGTAGATGAAGTGGATCCCTCTCTCCACCCTTGTAGAACAACTCTGACAGGTAGACAGAACTACCCACCTGTCAGTCACCTGCTATCATCACAGCATCAGATGGCTGTCAGGTGGGGAACTAGGCCCACCTGTCAAAGTTTGGCCAATGAGGCCAAAATGGTTTTTCACCCCTCAATAGGAGGTATGCATTCCCCTTTAGAGAAGAGGGCGTAATCATAATTCCCCTAACTGTAACTGTTATCTGAATTGGAAAAATACTTCTTTCATTAAATTTTTATCCTGCTATTCCTCCGAGGAGCTCAACGCAACAGTCTCCCCGGCCCATTTTATCCTAACAGCAAAATAATTTAAATACTTTGTTCAGCCAAAGACCTTATTCATGGGTGTATGAGCAGGAGAGAAGATACAAGAAGTGGGAACCTTGTGCCCTTAGCATCTGGCGCACACAAAAACCTCTTGGAATGACTTGTTCTCATTTCCAAGAACAGCCTCAAAAGCCGAGCTTTAGCCTCGCTTCTCAGCTCTCACCTCGTAGGCTCGTGAGCCGGTGACCTCAGCTAGTTTCTGAGCCCCTCCGACAGCTTTTTCCAGAGAGCAGCACTGGGCAGTTGTGCTGGAATCCATCCAGACAGGGCTGTTGCTGACAGAAAAGCAAGACTATCGGGGATGAGAAAAAAACAGCGTCAGAAAAGTGGTCAGTGCCAAACCAGCAAGCTGGTTTAGGAACAATTGCACATATCTATTTTGCATGGGACGTGGGTGGCGCTGTGGGTTAAACCACAGAGCCTAGGACTTGCCAATCAGAAGATCGGCGGTTCGAATCCCCGCGACGGGGTGAGCTCCCGTTGCTTGGTCCCTGCTCCTGACAACCTAGCAGTTCGAAAGCACGTCAAAGTGCAAGTAGATAAATATGTACCACTCTGGCAGGAAGGCTAACGGTGTTTTCATGCGCTGCTCTGGTTCACCAGAAGCAGCTTAGTCATGCTGGCCACATGACCCGGAAGCTGTACGCCGGCTCCCTCGGCCAATAAAGCGAGATGAGCGCCGCAACCCCAGAGTCGGCCATGACTGGACCTAATGGTCAAGGGGTCCCTTTACCTTTACTATTTTGCATACCAACATGTGATTACAAGGCGGAAGAGACCATGTGCGAGTCTCTATAGCTGGCCAAAAGAGTTTTTGCTACATCACTCTCTGGTCTGAAGCAGATGCAGCCGGGCAGGAACTGCCTCCTTTCATAGCCCGAGGCAGCACAAAATGAAGCAAGATGTGTCGGCCTGCAAAGGGAAAAGGTCTGCCTCTTTGGCAGCATCAATAGAGGAGGGAAATGCATTTATCCTATAAGACAAATACTTAGGACCCAAGAATAAGGCTGGATTTGGATTATGCAGATGGGGAAACCTGGTTTGTGTTGGCTATTTGCAGTGTGGTAGCGCTGCAGAGAGCTTGCTGGGGAGACCATGCATAAACAAGGAACTCAAAAATATCTTAAACAAGGTTTTCATAACAAAACAAAAACTCCTTATACACTAAATACATCAACAACAAACCAGACCCAACCACCAACCCATCCCCCAGGGTAATGGGAGAGCTAGGTGCTGCTCCTTATATACTGTACCCAATTGCTGACACAGCTTGATTAACACAACTCAGCAGCACCTGCTATGTTTCACAGCTGCAAGACTGGGTCTCGTTATTTGCCTTGGCCCTGGCCCTTAAAGACACACACAACTTGTGAAGCAATAATGAACCTTCACATTTTAAAGTGACCATTCAACAGTTTGAACCTGATGTCATGGCTGCAGAAGAGTGATGGGAGGCACCAACTGGGGAACAGCAAAGGGAACCCCCGGGGAAGAAGGTTCAGAGCCAGGGGACTGATGGTGGGACGACAATGAGTGGCCAGAGGGAGAAGATGGAGCAGACTAGGAGGAGGAGGAGGTGTCAGAAGCTGAAGAGGCAACAGGGTTTAGTGCATGAGTAGGCAAACTAAGGCCCGGGGGCCAGATCCAGCCCAATCGCCTTCCAAATCTGGCCTGCGGATGGTCTGGGAATCAGCATGTTTTTACATGAGTAGAATGTGTCCTTTTATTTAAAATGCATCTCTGGGTTATTTGTGGGGCATAGGAATTCGTCCATTCCCCCCCCCCAAATATAGTCCGGCCCTCCACAAGGTCTGAGGGACAGTGGACCGGCCCTCTGCTGAAAAAGTTTGCTGACCCCTGGTTTAGTGAGTCGGACGAAGCTGTGGCAGAGCGCAGTCCGGTCTCCGTGACAGGAGAGGAGCAGGACCAAGAGACAGAGTTGAGGCAGGTTTCTGAAGAATCCAGGGAGTCTCCTCCTGCTGCTGTCACCAGCTCCCCTCCTCCCTGGTCTCCCAGAACATATAGAGAAATGAAGAGGGCAGAGCAAAGAGAGACAAGACGGTGGAGTCTTAGGCTGCTGGGCACTGGGATAGGAGCCTTAGAGAGCGGTGGGAAGGTGGGGACCTTCAGTCCTCGCAACTGCTTCATTGGGGAATCAACTGTTGCTGTTGCTGTGATCACTAGGCCTGCGCTGTTTTAGTTTATTTGAATGAAGAGTTAACTTCATTCATAAAGAGATGCTTCATTCATAAAGCACCGGGTGTTTTATTGACCTCCACCCAACTCCAGCTCCTGACACCCATACTCAGCCAGGAACTTCACCCATGATGCCAGGAGCTATCAGAGTTCAGCCCTATCTAGACCTGGGGTCTTTGCAGAGGGAGCAGGACTCTCCAGCAGATCCCAGCACCACCTGTAACCCTGAGGAGCCACTGGATCCAGACACCCCAACCATCTGGATTTCTGGCTGGCTCTCAGAACCCCCTTCGTCACCCACAGGGCCACAAAAGCGGAGGACTGGCAGGAGATTCAGAGCTGCCAGTGAAATGCCTGGATCGCTGTACATGAGGCTACTTGGGAAGTAGAAGCATATGGAAGCACCTGCCCAGATCAAGATCTGTCCGAGAGCCAGGAAAGGGTGACACCTCCAGCTCCTATGTAAGCTCCCAGCCTGAGCTGCTTTGCTGCTGAAGCAGCAACTCCCTTAACAGATCCAAGCCTTCCTGAACCAGGAAAACAGATATAGTTCTAGAAACCAGGAACCAAGGTTATGTTCATGGCTTTAGCGTGTGATGAGCCACTGAGACTAGAAGGTTGGAGCCTTTCCCTGAGCAGTGGAGTTTGCAGGTATTGGCTCCTTCCAACAGCAAAGGCTTTAAAGGCGTCCAGTTCATACACCCGCCACTGTTATACACTTCTTGTTCAGAGGAAGAAAAAGAAAGCATCTTGTCTGCATCATCATTTGTGCTTATCCTTTGCTAAAAGGAATGCAAAGCATGCTTCAATTATTTCTAAAGTCAGCAAGGAGCTGGGAAAGTGAGCGAGGCCTTTAAGGGTCAATGAGCAACAGTGGACTTAAACGTCCTTCCAAACTCCTAAGATAAGTTACCTTCAGGGACTGATGCAAAGGAAGATCAGGCGATAGGTTTTGTAAAACAGAGTTTGCACCTTCTTTCCAGTAGACGCTTCCATGTTGCTGTTAAGAGAGCAAAGGCATAAAATAAAAGCAGAGTGGCAAGTTAAGATTCATATCTGGATTCCCACCAACTTTAAAATACACTTGCATGCTACTAGAACATCAATAATGGTGCCTTTTAAGGATACTAAAATAAGCTTGAAGGCAAGGCCATTTTCATTATCACAAATCATGCCGGTAACGGAGGCTCGCCCATGGCAGGGGCACACTCCCAGATCACTCCCATTCTGCCTTCTAAACCTACTTGGCTCAAACTCCAACTCTCCACAGGCTTCAATGGTCAGTGCAAGGGCTCCTGGGATTCCACTTGCAATGGTTCATGGGATTGCTAGGCGCTGTTTTCACACCTTTTTGCCCTTTCTGGGCTCTTTTTAGGCTGTTTTTGCAATTCTTAAAGTCATTTCCAGGTTTCGTGTGATGCATGTGTGCATGGTAGTACATCAATTGGCTGTTGCCTGCGCATGCAATCCAGAATAAAGGTTCTCCCACTCTTTACCACACACCCCTCTATACTTTTAACTGACCTGCCCAGCTCCAGACAAAGCTTTCACTCTGGAGAAGTTAAATCCAGAAGACTTCATCTTTTCCAAGATCATATCCAGGGCCTAGAAGAACAAACATGATCAAGACTGACTGCTGCGCTCCAGGAAATTATGAATCCCAACAGGCTTCAGAATTAAATAGGTAGATTCCTGTCATCAGTGACAGAGAAGAAAAATGGAAGAATTGGATAATCAGTAGAAGGTCTCTCGAGAAACTGAAATGATTAGCACGCTGAATAAAAGCATTTTTCAGATGAAGAGAGGGGGGGAAACCTTCAAACAAGTTTAGTACACATGCTAATTTTCAGGGCCAAACTAAACATCACAAATACAAACTTCAGATGAATAAATCTTCATCTATTAATTTAATTCAATTAACAGTGCAATCTTAACCAGATATACCCAGATGTAAGTTGTATTTAATTCAATGGAACTTACTGCCAGGGAAGTGGGGTTAGGATTCCACCACAATCTATTAAACTTGAATAAAAAAACAACAACAAACAAACAAACAAACCAGCAGTTCTGAAGCAAAAAGCACATGTTCTTTGTTTCTAAGATGATGCATGCTTGCTTTGTAGCAGGCACCATCTTATAAGAAGCATCCCTCCTATCTCTCACAGCCAGGAAGCCTCTTCCATAATTGAAAAAGAGCAAACTACAAACACTAGATACCGTATTTTTCGCCCCATAGGACGCACCGGCCCATAGGACGCATCAAGTTTTTTTGGGGGGGGAATGAAGAAAAAAAATTATTCCCCCCCCCCCGGCGCTTGTGAGGCCGGCAGCGGGGAGAAGCGCTATTCTCCCCGCAGTCCGCCTTCAGACCAGGTCCAGGGACAGCGGGAAGACGCGCTGCGCCTCCCAGCTGTCCCCGGAGCTTGCAGGACAGGTAGTGGGGAGAAGCGCTCTTCTCCCCGCCGCCCGCCTTGAGATCAGGTCCAGGGACAGCGGGGAGACGCGCTGCGTTCCACCTCCCTCTGTCCCCCGACCTTGTGGGGCTGGCGCTGGGGCTCTCCTGACTTCAGTGAAAGCCTGCATTCGTCCCATAGGACGCACACACATTTCCCCCTCATTTTTGGAGGGGAAAAAGGGCATCCTATAGGGCGAAAAATACGGTACTTGAATTAAAAATTGTGTAGAAATAGAGATTTAAGCCTGCTGTCCTTTTTCCAGTTGAAAGGGTTAGAGTAATAAATCAAAAGCCATAGAATAAATTAAATATTTCCATCTTAATTACCATGAATCTGCATGTAACATTAATCCAACAATTCATTCTCTTTTGCAAAGTGCTTTTGGGAGGTGGCAATTTGCAGCAGAGGAAGAGACATGAAGGGAAATACCACATATGTTTCCCAGGCTGACTGTTTCAACTACAATTTCCAACCATCAGCAGCTGCCTGGGGTTTTCAGACCAGCATATACCACACAGACATAGATCTGGAATTCTTTAGCTGGAAAAGTAGAGTTTCTATGGGAAATGAAGAGTTAAGCACTCCTCCCCTACCAACCTTACACCTTTCTTATTTCTTCTCCACATAAAACACACCAAAATATCATAGAATCAGAAGGAACCACGAGTTTCATGCAATCCAACCCCTTGCAACACTGGAAACTTTTGCCCAATGTGGGGCTTGAACTCACAACCTGAGATTAAGAGTCTAGTGCTCTATCCAACTTTGCTCAACTTTGAGGTGACCAATATGCCTTGAATCTTAAGGGAAACGTGCCGCAGAACAATATCATGCCAGCACAACCCTTGAAAGCAGGCACATGCTGGGAAAGTGGCCATACTAACATCTGGGCAGTTCTGCTGTTCCGATTTGCATGGCACATGGCTGACGTTCAACCATCTGCTGGACTAAGCTGAGCGCAGCCAGTGTGAAAACGGCAAAACAGATTTGCACCAGCAGAAAGGCAGAGGCTAAAAGGAAATTTATGCATTTATTTATCAGTTTCAGAAAAGTGTATGTTTCACTTGATTAAAATGTTCTCCGTTCTCAGATGTCTGTTTCTCAGAAGAGCTAGAAAGAACCCTCAACACAAGGTGAGAAAAACAATCATTCTAGTGTGGTCACAATGTGCTTATAGCAGCAGCCACTGTAAACTAAGCAAGCAGCTTCTTGGTTTTTCAATAGGCCAAGATCTGTGGATGCACCTCTGAGGTGGGGAATTTCAGGCCCAGGAACTGAAGGCGATCTTCCCAGGCTTCTCCAGCCAATCCTCAAGGCTCTCCACAGGCCATCCCACCAGCATCCCAGGCCACACCTCTCACCTGCTTGTGGCTGGTTGGAAGGTGTGCCTGAACTGTGATTATGCCTCTTGGTTCTCTGGATTGAGAACTGTGTGTGCACATGTGTTTGTAGGAACCTCTGAGTTTTGGATGGCTTATGTTCCGAGGCACTACGCACATCTGTGAAATCACGTATAATTGAATCCCATTTAAAAAGCCTGCCAACACCCAGTTCCACCCCCGTTCCATCCTTTGAGTGATGCTTCAGTGAGCTCTTTATTATGTTTCCAGGGGTTTGGCGCGATGCGAGCATACACGGTTGCACACCTATTGAACGCATGTAAATGGCGGGCTGCCTGTATTTCTTTTTCATTACAGTGGTACCTCGGGTTACATACGCTTCAGGTTACATACGCTTCAGGTTACAGACTCTGCTAACCCAGAAATAGTACCTCGGGTTGAGAACTTTGCATCAGGATGAGAACACAAATCGTGCTCCGGCAGGGCGGCGGCAGCAGGAGGCCCCATTAGCTAAAGTGGTGCTTCAGGTTAAGAACAGTTTCAGGTTAAGACTGGACCTTCTTAACCTGAATGGACGAATTAAGTACTTAACCCGAGGTACCACTGTATTTGAAAAGAAGGTGCATTTATAGCTAGTTGACGCTGCATACACACTTCCTTTTTTGCTCCAGTTCACGTGTAACGTCAAGTCCCCACCCTACCCATGGTTAAGCCATGGTTTGACTAAGCATTACATCCAAACTCGGACTCAGACAAACCTCAGTTACAGCTCCAGACAAATCACGAGCCATGGTTTGGACATAACAATAAGCCAAACCATGGCTTCAACCATTGCTAGCACAGCAGTGGCAGTTTAGTTTCTCCATACTAAGAAGTCCCAAGTGGTGCAACTTTTCTTCAAGTTGTTGATTGTTTTGGTTGCCCTTTCCTGAGCCTTTTGCAACTCGAGAATATACCGGTACTTTCTGAGGTGAGGCAACCAGAACTGTACACACTACTGTACTTTTCACTTGTCAGTTGGCTTTATTTCCCAAAAAATAATAATGTATCTAGGGATGGGGTATAAGAGCTAAAATGGCCACTCAAAAAACTCCAATGTTCGACAAACAAGGAAAAAAGCAGAGCCGAACTGGTTACTCTTCCCCAAAGAACAAAGAGATAAAAAGCAAGAAAGAGTAATACAGCTTTCAAGTGGTTAAAGAGTGTAATTATGTCAAAACTCAGCTTAATCCCAAACAACGTTGACATCATTTGGAAATTAATGCATCTGTTACCACAAACAACGATACAAAATGTGACTACTTGAAGAAATGAAGAAAAAGAAGAAGAAACATGATCCAGGAAACTGCAGCGTCAAAAGGATCCTTAACAGCATTCCAAGTGAAATAGAAAACAAGCAAATTATAAATTGTCTGGCAAATGTAATGGTTTCTTGTGCAAAGTAATTTTAATAATGCTGAGCTAAGAAGCTGAATCATCTAATGACACAGACAGAGCCAAGCGACCAAATTTAGAAACAATGGCAGCTCCTAATTAAGAAGAGATTTGCCCTTCCAAGTTACAGTCTCTGTACTAGGTAATCACTTTGCACTCCTGCTACTGAAGGATCTGGAGCGTGCGCAAAAGATTTCGGAAGTAAGCACAGGCCCTGCTCTCCTACCCAATGAGAGGGGCACACCACTGTCCATTTGGGTTTCCTTTCCCTGAATAACAATCTGTCCCTCACCTGGTCCTGCTGAACTTGTGATCCCCAAGACTGAGCAAAGACCAGCAGCCACTTCTTGTGACCTGATAGAAATGCTTGAGGAGACTGTGTTTTGTCGTTCCCGGAAAGCAGCAAAACTAGAAAGTTTATCAAGGTCCACATGAGCTACCATACATGGCTGCTGGGCTGCATTCAGTTTGGTAGGACATCTATGAGGATACCTGAACAGCAACTATGTTTAGCATTAGCCCAGAACCACATGGCAAGCACTTGCAAGAATATGGCAAGTATTTCCAGAAGCAAAACGCTGTCACAGCAGAAAACTACCTTTACACCACAAGGCCACTACTAATGCTGGTCTGATTCCCATCTCTAGTAGGTACTAGTAGAGATGTAGCAGATCAACAGTGAACCATCATACTGTAAGATTCAGAAGTGCAGTAAAGATATTTCCAAAACCTTTTGAGCCCCGTGCAGTGGCTCTTACAATTTACTCAAGACCACCAAATGCACTTCATTGCTGAGTAACGACCTGAACCCGGATATTCTAAGTGAAAAATGAATTATGTCACCCGCAGCACAGAACAGAGTCAACCATAGTTAGAGGTAATTCTAGATCATTGCATCTTCCTTGTTGGCACAGAGATTTTGCTAGGCCTCTATTTACATAAACCTAAGCAAACAGGCAACGTGTCATTTTGAAAAAGGTAATCATATAGGGCAACAGACAGGAGGGCAAATAGGGAGAAGGGAGAGGATTGGAGCCAATTGCAGGAACCCACCGGCCTTCCTCTCCAGGCACCGGCGACATTACTCAAGCATCACTTACCTTCACCCACATTAATACAGGCGAAGTCACGGTCAGTCTGTCACTGTGAACATGGACGCCACCTTGAGTGCTGCAGGAAAAACAATGCCTAGGTGAATAAAACTAATTCATTATTTCACTTTGCATTTCCCCAAGTAACACACAAGTACTCTCTTGTACACAACTAGGACAGTTACCCTTAAAAAGAATGCAAAAACAAAACCAAACATAGTGCAGTGTTTCTAAAGGAATACTTTTAATCACAACATTCTGTGATCCTTGAACAGGATGTGACCAAGGACAAGTACTCCAGAAGCAGAGGGAATTTTAATGCCAACGCAAGTTTAGACCAAATTAAGCACAGCAGCCACGAAATTAAAAGACGCCTGCTTCTTGGGAGAAGGGCAATGACAGGCCTAGACAGCATCTTGAGAAGTAGAGACGTCACCTTGCCAACAAAGATCCGTATAGTTAAAGCCATGGTTTTCCCAGTAGTGATGTATGGAAGTGAGAGCTGGACCATCAAGAAGGCTGATCGCCGAAGAATTGATGCTTTTGAATTATGGTGCTGGAGGAGACTCTTGAGAGTCCCATGGACTGCAAGAAGATCAAACGCATCCATTCTTAAGGAAATCAGCCCTGAGTGCTCACTGGAAGGACAGATCGTGAAGCTGAGGCTCCAGTACTTTGGCCACCTCATGAGAAGAGAAGACTCCCTGGAGAAGGCCCTGATGCTGGGAAAGATGGAGGGCACAAGGAGAAGGGGGCGACAGAGGACGAGATGGTTGGACAGTGTTCTCGAAGCTACCAGCATGAGTTTGACCAAACTGTGGGAGGTAGTGGAGGACAGAGGTGCCTGGCGTGCTCTGGTCCATGGGGTCACGAAGAGTCGGACACGACTAAACGACTAAACAACAACAACAAGCACAAGTGATGAAACATACCCAAATTCTGGAAGATCTTTGTCAAAATTGACACTGTCCTCATGGATGACTCGCAGTTGTTCATCTACAGCAATTACTTTCAGCTGGAGAAAAGAAAATGTTGCTGCTGCTGTTATTTATTTCATTAGGATTTGCTTCCTATGAAACATCTCAAAGTACTGTATAACAAAAACACGTATAAAACAATTGTATATATAGAAACGGTTAAACAATCATTTATACAAGAAGTAAAAACAATTACATATTCAAAAAAACAGTAAAAACAATTACATAGATATAAAAATGCAATACAGATCCCTACAGGTATCTTCCAAATAGTGGCGTGCCTTCTAGAACTAATTATATCCACTGGTGTCATTGATTCTAAAATGTATGCCTCCATTTGGAAGAATCAATAATTTCTGTGTGATCAGTCACCTAAAATAGCAAGTAGCTAGTTCATTCTGCACTTCATCCCATCTCCAGAAACTGATGATCCCTGATTAGTGTTCCAAGTCCTGGGAGCAAATTAGAGTTTCACTAAGGAAGTACTGAAATTCCCATGATTAGTTCAGAAAAATGCTTCGTGTTTTCCCAGGACTGCCCCTGCCCTTCTTCCTTCACCATTGGCCCCTTATTTCTTTTCACTATTCCTTTTTACAATCTTGTTTTTGTACAGATCTTCGCATTCATAAAAATCTCACTTCCACTCATCCTGTCAATTTATTGGAGAGAAGAAGAGAAGAAGAAGAGTTTGGATTTGATATCCCGCCTTTCACTCCCCTTCAGGAGTCTCAAAGCGGCTAACAATCTCCTTTCCCTTCCTCCCCCACAACAAACACTCTGTGAGGTGAGTGGGGCTGAGAGACTTCAAAGAAATGTGACTGGCCCAAGGTCACCCAGCAGCTGCATGTGGAGGAGCGGAGACGCGAACCTGGTTACCCAGATTACGTGACTACCGCTCTTAACCACTACACCACACTGGTGCGATAGAAGGAAGATTGCTTCAGTTCTGACCCTACATCACCTTAGCTCAGCCTTCCCAAAGCTGCTACCCTCAACGTATTTTGGATTTCAACTCCCATCAAGCTGTTTATAGTGCAAAACATCTGGAGAGCACCAGGTTGGCAAAGACTGTTTACTTTATGTTACTTATAACTGCATTTCTATGCCACTTCTATCTGGAGTGAGACGTTCCATAAAGAAGGCTGGTCACCGAAGAATTGATGCTTTTGATGCTGGAGGAGACTCTTGAGAGTCCCATGGACTGCAAGAAGATCAAACCTCTCCATTCTTAAGGAAATCAGCCCTGGGTGCTCACTGGAAGGACAGATCCTGAAGCTGAGGCTCCAGTACTTTGGCCACCTCATGAGAAGAGAAGACTCCCTGGAAAAGACCCTGATGTTGGGAAAGATTGAGGGCACAAGGAGAAGGGGACGACAGAGGACAAGATGTTCTCAAAGCTACCAACATGAGTTTGACCAAACTGCAGGAGGCAGTGGAAGACAGGAGTGCCTGGCATGCTCTGGTCCATGGGGTCACGAAGAGTCGGACACGACTAAACGACTAAACAACAAATGCCACCTTTACTCCAAAGACCTCAAGGTGGCATATATGATCTCCCCTATTTTATTATCACAACAACCCTGTGAGGTAGCTTAGGTTGCATAATTAGCCCAAGGTCACCAAGTGAGCTTCATAGCTGAGTGGGGATATGAACCCTAGTCTCCCAAGTCCTGACGTGGGTGGTGCTGTGGGTTAAACCACAGAGCCTAGGACTTGCAGATCAATAGGTTGGCAGTTCGAATCCCCACAACGGGGTGAGCTCCCATTGCTCAGTCCCTGCTCCTGCCAACCTTGCAGTTAGATAGCACGTCAAATTGCAAGTAGATAAATAGGTACCACTCCAGCGGGAAGGTAAACGATGTTTCCGTGCACTGCTCTGGTTCACTAGAAGCGGCTTAGTCATGCTGGCCACATGACCCGGAAGCTGTACGCCAGCTCCATTGGCCAATAAAGCGAGATGAGCACCGCAACCCCAGAGTCAGTCACGACTGGACCTAATGGTCAGGGGTCCCTTTACCTTTACCTCCCAAGTCCTAGTATATCTAACCACTAAACCATGCTGGTTCTCTGTTGACAGCATATTGAATGAGTTAGCAATTATTACTTTGCACAAGCAAGCTCTCCTTATTTCTCACCATTGGGCTACTGCCATCTGCACCTACCATCCCTTGAAAGGAACGAAGACCCTTCTTTCTTGTTTGCTATTTGTGATCTTTGGGGACGTGGGTGGCGCTGTGGGTAAAACCTCAGTGCCTAGGACTTGCTGATCGTATGGTTGGTGGTTCGAATCCCTGTAGCGGGGTGAGCTCCCGTCGTTCGGTCCCAGCTCCTGCCCACCTAGCAGTTCGAAAGCACTCTTAAGTGCAAGTAGATAAATAGGTACCGCTTTATAGCGGGAAGGTAAACGGCGTTTCTGTGTGCTGCGCTGGTGCTGGCACGCCAGCTGCAGCTTCGTCACGCTGGCCACGTGACCCGGAAGTGTCTTCGGACGGCGCCGGCTCACGGCCTCTAGAGCGAGATGAGCACGCAACCCTAGAGTCGGACACGACTGGCCCGCACAGGCAGGGGTACCTTTACCTTTACCTTTTTATTTGTGATCTTTAGAGAGAAAGGAGTGTTTAAATGTTTTCTAAAAAGTGTAACGGCAGTGTCCAAATGAAAATGCTATCTAGTAATATGAACTTCTCCCACTTCATCAGTTTGGTTGGGGCTATAGGAAAGTTACAGTATTTTTTTAAACAAAAATCTGCAGGTAATGACTAACTAAACTTCGTAGGTTAACCTTTGATTTCTCATTTAAATATGCTGGAACTCAGGAAGTGCAAGTAGACTTTGCTTCCAGGTACAATTGCTGAAGCCTGCGCTAAGGGGCTGAATTTCTCCAGTTTGCCAAAGGATTTTATCAGAACTGTGAGATGTAGTGCCACATCATAAAAACCAAGGGAGAAGGAAGGGGGGAAATCACTGTGAATTTGAAACTCACAGTTCTAGAAAGACCTATCTTCCACAGCTCAGCTGCAAAAAGGCAAAAGGTGAAAGTTTTCCTAAGCAAGCCACATTTATGTGCACTGTAGCTCCTATTCATTTAAGAATATTCTAAGAGCCTGGCTGCTAGATCAAGCCAAAGTCCATGGGCATAGCCGGGGGGGGCACCTTTCCATCAATTCAAAATCCATCAATTCAAAATCAATACAAATCTGAAGTTCTGCCCCCTCCCAAACAAAAGCTTGCCCCCCCAAAAAAACCCTGCCCCCAAAAAATCCTGGCTACACCCATCCTGTTCTCACAGCAGCCAACCTGTTGCTGCAATGGGAAGTCCAAAAGCAGCACCTGAGTGCACCAACGCTCTCCCCACCTGTGATTCCCAGCACTTCAGCAAGAGAACATGCAAAGCATGAATGTGTCAAGCACACGTTTGCAAACATCACTGTGCCTGGACTGGCTGCAACTTCCTGCTTCAAGGGTACACTCAGCCTTGCCTCTATGTAAGGTGTGAAAAGTCCCTCAGATCCAGAATTTAAAGCAAACATGCCTTTATTTGATTTTGTGCATACTTGTAGAGGGGAGGGTGCATGCTGGCAAATCTTAACACTCGCCAACACTTAAAATCTTCAGTCATTGTTATTATTATTCAATGCCTTCATCCGAGGATCACAGGGTGGTTTACCATATAAAACCAGTCATCATCACATGCTGGTTTGGTTGTAAGTCGCTCTGGGCTGCCTAGGGCAAAACCTAGTCTTAGTATTAATACTAATACTAATACTGCTGCCTCTTTGGCTCTATACCAGGGTTCCCCAAACTTGGGCCTCCATCCACTTTCGGACTACAATTCCCACCATCCCTGACCGCTGGTCCTGCCAGCTAGGCATGATGGGAGATGTAGTCCAAAAGCCGCTGGAGACCCCCGTTTGCGAAACGCTGACCTAGAGGCGGGGAAGGAACCATCGCCTCTGCCCATCCCATCAGAGAGGCTCCCGGGGGCTTCCTCTGTGCCCGAGTCCTGCGATGACGACAGGGGATTTCCTCAGAGCATGTGCAGAGCGCCTCCTTCCTTTCCCCCTCCTCCGCCCCCCTCCTGACTCGAACCAGGCCCCCGAGGTGGGGCTGGAGAGGGGACCGAGCGCTGGGCGGGAGGAAGCCTTTCCCGCGCCGCCGTCCCTGAGGGCTCCGCCTCCTCCGCCGCGTCCATATTTTTTTTTTGCCACGGGTACCTGCTGGGTGCTGAAGTCCCATCCCAAGTAGCTGGGCTCGGCAGGCGCAGCCATGGCGGCCTGAGGCGAGTGGGCCTCGCCGTCGTCTTCGCTCGGCGGGAGGCAGGCCCGGCGCCCGCTTTTGCCTCAGCGCCGCCTCACAGAAACGGCTCGCCCGGCCCCTCGTCTGTGCCCAAGCGCCGGGCCCTGGTAGTTATTAACCCGCCCGCCCTGCGGCCCCTTCGGGGGGCGGTGAAGGAGGACCCGCCTCTCGCTCGCTCTCTCGCCCAGGCCCGGGGGTCGAAGCGGCGTTTTGGTGGCCTCGTTGCCCGGCGTGAGCGGCCTCCTCTCGGCGGCTGTTTTCCTCAGGTTTCTCGGCACTTCAATCCCCACACTTTTTAAATATACAAATCACACAAGAAATAAATGGTATCGGCACTTCATAGGAAATAATAACAACAACAATAATAATAATTTTTATTTATATCCCGCCCTCCGCAGCCAAGAGACCGGGAAATGAGATTAAACTATGATCTCGTTCAGATTAGCAGTGAGACAGTTTGGAAAGGAAAGGGGGGCAAACGCAAGGTTAAAAACAAAAGCCTAGCATATCGTCACAAGAGGCTGACCCAAAAAGGGGGGCTGGTGGCTGGCAATGGCTTGGCTGCTGGAATTCAGATTCAAAAGAAGGGATTTCCACCCTCAAAAATAATGGATCTTGGTTGTTGCGTAACCAGCAAAGTTTGGCCTCCTTTTCAATATATATTTTCAATATGCTGCCATGCCTCACTCATAATGGCTAACAACGACAAGGATTTTTTTTATTAACATTTTTTTGAAAATTGTTTAAAAAGACAGATGAAACCCAAGCTAGTCATTCCAAAAGAATTTAAGATTATGTTAAAAAAAAGAATTAAATGAACCAACTTTTTTTTTTTTAATGTACAGTAGAATAAATCAAGTTACATTGAAAGAGGAAGATTTTCTTTTCTGAACTACACAGTACAGTGTTTGAAGTATGGTTGCACCAAAGATTTTCATAACACAGAACTGGCAGTTTTGTTGTAAGCCAAAAATGGCTTATCTCCTGAGTTTAAGCCAATAAAAACCCAGAAACATTAGGAGTTAGGAGCCCAACGTGGTTTATTGCAAAGCAATAGGTTACAGTTCAATCTGCAAAACTGTAACCACGCTCAGTGGTTCAGGCAGTGGTATTTATAAAGTTTCAAACAAAGCATTTCGATTTTCACCAATCATACATCATTACCTCATTTCATGTTTAATACACATGCGCAATAAGCACTGGCAATTTTGCTGATTCAGTGTTGATTCCCACCGTGTTTTGTTACATTGTGTTAGTATGCATGTTGGAAACCTGTGTACATGTAGCCATTTGCACCATGTAGCAACTTACGTTCTAGCTTTCAGCTTTATATTTGTGATTCACATATTGGCTTCCCCAAGTTGGGCGGGGGGGGGGGGGCGGCTACTTGCAAAATCATCAGTTTCACAAAGCAACAGGTTACCATATTATAAGCGCACTCAAGGACTTCCAAATACCCACAGATCTAAGGAGAGAGTGTGGGTCATGTTTTGGTTTGATGCACATAAAAACAAGTTGCAAAACTTATTGAATGACCCCAAATTAACAAGCATCTAAATCTGAGCCACTCTTTGAACCCGAGGCCCAAGCCAAATGGCAGTATGCATACATGGCATGTAGAAAATAAACAAGAACAGCTTTTCCTCCTAACACTGAGCAGGTGGCCCAGACTGAGAATAGCATAGTGAAAAAGGTACCCAACAATGGATGTGTGAACACAGCTTGACAATTGTTTTGCTGTAGAAGTATTGCACTAAGTCTTGCAGGGCAGGCAGAAAGCTAACACCCCCAAAGTTTGACCGCAGTGTCCTCCGGCTTAAAGAAAATAACTCAGCAGTTTTCTGCTATGAACATACCTAAAGCTAGCAATAGAGTAACAGTAGATTAAGTAGGTCTTTTCATTTTGCACGTGAGCGTTATCAAACTCTGCTTGAAAATTAATGTTGACATTGATTAGAAGCTACCCGATAAAAAGTCAGGCCTTTTTGCTTTGCTCTTCAATGGGCCATAATACAGAACAGCAGTTTCATATACAGTCCTTTTTTACTTAAATACCTGTATTAACACCTAATATATTATTTTAATTTTATAGACAAAAGTTGACCACCTTTGCTGAACTCAGAGCCAACCCTACTATTAGGCAGAGTGGAGGATATTATCCAATCACTGGTGATGAAGTAAGATTCAGCTGGCATACTGCTCGGTTTCTGTAAGTGGAATGTGGGGAGATTTGCCTCAGGCAGCAAAATGTCTTGGGGAAGCCATGGCTGTACCATGGCCTAAAGATAGCATAGGCAGGGCTGAGTAACAATGATACACAGGTTGCATATACATTTCCCCCCTTCAAATAATTATGGGCACTGTAGTTTGTTAAGCAATGCTTAGGAATTGTAACTCAATAAGTGGTGAGCTACATTGCCCAGAACCTTTGAGGGCAGAAATGTGCTTCAGATGTGTTTTAAAGATATCTGTACACAGCCACAGTCCAAAATAATATTAATATTAACAAAAGCAAGTATTACCCCTACGGGGGTTATCCAGAAGGTACATCTCTCTTTTGAACTGTTCACACATTTCAGAACAGGAGTGCATATTGCTGACTCCCATGCACCTTCACAGAGGTTCACATACAGCAAAGGCACACAGGGATATCAAAGTTTCTGCTGGTTTTGCCTTCTACAATACAAATAGTCTTTAGTGGACAGGGGCACCTTGGAGAGGGAATGAGCAGGACCAACTGCTATATTGTTCAAAGAAACAGTTTGGGATTTGGAAAGTGTTCCACTTTAAGGACTATCCAGAAATGTTCCTTCTTCATTTGAATTATTTTATTGCAGCCACTCTGTACATTCAGAAGGACTATTTGGCAGAATCTTCCCTGGACTGATCCATGTTTTGCACAGTCCTCACAGTGATCTACACTGAAGTTAAGTAGCGTTCAAGAATAAAATGTATTTGTTAAACTGTGAATATACTATTTATGTCACCAAGATCCAAAAATGAAATGTCAGGCTTAAGGTCAAAACAACCACCTGGGATTACGTAATTCTACACAGTGCTTTTTTCTGGGGGCACTCAAGGATAGGCAGTACTGGCATACACACACACACACACACACACGTGTTAAAAGTGTGCACTTACTGCATAACTTGGATACTTTTTACAGTTCATCAAAATCAGCTTGTGAGATACTACTCAGATTAGACTTCTAATTTTTGCTGCATTCTACAAAAAGTGAAAAGGGCACAATAGTCCTCCAGTGGCCTCAGGTAGGTCTCTTCTAGCACCCTGGCTATGCCCCCACCCTCCTATCTCCTTTGATATTACTTTCCCCTGGAGGACTGTTTTATTAACTGCATTCAACCTAGTGTTCATTTTATTGAGCTGCCCCTCCATAGGCATCATCAATTCCATCCCTCCGGAGCACATTGATCTGTCAGGACCTCTGAATATATAAACCCTTAAACCAGGCATCCCCAACCTGTGGCCCTCCAGATGTTTTGGACTACAATTCCCATCATCCCTGACCACTGGTCCTGTTAACTAGGGATCATGGGAGTTGTAGGCCAAAACATCTGGAGGGCCACAGGTTGGGGATGCCTGCCTTAAACAGTCCAGGATCACAATACCTCAAGGACTGTCTCTCATCATATAAAAACACCCAGACCCTGCATTTGAAGCCCTTCTTTGTGTGTAATATGAGGTTGAATGCAGGTGTAATGCAGGGATGACTCAATTAATTATGACGAACAAATGAGAAGTAGCTGAACTTCTGCTCCTTCTTTATTCCACATAGCTTTTACTAGCCTTACTTGGTTTGGAGGCGGAAATGTGTTATGTACTAAGCTTGGATCCTAGAACAATAGGCAAGTAGGATCGTAGAATGCAGCAACTGATTGGCCTGCAGGAAAAGACCAATCAGGCTCCAGGAGGGAAGCAGAATCAGCCAATCAGATGGGACTCATTGTATAAATAATGTATATAAAAGCCTTAGGTTTTTTTTGGGGGGGGGGCAATTAAATCACGGTTTTACAAGCTGCAATAAGGAGCATGAAATCACTACAGGACTCCGAGTATATTTCAAAATGTAATGACAAAAGTTCCAAAGATGCAGTTGAGTGTTTTGTTCCCATCATTTGTGGGTAACTGTTGAGCTGAACATTTGGTTTCAGTTTTCAACACTGGGCTATCTCTAATATTTATTTAAAATATCACAACAAAGAAGGGGACACCAAGAAATATGATACATGTCTTGAGTTCTGGTTACCGGCTATTTTAAAATATTTATTTTAAAAGTTAAGGGTATGGGAGAAGTGGTTAAATGAAAGAGGATCACTTCTCACTAAGGAGGAGTGCACCTGCATATTGTTTTTTTGGATAACACTCAAGAGATAACAGTGGATTCGATTCATGCACCTAATGTGGAACAATTATTTTTCCTGTGGAACGTTTTAAAAAAACCCAACAACAACAAATCTTTGCTAAAGGGGATATAATTACAGGGGAGTTTCATCTAAAGACTTCATTCCATAGCCATACTCAACAGAAGAAGAAAACAAATGAGAGTAGAAAACAGATGAATGCGTCATTCTATGGAATATTGATAGGGTGAAATTGGTACAAATCAGAAATCAATACCCCACAACAGAAATGTACAGTACTTGTGGATAATCGAGAAGCTGCGTATAACAATTTCCAATTCTATGCAACTCTATGTGCTTTACATTTTTTTATCTTAATATCTAGGAATAGGAGAGGAATAAAATAATAATAGTTGGGGGGGAGCAGCAGCAAAATAGTTATCACAGAGTTTACCACAATAATAATCAAATCTTATAAAATAAATATGGGGAAATTATATATAATCACAGCAAAAGTGACATGCTGCCAACATATAACTGTGTCGCTTTAAAATTAAAATTGCTACATCAACCAGCATCTTTTAGCCTTTTGTGTGCATTTGGCTGTGTTAAATGAGGTTTTGTATTTCACTGTGGGTTTTGGCAAGGCTTCATATGTTTGGACTTAAGTCAACACCGGTTCCAGCTGAACAGTTCCTGTCATTAACTTTGCTTTCAGAGGTTCAGGACACACTGGATGTATTTGAAGCAAAGTTGATATTTCAGTTGATTGAAATCAGCAGCTCTGTACCAGGTACTGAAGGGAATCCAAGCACTGCAAGAAAGCCATTGCCTGGCTCGTGAGTGACTATTTCAGATGTTACCAACACCCTTTGCCTTTTGGCAAGCACAATGAAGGAAATGCTCTGCTTTTGCCTGATTTTGTCTTTCTTATGGGAACAGATGGTGAAGGCTTATAAATATATGGGTGGTATTTTCTTAGTGACTCATCTATCAAAGCAACGAGCCTCAGACTGTTCCGGGCAGCCAACCAAGATGGACGTAAGCATGCTTGAAGAGCAATACGACTGTCTAAAACAGAAGCAAAAACTGCAGACACACATTATTGTGTTTAAAACAGGTAAGTTTTAGACTTGGCTAAAACTTTAAAAACAAGGGGTCCACAAAAAGCCTTGAAAATGTTCATTGATTTTTACAATTGCCCTAAGCTTATGCTCACATTTGAAAAGTTAAGTACTGTACAATGTCTTCATAAGAAATAGATCCGAGGTACCTTACAGATTAACAGATGTATCGTGGCATACGCTATACAGTCTGCTAATCTTTAAGGTGCCATAAGACTCTTCCTGTGTTTGCTGTAACAGATGGACAGCCCAGTCCTATGCATGTTTACTCAGAAGCAAGCCCCACATTGTTAAATGAGACTTGCTTCCTGGTAAGCTTGCCTAGTTTACAGCCTTATTCATCTACTCCCTGTGGGAATTGTTTTCACATTGTTATACACAGTCATAATAGTTAGCAAAGCCAAACGTTAACACTTCTTTCATGTTTGTGGGGGGAAGAATATCTTTTAGATAAATGTGCTCTGTGATATACTTATTAAATGTGGGTCTTGTCATAGCACAAATTTCAGCTTCAGTCCACAAAGAAAGCCACAGCTGGGTATTAACTTTACTAGAATCAGCTAAAATGCTAGAAAATAGTGAGCAAACTTTTATGCTCTCCAGAACTCTTTTTCAGGCAGGATGCTTAGCAAAAAACGACAAAAGAGGAAAAGGGGTGAGGTGGGGGGAAGCTGAACATTATGAAAAAGCCCCACTCTGAAACTGGTAAGTAAATTAGTCAGTCTTAAGAGCAAAATACATTTCAGGTTGTACCAAGAGTTATTGGGACAAAGAAACACGAATGGCTGTTCCCCCAGTTTCTTTAAACTATAGAAGGCAGTTGTTACTCTGATATGTCTCTAGTACTGAACATAAGAGATAATCTCACTGATACAGCAGGAGTGACTAACTTGTCTGGATTAGAGCTGTTTTGTATAGAGAATTGTTGTGTTAGTCCCAGAAAGTGAGAAAAGCAATGTAAGTAATTTCTTATGTTTTGTTAAATTAACTGAATCAGGTAAAATGATGGCCAAAAAAAAGATGCTGATGTGGGAAAAAAGTTTGGTAAGGATAATTTGAAACACAACTTGAGGGTAAACTCTTTTCAGGCTTACCTCCAAAGAAACATGGAAAATGGGATTAAATTTATTTTCGACCAACAGTGTTTGATCCAGTACAAAGTCACTAGGGGTTGTCTTGGGCAAGATAAAGTGACTAACAAATTTAATTATAAAAAATTAGTTTGCTTGCATGATGTTTCTTAGAACAAAACGTTAATTATGTCGGATAGCCTCTACATAGATGCTATCCATTCTTATCTACACAACACACAATACAACAGTATGTAACCATTTTAGGTTGCAATCCAGTGCATACGTTTTTGAGAGTTAGTGCTCTTAATGCAACAGGAACTTCTGAGTAAACATGCGTAGGGAGCATATAATTACTTTAAGAACCTAGCAGCCTGCTAAGATTCACCTTGACATTTTACTGAATGTTACTGTGAAAGGCAATCATGTGAAAACAGTACACGTAGCTTTGCCAGGTCCTAGGTGGTAATATGTAACTAGGAGAAAACGTGTTGCTCTGGATTACTGGTTATCAAATTATGTCACCGTGAACCTTCCTAACCAATTTGTTCAGGCCTCCTAGAATATAATGTTGGACAATTCCTTAGCCAAAGGAGAGAACTTCTCTTTGCAGGTCCTTCTACAGTGTAATGTAAACATGCAGCTGAAAACCAGTTGCTTGGCAGGGAATGGGAAATGATGAGAAGCTAATCTGTGAGATTTTAGCCTTTCTGAAAGAATTTAACGGGTACAGGAGTGGCAATGGTGGCAACACAGAAAGGTAGGTCTTCACCAGCCACATTACCAACTGACTTGCAGACCACTCAGCTATCTATAGTGCCTTGCCAGGTTGTCGTTGCAGTTGCATCAGAAAAGTAGCAAAGTAAGTTTTTAACAGGAGGATAACAGGTTTTGCATGGTTTTGCATCACAATCATCTGGATTATCTAGGAAGGCCTGAATGAACCTATCTGTCAGTTGCAGAAAAAAACAGCTAGTGTGTGGAAGTGCCCTCACGAATGACAAAATTTGGGAATTCCTCTTTATTCGCAAGTATATCAATCCCTCAATGAAGAGCATAAGACATATTAAATCAGTGTGCCCATTCATCTTCTCCCTCTTTCTTTCTTTTTTTAAAGCAGGTAATTCACTTTTCCAGCTTCTTCCTATTCCCCAACATGTCCCTATCAGGCAAAAAGGTCAGAAAATCTGTATTTTGATCAGGATTCTCATCAAAGGCAAAGGGGAGGACCTTGCAAAAAACCCAAAACCAAACATTTTGTTGCACTGAGAAGATGGTGCTCCACTCACATTTTTGAAAGTGTAACAATAGCCTACTTGGGTACAATGTGGTTATTGTACGCTGTGGCAGTTCCCCACCTTCCAATGGGATGATGCGTTCACTCCCTTTGGAATTGGTCCCAGAAAATAAGATAGGCTTACCAAAATGTTCAGATTTATGTTGGCAAAAGATTGTGAAAAGGGTTTTTTAAATAAAATAAAAAGAAGCACAAACAGAATAATTGATCTGAGGCATTTTTATGTGGGAACAATGTTTCTACTTGAGAATTTAGCAATAATAAAAATTTCAAGGTAAATAGTTTTTGTGTATGTGCACCTTTCCTGCTCTTCCCTGTCCACCAAGATGTGAAAGTGGCAAAATTAGTCATAACATAAGATCACTATAAACAGGAGGCAGCAATCTGATACCTCCTATGGTGGCTGTGAAAGACCTCAATAAATGTACAGTGGTACCTCGGGTTAAGTACTTAATTCATTCTGGAGGTCTGTTCTTAACCTGAAACTGATCTTAACCTGAAGCACCACTTTAGCTAATGGGGCCTCCTGCTGCTGCCACACCGCTGGAGCACAATTTCTGTTCTCAACCTGAAGCAAAGTTCTTAACCCAAGGTAATATTTCTGGGTTAGCGGAGTCTGTAACCTGAAGCGTATGTAACCTGAAGTGCATGTAACCCGAGATACCAGGATTGAACATCTGTCCTCCCATCTGTTCAGAACAGAGGAGAAGTCTCTCCTTCTAGATGTGGCAGCCATTTTGTGTTATGCCATGTCGCCGTGGCAGCCATTTTGTGGCATGCACACTGGACCCCCAAAGTTGGTGAATCCTTCTATAAAACTTACTGTAGTTAAGTGTTTTGCAAAAAAAAAAAGTTGTTTGTCCAATTAAAATGGCACGGATTTTCTGGACTGTACTCCTTGCCACTACACAAATTTTCTATGGTATCCTTGATAAGTCACCTTGTTTCCATTCACTACTTAAGAGTTCTAGGAGGAAATATGAATACATATTGTTTGACCTAGATGAGGGCGGGTTCCAGCGGTCCAGCAGGCCAGATATCTATCTACCCCCTTATACCATAGGCCACCTTTGAGAAGTGAGGTGAGGGTTTCTGATGGCACGATCACATCAAAGTTGACTCATGTGAGTGGGATTTGTTTTACCAGGAGGTTCCTTGCAGGAAGTGACACGTGTGGCACTGTGGTATAAACCACTGAGCCTTGGGCTTGCCGATCGGAAGGTTGGTGGATCGAATCCCCATGACAGAGTGAGCTCCCGTTGTTTGGTCCCAGCTCCTGCCAACCTAGCAGTTCGAAAGCACGTCAAAGTGCAAGTAGATAAATAGGTACCACTCCAGCGGGAAGGTAAATGGCATTTCCGTGCACTGCTCTGGTTTCACCACATGACTCAGAAAAACTCTGCAGACAAACGTCGGCTACCTCAGCCAGTAAAGCGAGATGACCACCGCAACCCCAGAGTCGTTCGTGCAACTGGACTTAACTGTCAGGGGTCCTTTACCTTTACCTTCTTGCAGGAAACAGGCTGGTAAAGGAGCATGCAGCAGCTCTATTTGAATGGCAATGTCCATCAATGAGAGGGGCTCAAATGGTGGGGGGAAGGACCTTGATCCCTAGGAGTTGGCTCCTATGTCTATTGATGAGGGCTCTGGTTTTCTGCTTATAAGTTGATGAGTAAGAGTCAAATCCTGCTGCTTCCATGGCATACCAGTTCCCTGTGGGGAACTGATGGGCACAGACAACACAGAACTGAATTCCACCCCAGCCCATTGGCCGACATCACTCAGTGACTCTGGCTGAATGAGAGACAGATGTGGTTTGGGGAAATGGCTTTTCGGGCCAGCATTGGCCCACACAAGCAGGAAGTTCTTCACATCTGACCTAAGGAGAAAACTAGCTAGCAGGACCTAACTTGCCCAATCTTGCATTTATTTTCTACATGTGATTCATTTGTGATTAGATTATGGTAAGGCAGCCTATCTTTCTGGGATGTGTTAAGATTGTTTTATCAGATTGTAACAACAGATTTTTGCAGTTGCTGATCTGGAGTGAGGGGGAGTCTCTTGCTCCTTTCTACCTATATTTGCAACAGCCCCAAATGTGAACAATCCCATCAAGCTTGTACTACTTTGCCACTTGTAATATGCAAACATATATTTTCTTCACAGGTGAGAATGAGACAGTCCCAGGGGAGTCGATGGTCAGCGCCGTTTTAATTAACAAGAAAATGAGGAAAGCAAAAGCATTTAAAGAGCGTGCTCCTGTCAAAGAGGTTAGCCTTGAATTGCCCTGCAGGGAAAATATACAAGACAGTTCACCTTGGCGGATACATCTAGAGATCCACCGCATTGCACATGGAGAACACCAGGAAGTTCCTTTGGGTGCTGTCCAAAAAAGCAATGAACAGGTTAGCTCTGACAGTGAAATACTGTCTCATAAGGAGAGGGTGATAACAAGCGAAGAATTATTAAAAGGAAGTGAACAATCTGCTGGAATACTCAGCGAACAGGAAAATTCGAGCCCTGCTGAAACGACAGACAGTTCTTATTCACATTTGACCTCAGTTACTTCACCAGCTTGGACACACGCTCACATTTCAGTCTCAAAATTGGCACCGACATCAAGTAAGCTACCCTATTACCCTTTCCCTCAGAAGAAAACTCACAAGATCTCTGAAGCTGCAAGAAGACTTGGATTGTATGTTTCACAGTGAGAGCATCTCATTAAGGAAGGAAGCCAAGTCTTGCTACGCACAGAGTCCCCTACACAGAAGCAGCTGCAGGTTCCTTCTGTTCACATGTGCAACTGCGATCAGATTCCAACACCTGTGGTCACAGGAATTGCTGTGGCTGTAGCCATGTATAGCCCAGCTTACACAAGTGTTACCCTGAGTGGGAAAGGAAAAACTGCTCATATATAGGGGTGGGGACAGCTCAAGCTACGGTATTTTAAACATTTGGCTAAAATATTCTTTTGCCCCCATCTCCTGTGCCAAGGGGCTTGTTCACATTTGGGCATTCTTTAGTTGTTTATCCACTCCCCGCACCTTTTGAATTAGATCAGAGTTGTCCACACATGCACATATTTGAATTTGTATCCAAAGAGCAACTTTGGTCTTCTCAGGGGGTTTTGAATTCATCCTAACTGTTCTAAATAAAAGGGACTTTCACTCAACTCACTTCTGTGGAATGAGAGAAATGAAGGTTGTAGCCCAGGAAATAGCAGGACACGATATCTACCAACCTCAGATCTTAGACTGGAGACTCTGAAATTCTCCTGACTTTATCAGCCTCCACGATGTATAATGTTAACCCATGATTTGTTTTTTTAAAAAACAAGACTTTTCTCACAGTCAAACAAACATGGCTTGTTTCTCCAAAGCTTGGTTCATTTACCAGCTGCTCGTGCCCTTCCATGGGTTCAAATATGACACCATAGTTAAAGCAAGCCAAGGTTTGCCAGCCAACAACAAAGCAACACAGGAGACTGTGGTTTGCTGGCAAGAAACAAAAGTTAAACCACTGGACAGAGTTCAGGCAATCAAACAATGGTCTCTGCTTATTGGATTCAGCTGGCCCTGCAATGGGACTTAACTGTGAACACTTTCTAATATTTTACCAAATACCTTTGATGTGCTTGTTAAGGAATGATTGCTTAAAACCTATTTTGGACTACTCAGTGTTCAGACTTATTTGAAAACACATTTTGAAGGTTCATTGTGTAGAAAATCTTTTAGCCCCGCAATGGTTCATAAGTTCACGTGCCTTTACTATAATATAATAATGAAAAAGCAGCAGAACAATAATGTTCTGCTTTGTAACGTTCTTTTTCTAACAGGATTTGGCTCCTGTTAGGAAAAGAATGATTGACTAGCTGCACCTTTGGTCTGATCAGGTTGAAGAGTTCTTATTACATATGTCTTTGTTAATCTGTGATCCCTGGACCGTGTAAACAAGCCCACAGTGGTTCTCTAAATGTCCTGCTGATTTTGTTCAGGTGTAGATGTAACTATGAAATGCATTTTTATAAAGTGGTGATAGTGATACTATTTCTAGAAATGTCTTATTTTAATGAACTGGAATTCAGTATTAATAAGAATGATTGACATATACTGCTTTAATTCTTTATTGAAACAAATGATTCCCACCCCCTTGCACTTTCTAAAATCTGGAGTTGATCCTCTTTTTTCCGGCCCTTCTCAATATTAAATATAGTTAATATGTAAATATATACATTTCCTGTTTTCCCCACATCATTTTCTCAGCTGCATGTCAGAAAGCACATATGCTTTTCCGCATCACTGAAATAAATTAATGACTTGTAATATGATTTTTCAATTCATGGAAATCTTGTTATTTTGTAAGAAATATAAATTGGAAGCACAGTTCTACTTTGCATCCAGACCAGTTGTTTTATTTTCATAATCTGCTCCTGAGAGTACTGATGTTTCATTTTGAAGGTTTTTTGGTTTTATGTGTATAAATTAATATTTGATGTGTGTACACATAGGCTGCATTCATATATTACAATAATGCATTGTGACAAGACTTTGGCTTCTCATCCCAGAGGAGGGGGGCAAAGAAGAAAATCCAAGGCACGTTCTCATAACAGCAAACCATAGTTTGAAGTTACATTTGAGTGTGTCCATAGACCATAGTGGATATTTGTATTACTTTAGTAAAAATGCATAATGCATTTTTTCCCCCTAGTCATTGCAAACTAGCATGATCGTGAAAGTTCTAGTATGAACCTTTTTGGCACATTTGTGAGGGCCTTAGGAAGTGGAGATATAAAGACCCACAGTCTTAAGTGGGGTGGAAAAAATCATTAAAATGTCAAGGATGAAAAGTTACACATAACAAAACGGAAGCCTCCTTCCCTTCTTTTCTCTTATTTTAAAAGCACTTTTTCTTCTTCTGTGACATGTGCAATGCCCCCTCCCATACTTCTTTGGAAACATATGATACATCATAACCTGCTGTTCTTCGAGGGGCATGGTTGGGAGGTGGAACCCCACTCCAACCTGCATTGCCCTGGAAAAAACATGACTGAGGTGTGTCACAAAACCTTATACAAAAACATGTTGGTTGTAAGATGCTACAGAATGAAATCCATTTTCCTACAATGAAGTCATGTGCTTCTGGGCCAGCCACTAAATGCACAAAGGGGGGGGGGAGTTGACAACTCCATTATCTGCAACAGACATTTTAAGCACATGGCTTCTCCCAAATAATCCTGGGAACTGTAGTTTACTCCTCAAGCATCTTTAGCAAACTACATTTTGCAGGATTTTATTTTTTTTTGGTGGCGGGGGGGGGGGGGGAGCCATATGTTTAAAATGCACAGTACGGATGTTACCCAAAAGACTGTTGTCAAAGTCAGTCCTATATTGTGATTTCTAAATAAAGTAGTTAGTCAACACCCTTTTTAATCAACATTTTGCAAAACATGGAGCAAACGTTTGAATCCGCAGACCAGAATAGATTGTTTGTGACATTTTTGCTGGTCATAATTAAGGTGGTTTTGGGGTTTTTTTACTGTTGATTTATGTTTTTCCTGTGTGCTAACATACCTTCCTTTGCTTTTTTATACTATCTATAGATACACACACACACACACACACACACACACACACATTCACAAAGCTAGGCCAGGTTTCCCACTCTCCTCCTTGCCAGTTCTGCCAACTTTGGCTACCTACCCGCACCTAGGACAAAAAGGGCTTACAACCTACAACCACAATCCTGTAGGTGCTTTACTCTCCCAATCGTGTTTACTGTATTTAATATTGTGTGCACACTGCCTATGGGGCCTGCAGCCTAAAATGTACTCCTTAAAAGTTTCTGTTACGGAAGCAGTAGGTAAGCACCATAACTGCCACTATTTTTTATCTTAAAAACAGGAGCCTTTCAAATATGTGGCCCCTCCATGAGGATCCAGGAGGGCATCAACAAAAGAATGGGGCCTTTTTTGCAGTGGCTCCCTTGTGGAATTCCCTCTCCAGGGAAGCTAGCCTGGTGGCATCATGACACACATTTAGGCGCCAGGAGAAAGCCTTCCCCTTCTCCCTCACCTTTCGCCAATTCAATCTATGGACTTTTAAATGTGTGTTCCAGGCAGGGAGTGGTATTGTTTTTATTTTGTTACTATGTGTGCTTTTATGTTGTAAGCTTTTTATGTTATTTTTTATGTTACTTTTTATGTTATTTGTGTGCTTTTATATTGTAAGCCGCCCCTGTGGTCCTCGGACGAACGGCCGGCAAAGAAAGATCCCAACTCCGTTCGGCTTCTGAGGAAAGATGAGGAGGACCCTCGCGCCGTTGCCGTTAGGTTTAAACGAGCGCGTGAGGCGATGCGCACACCTGCCTGAGGCAACGGTTGGCTCCTCCCCCGCGTGACGTAGGCCGTCGGCGCGTGCGAAAGAAGGCGGCGAGCCTTACGACGCCACAAACGAAAGAAGAACTAAAATGGCGGCGGCGGCAGCGGCTGCGTCTCGGGAGCGCCGTTCCCGGTCACATGACCGCCCGATCTGGGAGGGGGAGCCGGGAGTGTTTTCTCTTTCATTTCCGACGGGCTCCCACACGTAGGAAACCCGGCAGCGCCTTCTGTTCCTCGTCAGAACCCGGGTCTGGCGGCGGGTGGGTCGCCGAGGGGCGGCGGAGGCGGCGGCCGGGAGGCGGAGACGCGTCTCCACCCAGCGCGCGCCGCTCTGGACGCGCCCTCCTGCTCCTCCTCCGCCACTGGAAGCGGAGCGGGGCGGAGAGAGGAAAGCGCTCAGGTGAGTGACGGCCAGCGGCGCCCCATAAGCAGCCGGGGGGGGGGAGAGAGAAAGAGGAGGAGAAAAGGGGCCCGAGCCCCTCACACTGTTCTCAACAAAGCCCCTCTGGCCTGGAGGAGGGAGGGGGTGGCAAAAGGCTACTTCAACAGCCACCTTGACCATGAATATTGACAACAGCGCCCTACAAATGCTCTCTGCGTAGGGGGCAGGGTAGGCTCAAAACGTCATCATAAAGGGTTTTAATCTGCATTTTGACAGCATACTCCCCCAAAGTGGCTAACCTATAAAAGTATACAATGCAGTATGAAAATCTAAAATGCCCATTTCATAAACTGACATGGTGAATTGCCTTGAGATCTTTTGATGAAGGGCAGTACAGTGGTAACTCGGGTTAAGTACTTGATTCGTTCTGGAGGTCTGTACTTAACCTGAAACTGTTCTTAACCTGAAGCACCACTTTAGCTAATGGGGCCTCCTGCTGCTGCCGCGCCGCCGGAGCACGATTTCTGTTCTTATCCTGAAGCAAAGTTCTTAACCTGAAGCATTATTTCTGGGTTAGCGGAGTGTGTAACCTGAAGCGTATGTAACCCGAGGTGCCACTGTATATAAATAAAATAACATTTAATAATGCATGCACGCACACCCCACACACTGTGTCCCCAGGGTGGGTGGGTGGGAATCTGGCTTGATCTGTCTGTGCCTCATCTCTGGGGAAGCACTTAATTCCCTCCGTCACCCCCCAAGTTAAATCAGTTCGTTGCGGGCTTGTGGCATTGATGTGCTGCCAAAAGCATCCATTCAAGGTGGCTCAGGGTTAAAAGCACTGGGCACCCACACATCCAAACACATATCATTAAACCAGTAGGGTCATTACAGGTGGCCACCGCAGACGACCTCCTGTCTGAGCATTTGTTCTGAGGTGGTTGTGGGAAAGTCATGCGGTGTTGTCTCCCACAGTTGCTTATAACCGCACTTTCAGCCCGTCGCCCCTCTCACTTTTCCGTACTGCAAAAAGTCAGATTTTTAGAAGCAGGTTTGTGGCACGTGAGCTTGAAATGTGTTTTGGTTGCGGAACCTGAATTTATTTGCTGGCATCTGACTCCCGCCCTTTCCTCATATGGCCCCCAAAGAAGAATTTAAGCAAAATAAATAGAATAAAACACTTTTGCAGTCAAATAGGAATATCGATTCTGTAGGGAGCTGCGGAATTTAAAAATTGCCATGAAATAAAACAGCATCATGGCAATGTACTGTATAAAACTTGGGGAAATGAAACTGTTTTCACCCCATGCCTAAAAGATGGTGTATGCACCGGGCAAATTGGCAACTGGCAACATTTCTCTTTAGTTTCCTTGTGCCTGTGTCTTCTAATAGGAACCCGACTCATGAAAATGACACCACTGAAGGTTTCCCTGCTGCTTAGCTCCATGTACACAATTAATTCATTTTTAGTTCAACGGTGTAGCTTTTCTCCAGAATTGTGGTTACTTGAGATCTGCAGATGACAGGTGGTATACAAATTTAATAAATAATAGGCATTTGAAACCCCTCCCCTCTAGGGGATCATTGACACCTTTTTCCCCCCACATGCACCCACCCACAACATCACTGGACAAATGTGGCTATACCAACAGCCAACATTGCTGCGACTTGTCTACACCTGTTTTCAAATGGGCACACTGCAGGGCAATCAATCTGCAATAAGTTTGTAATTTCAGAATGAATTCTGTTTCTCAGTAAGTGTTTTTCAGGGGCAAAAAACATACAATAAATCTAGTTTGTATTTGGACTACATAGCGGGGGTGGTACTCTTTCTCCATTGACTCTAATACAAAATGTTTGTACACAGCCCTACTCACTGTTTAAAGGCCAAGGGGGAGGGCCAAACTGGTAACCCTGTATCACATGTGGGGCAAAACCCTGTGCCACCAGCCAGTCCTTAGCCTGCCTTAGGCGGTTGAAATACAATATCCTGTGCTATAGGCCTGGCTGTTTCTAGTAGACTCCTTTAAACAGCCATGTGACAGATTAAAAGCCAAAGGCAGCAGTCTCCCTGAAGTTTAAGTCTTCCCAGTTGAATCTCTGCATGCCACACAGCTATGAAAAATGCAAGAAGGAACTGGCAACTTGGTGGGATGAGCAGAGGGGTTAGATCAGTTGCTAATTGATGTGCGTTTCTTGCAATGATCTCAGCTAAAGTATATAATTCAGTGCACCTCCGTCACTGGTTTTCTTACAGAGGCGCTGTCTTTAAAGTTTGCTCATAAATTTACAGCGTCTGTCTGAGAAGTAGAAGTTTCACACAATAAAACATTAATAGAAATGTTTCCTCATGGAGTCTCCTTCCCTTTCAGTGTCAATGGCAGTGCAATCAATGCATATGAACCAAACACTAGAAATGAAAGCAAAACTAATGAATCAATTTTACTGCCTCACCCCAAGTGGCAGATGGCAGCATTTTAAGATCTTTGCCAGATCTTTTATCTGCCATAAATGAGTCTCTTGACTCTTGAAGAGGCTCTGCATGTAGATTTCTTTCACACAGTGTTCTCAGTTTCAGTCTTTTCGTTTATCCTGCTCCTTAATATCTCTCCCCCCCCATCCCGCTTTCTGTTTTTCTCATCTGGCTCAAACAGAAATGGCAATGCCAGTCAAGACAACCACATATTTGGTTGATTGTGTAGAAGGAATCAAAAGTTAAGCCCCTGACCTTCTGCTTATCCATATGGTGACAGAGAAAGTCCATGAAGAAATCAGGAGTTTCTTTTCTCTGGCTTCCTCCTTTCATCACAGCTTCAAAAATATCAGCATGTTGGCAGGATTTTTTGGCTATGTCTGTAAAATCTGGCAGCAGCTCTGGCTGCGCTGGGATCATTGGCAGACACCAAAGTGTGGAAGGCATGGTAGAGATGGGAAAGAGAAGTAGCAACAGCTGAAGTCCTCAGACCACTTCCTCTATAGAGTTGTGAATCTTGCAAGATAAAAGGGGTTTAAAGATTGCAGCATTTGAAATTTCTGTTTTGCCCTTTTTGGTGCCAACTTTTAATTTGGCCCCTGTAGCGCAGCCTCTGGTGGCAGCTTGATCTGCAGACATTTGCAGGTGGTCATGTTTTTCTTCCTGCTATCAATAGCTTCCAAATGCTGATTTCTGCAAATCAAGCTGCTGTTTAAGGCTCTAGAGCAGCCCAAGCAAGCTTTTCTGGTCAGCTGGCATCCAATGCCAATCCAGTTTAGTTAGAACTTCTCCAAGGCTTTACATAGTCAGCTGCATTAAATCCTGCTAAGATTTTAGTTTGACTAGATAACATTTTATCCTGGGTAAAGATGTGAAGCCTTGTTGGAGCATTGATTCAGCATCCCTCTCCATGAATCTTAAATTTCCAATCAAATACATTAGTTCTTTCTGTGATTGCAGGCATAAGATTTCAACCTGTCAATGGTTTTTTTATAAAGATTGGCCTACAAGAAGAGAACAGCTATATGGAGCAAATAAAAACATGTTAAATCATTAACAAACATCAGTTCCAAGTTTATTGGCTGCTTGCTACTCAGCGTCAGCTGAATGCTTTTGTTTGTTGCTTGTTTGTATAATGTACTTTGTAACTTCCATTTCATCATGAATAATATGGGGAGGGGGAGAGCCATGGCATGATGCCCTGAACATGAAGGAAAGGTATATAAAAAGGAAAAAATAAAATAAATAACTAAATTAAAAACAGTTTCATAACTGGTGCAATTCCTTTGCTACACTTGCACTAAAAGAAACAGTTCCACTTCTCTGCCTCCCCCCACCCTTTAGCAGTCTGTCATTAACTGCCATGTGGGAAGTATCCTGATGTAGTGTTAAATGTTAATAATGTTTCTTGTGCTTTACAAACACATAAGTGAGTGCTGTTTGTAAGCTGCTTTGTATTATAACCTGAAAGGCAGGATATAAACAATTGTAACAAAGCCATAATATATTGGAAGCTGTTTTGCACCAAGTCAGACAATGGTCCATCAATCTCCATGCTATTGATGCCGACTAGCAGTAGCTTTCCAAGGTTCCAGGCAGGTCTTTCTCACTGGAGATGCCAGGGGTTTACTGTATGCAAAGCATGTCCTTTTCTACCAAGCCATTCCTATACTTCATCGGTTTCAGCACCATGTAAAAAAACAGGTTTCTTTTTGGAATAAGAGGAAGTAGAATATGCATTTTGATGCAGCCTACCTACAAGATTACGATGCCCATTTCAGCAACTAGTGCACATAGGACTGAGCATTTTAATTTTGTTTCCTAGGTAAGGATGGCACAGAACAAATACCTCGCAGCAAAACTGAAAAACTATTTGCGAGAAGACAAAATTCAGCTATGGAAACCCCCATATACAAACAGCTACCAGGAGGCGGGTGAGGAGCTGAAGGCAAGTAGTCTGTGGCTGGCTTTTTACTTTGTGCTGCTTTTTACTTCGTGCAAATTTACTGCTTTCATTTCTTAACAGATCCATTTTTATCATCCTAGGCTCTCGCACTGCAATATTCAGCCAGGCTAAATTGTAATGACAATGAAATAGAGGCCCTCCTGGAAGAGATACGCTCCAAAGCAGTCGAGCGAGGAACGAAAAATGAAGCTTATAAGATGACAGGAGTTGCGACGCTTGAAGTAGCCTTGCCTACAAGGTTGGGTAAAGTAAGCAATTGTTTAATGTTCTCAAAAGAAGCATATATAATATGTTAAGTAATTGCTGTGGATGTGTAATGAATGGAAACATTTCATGTATACAGAAGAGGCAGATAAGCTGCCTGAAATGGGTCTTCTCCTTGACTTATGTAGGGGGTGATGGAGCAAGGAGCCACTCGATTGGATAGCTCAGTTGGTTAGAGCACGGTGCTGATCATGCCAAGGTCTCAGGTTTGATCTCCATATGGGATAGTTGCATATTCCTGTATTGCAGGGGGTTGGATTAGATGATTCTCAGAATAATTTCCAATTGCACAATTCTAATATTCAGTGATTGGACTCCTTTTGTTTTACCTTAAGGCTTCATTGCATGGAACTTCACAGTTGGAAATTATAAAGTGTTGAGTGTCTTGCTTGGTTCTCCAGTGCTTTTAAAAAGCAATTTACAGATTTGACATTGGGGTCAAATAGCCCTAACATAAACCATTGTTTAGAATAAAAACTCTCAATTCCGGAAAGAAATTGGGATTTGTTGAATTTTGCAAGTCTCCTTGGAAGGAACCACACAGTTCGCTTTAACTTGGCATTTATATCTCTGCAGGCAAGAAAAAATGTGCTGGAGACAAAATTGGTCATCACAGGCAAGGAGCTCAGATCTCAGTAAGTAATTACCATTTGCCTTTTTGAGGTTTTCTTCCCTGCCCCCCTTTTATATAGTTCTTTTTATACCATATAATTTGGGTCTGGTGTATTCGTATTTGATATTTAACTTAGTTATGCCTCCTAAATTGAACACAGTAATGGCACCTTTGGCATATTTTGCAAATATTTGTATCAAAAGGTGCAGGTGGATTTTGTGCATATTTTTTCAAAAGTAAGTCTGTGAATTCATTGGGATTTACTTGTGGGGTTATAGCCCTGTGTGATTATCAGTTGAAACAAGAACGGGACTGACGAAGCCTTTTGCTTCTGTGGTTCTTGGTCTATAGCAGTGGTTCTCAAACTCCCCATCCCCATAGACCACTTGAAAACTGCTAAGGGTCTTGGTGGACCACTTAATGTTTTTTTTCCTGCCTGTTGTAGCAAAACTCAACTTCCTGTCTGTGTAGTAAAAATGTGTAGGGAAAAACCTCATTATTCAGAAAAAAATAAAATATTTCAGTATTTCCACACACCCCCCCCAGAAAAATAAGTTAGAAGTAAACAAAAAACACTAATACCCTGTTAAAACTGAATAGCATTTAATATCTATTGCTCTGCTTCACAGAATAGCACAAGCATATGGATTGGAAGAAAATTGCATCAAAATAATTATAAACAAGAAGCAGCTTGACCTGGGTATGTATCTTATCGTTTCAAATATGGTGACCATTTTGTGCATATGATTGACATGCAACCGCCAACACACACACTGCTTTTGGCCCCAGAAGACGGCAGAGGGTGGAGCAGGCTTACGTGTGACTGCTGACAGGCACACTGACCTGGAACGCAACTCTCGTGCAAATGGGGAGTTGGCTGTATTTACTATAAAGTGTTGTACAGTATTTTAATTGAAGTTGTGCCCTTTTTTTGTTTCTTTTAAGCCGTACGTTTAAAAAACTTTTAATCCCATATTCCTCCAGCTGACTTGGATGCATTAAACTTGCCTCCATTTTGCAGGAAAGACTCTAGAAGAGCAAGGTGTGACGCACAATGTCAAGGTCATGGTGCTTGAGCTGAAACTGTCCGAAGAAGAAACCAGGAAGAAAGTCCGCAGTGAGGAAATGCAACAGGAGGAAGAGGCTGTGAAGAAAAAAGAAATGAACAAAAGGATGCAAAGGACAAAAAAAGGTTTAGAAATACTTGCAGAGCGAGGTAAGGAGCTCTTGTAAATCCCATCATTAGCAGTACAGATTAAAATTCCATTTAAAGAAGAAGAATGAAATGGAAAGGGCATTGTCCTGCTTTGCAAATAGTGTGAAGATGCATGTCGTTCTTAAAGAGAGTCACAGCTGGTTTTTCTCTCGCAGTGTAAGCCCAGATCTGCTTTTCCCTCAACAGACATACAGTGGTACCTCGCAAGACGAAATTAATTTGTTCCGCGAGTTTTTTCTTCTTGCAAATTTTGTGTCTTGCGAAGCACGGTTTCCCATAGGAATGCATTGAAAATCAATCAATGCGTTCCTATGGAAACCGCCTTCAGACCAGGTCCGGGGACAGTCTGTCCCCCGACCTCTTCTGAAGGCTGGGGGGGGGCAAGGGCTTTTCTTCCCACCGCCAGCCTTCAGAAGGCTGTTCTGAAGGCTGGCGGTGGGAAGAAAAGCCCTTCTCCCCACCTCCCGCCCCGCAAGCTCCGGGGACAGGAGGGCTTTGCTGCCGACCGCCAGCATTTTAAAAGCCCCCGGGACAGCGGAGACTTCTCCGCTGTCCCAGGGCGATTTTTAAATGCTGGCGGGCGGCAGCGAAGCCTCCGCTGTCCCGGGGCGATTTTTAAATGCTGGCGGGCGGCAGCGAAGCCTCCGCTGTCCCGGGAGCTTTTAAAATGCTGGGGGTTGGCAGCGAAGGCTTCGCTGCCGCCCGCCAGCATTTTAAGATCGCACCGGGACAGCGGAGAAGTCTCCGCTGTCCCGGGAAGGCAGGCGGGGGGGAGCAAAGACTTTTGCCCCCCGCCGGGCTTCAGAAGAGGTCCAGGACCTCTTCTGAAGGCCGGCGGTGGGCGAAAGTCTTTGCTCCCGACCACCAGCATTTTAAAAGAGGTCCCCGGAGATTTCCCTATGGGCTTTCTTCTTGCGAAGCAAGCCCATATGGAAATTCGTCTGGCGAAGCACCTCGAAAAACGGAAAACTCTTTCTTCTTGCGAGTTTTCCGTCTTGCGAGGCATTCGTCTTGCGAGGTACCACTGTACCAGCAACTGCAGTCCTGGAACACCCATCAGCCTTGCCCTTCCTTCATGCTTCAGGCAGCTTGTGGGTGTTTTGTTTGCTTACAGCAGAGAGGAAGGACCTTTTGGGTCAAAAGGCCAAAGCGTTATATCCCACCCCATGTGTCACCTACTCCTAACTTGGACAGGCGCTCCACAAGGATACCAAGTTTCTTTGGTCATGGTTCTAAAATCCATAATGGTCCATGCAACTGAATGGTTGTATGTGTGTTATCCCAGCTAGGAGTTTGTCACTGTCATGGGTGTGAGACACCTGGTTTGCATGTAATGCTAAGTAGTAATACAGTGGTACCTCTAGTTACGAACTTAATTCGTTCCGGAGATCCGTTAACCTGCGACTGTTCTTAACTAGAGGCATGCTTTCGCTAATGGGGCCTCTTGCTGCCGCTGCGCCGCTGGCACACGATTTCCGTTCTCATCCTGGGGCAAAGTTCTCAACTTGAGGTAACTCTTCCAGGTTAGCGGAGTTTGAAACCTGAAGCGTTTGTAACCTGAGGCATTTGTAACTCAAGGTACCACTACAGTAATAATAATTTGTTATTTATACCCCACCCATCTGGCTGGGTTTCCCCAGCCACTCTGGGCGGCTCCCAATAGAATATTAAAAACACGATAAATACATCAAACATTAAAAACTTCTTTAAACAGGGCTGTCTTCAGATGTTTTCTAAAAGTCAGGTAGTTGTTTATTTCCTTGACATCTGATGGGAGGGCATTCCACAGGGCAGGAAAAAGACCTCAATTTCTTTTGGACAGAGTTGTATATTATTAAGAACCTCATTCAGGAACCACAAAATACCTTCTTCTTTTTTTAAAAAAAAGATGCAACACAATAATCAATTATTTCTCGTGGCAATTGATTTATCAAAAAACTAATACAGATGTGTTGTATACAGAACAAGGAACAATCCAGTGAAGCAGGCATTGTATTTTACAGATGCAATATTGAGAAACAGTGTCTTGGTCTATACATTACTGGAATTTAAAGGACCCAGAGCTAATCCTGCAAAGACACATATTTCCTCATTTTCTGTCTGATCTGTTTCAGAGGATTCCATGGATCCCGACAGAGCACCTTACCTGGACATAGCAAACCAAACCGGAAGAACGATCAAGATTCCTCCACAAGCAAAAAAAGTGAGTGTATGCTGTGAATAAGTTGCTCATTCTGTTCTGTTCGTTTCCCCGAAGAACAGGAAAGGCTTGCTTTTAATTGCAGTTTGCACTAAGGTTTAGTGTTAGTAAAATGCTTTCCCCTCCACCCCCACAGGCTCTTTTCTTAGCCATGGGCTATCATGAAAAGGGCAGAGCATTGCTGAAGAAAAAAGAATATGCTATGGCGCTGCCGTTCCTGTTGGATGCAGATAAACATTTCTGGTAAGAACCTCTTGGTACTTTTAAAATAAGTTTGGATATGGTTCTTTACAGAGCAATCCCATAACGTTCTTTTTAAAAAGAACTGGCAGTGTATCGCTGCTATAACCAGAACATGCCCCACATGGGAAAGAAAGGAGGACATGTCAGAATTTTTTTAAAAATCAGCAAAAACTCCAGCCACATTTCCACTGCCCTTAGTAGCAACACCACCCCTGTCCACAAATCCCATTTATATGTAGCCCACCCTGGGACTGCATGATTAAGGGTGTTGCTTTGAATGCCTATAAATAAACCCAGTCTCATTTTGGTTCTTACTTTGCCGTCTTTTTCTGCGCTGATACAGTGGTGTGTTCTCTGAATCCTATTGCCCAGGGGTGCAGAACCAGTCATCCAGGAATTGCATGCTGGCAGTAGGAGGGGCCAAAAAAAGAAGGGGTGCAACCATACCCTCCAAAAATCTTCTTCATGCCAAATTGCTTTGTGAGGGTAATCTTCACGGAGACTGCTTCTGGGAGGGTTAACCGTTCCCTCCCTAGCTGCACTGTTAAGAAAAATTCCCACAGCAATTAGGCTTGGAAACTGCCTTCTGTTAGCACCAGTAGAAGGCCTATGTGAGGTGGGCTGCGTTGCTGCTAAGATAGGAAGGCCCCTGCTGGCTGCTACCACCTTTCCTACAGCCCCTAGTCCAATGGAGTTTCAGTCAAGAACTGTACCCTTATCCACTGTGCTGCACTATTGCACCAGACTTTTAAGGAAAATAATGTGTATTTTGCAGCACTGCACATTTTATGTTCATGTAAATTCTATCAGTGGCTTAGCCTCTTTGGAATCATTCATTTTCTTGTTGTTTTTCAGTGAATGTGGTTCAGACCTCCTGAACACTGTTGATAATTACGCAGTGTTGCAGCTGGACATCGTCTGGTGCTACTTCCACTTGGGTCAGCTGGATTGCCTTGATGATGCTGAGAAAAAGCTCCTTGCAGCTCATGATTGTTTCAGGAAGTGTTACGGAGAGAACCACGAGAGACTGGTCACTATAAAAGTAGGCTAAAGAGGATGGTGTGCGGTTGTGGTAGGGTTTAATTCACTCGCCCTTGTTAGAGAAAAATGTGTTTTGGAAATGTGAACTGTCCCACTAGAGCTGGTTGCCTTCGGTACTCAGGACTTGCTTCTTGCTTTTCCCAAGGAAGGAGTGTGTTCTTGGGAACTAAAGGCGTGAATACAAAATCTCAGAAAGGAAGCGCATTCACAAAAGATGCATTGAATCCAGGACTGATTCTGTAAGATCACCTGTTATGTGTCTTCCTTCCGAATGTTGTTCTTCTGACATTGCATTTTTTGCACATCATGGAACACAGAAGTAACTCTGAGAATTGCACTTAAACTTCTGCAAAGGCTAGGGCAGTGGAAATTGTAGCAACTCAGGAGGGTTGCATGTTCTCAATCCTTGGTAAATTCAAGCAGAAAACCCAGTTGCGCTGTTAACACTCTTGCTAAGGATGCCGTGGTGTGGATATCTGTGGGCCCCTCTCAAAGAGCAACAGTCCTAGGGCCTCTGTTTTACCAATCTGGTTAGAATGCCTGAAAGGACTGTATAAACTATACTGAGTGAAGACTGCGGACTTCTGAAATTCTGCTGTTGCATACAAATGGCCTCACGTTCTGTAGCTCCTTTCATACTCTCCAGTTATCTGTCCCTTGAGGTTCCGTATCTTGAATTTGCACGACAAGCAAAGAAAAGGAATAATCCTCCAACTCAGAGCAGTCATTCAGCCCTACTATTCCAATTAATGTTAACAAAAGTAATGAAATCTGATCCCTGTGTAATCCGGTGGGAAGGTGCTTCTAAAGATTAAGCGAAACGCAGAAGCATTTAGCAGGAGTATTCCGGCTGTGCCCATTGAAGTGAAAGGGAGCTGAGCAAGCACCAGGCGGCTCTTGCAGTTTCCATTTGTTTTGGTGGGTTTTGTCCAGCCTGATGGTTCTTCACAAAGCAGCATTACAGATCCAAAATAAACTAGGCCCTAAGGCTGGGCTCCCAACGCAGCATCCATCGGCACCACAGTGCCCTCCTACACATCAGTCTCATTAAGGACCCATTCCCCTCCTAATTTATAAATTGAGGTGTATGGGGCTTGTTTTGCTTTTGAGTGGAGCTGCTTGTTTGAACAGGTACCTGTTTTTATGGAGGGGGTCTGTCTTTCTTGTCTGTTATATTTGTTCTTTTGCAAGGTATAGGTGTCTGGGGGTAGGTTCCTGAGCATCACCAGTTTTTCTTCTGTGAAATAGGTATTTTTGTGGTGGGTGCCCATGACAGTTTTTGAGATTCCCAGATGTCCCTAGGCCCAAAAGGTTGGGCATATTTTCTCCCCTTTCAAAGCCTTTTGGGTGGCTAACCCACATACAGCAAATGACGGAGAAAACAAAAAAAAACCAAAAATGTATAGGTGCTTCTTATTGTTAGTAATCTCTTCATTATTCATTGATTGAATTTCACATTAAGCCTTTTCTAGATTATTGGTTGCATATCTGGTTTTCAGGTTTCAGCCTCTTATTTGACATTACAGGTTATTTGCCTGATCTTTAACCAGTCCATTTCATGGGAATCTTTGTAGAAAACTCAAGTGTTCTTGTTTCAGTTTCCCAAATTTCAAGAGATAAAGTGCAGTGTCAAGTTTGTATGTTGTTCCATATACAAACCATTTTTTTGTACCTTGTGGTTGTGGGGTCCTATTTTTCTCGCGTACATTTTTTGTAAACTTACATGACTTTCAGTAAATAAACAGAAGGCCCATAAACTATGTTTTTGTTGAATTGTACTTTTGAGTTTACCCATTTATAAGCGCTTGCATTTCTTTAGGGAAGCTCTGGGAGAGAGAAGGCTTTGTTTCTAAGGCTGTACTTGCTTCAAGGAATAAGCCATTATCATAATGGCAGAGAGAGGGAGGCTGGTGAAAATCTTCAAAGGGTAAGTTTCTGTGTTTAGTGTTGGACTTAATAATCCCTCCCTAAGCATGTGCAGTTGCCTGGAAGGAGGCCCCTTTGAACACAGTCGTGAAGCATCAGATTCCCAGTTTTATTTTTCCCAAATAGCCTGTAAGCAGAAAAACGGTTTTCTTCATATTTTATTCATTCCCTTGAGCAGAAGTGTATTTTTCCTTTTCCCCTTCTTTTTCTATGCAGGCACATGACTTGTTTAAAGAGTTGTGCATCGATCCTGACAAGATAAATAGCTTGTTGCTACTGGGATTCTCTGCTCAGGAAGCCCGCCTGGGTCTCCGAGCTTGCGATGGGAATGTGGACCACGCTGCCAGCCACATTTCCAACAGGAGAGAGGTACAGTGCCAGGGTGGTACCATAAGGGTCTGTTTTATAGTACTGTGCTGCAGCAAGTGGGGAAACATGAGGAAAAGCTAAATACCACCAGCATTGGAGATGTGTGTGTTTGTGTTGCTGCATGACAAACCACTGAAGACACCTCAGAGAGGTTTCCGCATAATGACCGAATGGGTGGATCCAACCATTAAAGAGGCAGAGCTGTACTCACTTACACGTTGCTTTTCCCATTTAAACAGGTCATGGGCCAAATTTCTGAACAGCTTCTGAACTTCTGAATTTAATGAGCAATTTGAACATCCTTTGGCAGAAACCTCTTGAGAGAGGTGAAAAAAGAAACTTGTCCAAAGTCTGTGTTGAACAAACCCGTTTTGATTGTAATAATAATAATAAATTTTTATTTATACCCCGCCCTCCCCAGCCAAGACCGGGCTCAGGGCGGCTAACAACCAATAATAAAAACAAGTTGATTAAAATACAATTTAAAAGATTAAGATACAACATTAAAACAATTAGGGAGCAATCTCTTCATAGGAGGAGAAAGGAAAAAGAAAGAGTGGGAGGGAATCAAATTGGCTCCAAGCCAAAGGCCAGGTGGAACAACTCTGTCTTACGGGCCCTGCGGAAAGAGATCAGATCCTGCAGGGCCCTGGTCTCAAGAGACAGAGCATTCCACCAGGCCGGAGCCAGTGTTGAGGAGGCCCTGGCTCTGGTTGAGGCTAATCTAACTTCCTTAGGGCCCGGGACCTCTAGGGTGTTGCTATATATGGACCTTAAGGTCCTTCAAGGGGCATACCAGGAGAGGCGGTCCCGTAGGTACGAGCGTCCTAGGCCATGAAGGGCTTTAAAAGTCAAAACCAGCACCTTAAATCTGACCCTGTACTCCACCGGGAGCCAATGCAGCTGGAAAAGCACTGGGTGAATATGCTCCCATGGCAGAGACCCCGTGAGGAGCCTCGCTGCAGCATTCTGCACCCGCTGGAGTACAGAATGTATTGTGGACTTTCTTTGCATTCCCTGTATCACTTCCTTGAGAACTATTGCACCAAGTGGCTTGATGACTGCCACTTTCATCAGGTCCACTGTAAGGACGCCAGCAAGAAACAGTTGTAATGGGAAGAAATGTGTCTGAGTCAAAGGATAAATCTTAACAACACAGAAAATATCCACCAGGAGTGTGTGTGGGTATGTAGCTTGCTTATATAATAAATAGCTTTCTCTCTCCACCCCCGCCCCCCCTAAACCACCACTTGTACAGGAAAAAGCTCAAATAAGAAGAGAGGAGAGAGCTAAAAGAAGAAAGCGATTGGAGGACATTAACTCCTTGAAGAGTATGGGCTATTCAGAGCGAACTGCTAGAGAAGCTCTTCACAATGCAAAAGGAGACCTTGAACTAGCGGTTAAGGTAAATGCTTTTCCAAACTTTTATTAAACTGCAAAAGAAAAATCCCACATTCAGTTGAAGTACATAAAAAGAAATTCTCTTGGCTTTATAGTTTCTCTGGCCTTCTTCACTTTTACGGACCCTAACATTAAATCCCAACCTGGCGAATCAGGTTTCACTGTCCGCTGATATGTAGAGTCTTGAACATGTTTATTGGACCTGCACAACACTCTTGATTCTAGGAGTTTCTTACCAAGCCTCCCTGTGCCTGGATCTGCGAAATGAAACAAATGGATTTCAGCCGCAAACAAGTTCACTGAGCAAATAAGGAAGAGGGGGTGTCATGCTCCGTTTAATGATCCAATGCCTGTTGTTTCCCCCCTAGAAAATGGAAAGGGTGGCCATTAAAGAATGAAATAATGGCTGTCTTTTTGGCTACCCTTCAGGAGTCCTACGCTGAGTGGTCAGTGGCAACCAAAACGAGATGGAGGATAGTCTGGGGTGCATATAATATCCCACCCCACCCTCCATTTTTATTTTTATTTTTTGGGACACTCTAACTTTTGTGTGAACTGGGGAGGCATAAATTTGTTCAGTACATATACTCACTGTTTTTTTTTTAATAAAATTTTTATTAAGATTTTTACATTACAAAATAGAAAAAGAAAAAAGAAAAAGTACAAAATAAAAATAGTTAAAAACAATCAATCTTTTCATATACTCACTGTTTGTTGTCTGCTCTAGATTATGCTTGAAAACCCTCACCTACTCCTGTCAGATGATGACGATCCGGTGCCCAGGAACCAGTTTCAAGTTCCCCAGGAAAGTATTGATCAAGTAAGTCCAGAGAATAAGCTTACATTTAAGAAAAATAAATCCAGTGACTTTTAGGGTTATCAGGCCTTGTTCTCCTTCTAAGGTTCAGTTACAGTTCATTGCAAGCTACTGTTTACTTCAGCAAAGCCGATTAGTAGACCCTAGGTATATTTGTGGTGCATTTTCCCCAAACCCAAACCCATACCTCTTGCATCATGGAACAAGAGCTGAGAGCGTGGAGTTTGTATACGGAACGTGCACTTCAAACTCCCATTCAGCCATGCAGTGGTAGCCTTAGGCAACTGTTCTCTCTTGGTGGAACACAAATTAAAGTCATTCTTAGAGTGAGATTTATTGAAATCAGTGATGCTTAAGTTAGTCATGACTTGGGTCTAAATCTGACTGCACACTGTCTTTTTGTGTTACAATAACCTAGCTTATCATGGGACGCGGGTGGCGCTGTGGGTTAAACCACAGAGCCTAGGACTTGCCGATCAGAAGGTCGGCGGTTTGAATTCCCACGACGGGGTGAGCTCCCGTTGCTCGGTCCCTGCTCCTGCCAACCTAGCAGTTCGAAAGCACGTCAAAGTGCAAGTAGATAGATGGGTACCGCTCCGGCGGGAAAGTAAACGGCGTTTCCGTGCGCTGCTCTGGTTCGCCAGCAGCGGCTTAGTCATGCTGGCCACATGACCCTGAAGCTGTACGCTGGCTCCCTTGGCCAGTAAAGTGAGATGAGTGCTGCAACCCCAGAGTCGGTCACGACTGGACCTAATGGTCAGGGGTCCCTTTACCTTTAGGGAGCCAGTGTGGTGTAGTGGTTAAGAGCGGTAGTCTGCTCATCTGGGGAACCGGGTTCGCGTCTCCGCTCTTCCACTTGCAGCTGCTGGGTGACCTTGGGCCAGTCACACTTCCTTGAAGTCTCTCAGCCTCACTCACCTCACAGAGTGTTTGTTGTGGGGGAGGAAGGGAAAGGAGAATGTTAGCCGCTTTGAGACTCCTTAAAGGGAGTGAAAGGCGGGATATCAAATCCAAACTCTTCTTCTTCTTCAAACTCTTCTTTAACCTAGCTTATCAAGCTGTTTTGACATGAAAATGCTTTGTTGCCCTCTTTGGAGGAAGGGTCCAATGGCTGGTGACGTGTATATCTTCCTTGTCCTTTTCTTGCCTAGTTGGTGTATATGGGCTTTACTCCTGAAGCAGCAGAGCAAGCTCTGAAAGTATTTAAAGGCAACATTCAGCTGGCTGTGCAAACGCTTGCTCATTATGGGGGATCTCTCCCTGCTGAATTACAGACCCCTTCAGATAGCATCACTCCCTCAGATGAATCCAGTTCATCAAAAGACTCTCCTACGGACTCTGCAGGTAAAGGGGCTTGATCCAGGGTGGGTGGGTGAGATACTCTGGGGTGATGAAACCAGGAGAGAAGAGGGAATTATGTCGCATACATAGTGCCGGTTGAGACAAGGAGGATGGAGCACAGAAATACTGGGAAATTTCCTTGTCCATGGGCAGCTTCACACGTGTTTGGACTGTGGCAGCAAAGAGAATGCTAAGTCAGACATTGCACTATAAAGTTGAGGCGATTCACACATTCAGCTGTGAGTTCTTATCACACAATGCATGTGGGAGCTGTTCCCCATTTCTCAAATTGCTTAGTTCTCCATATTGGCTGTGCAGCTGCGAAGTAGCCGCCTGATGGCTTGACACTGTAAAACTGACAAGACAGCTTTACAGAAGTATTTCTGATGGTATGCACTGGAAGCCTTTGAATTAGTCTCTTAGTGTTATTGCGCAGCTGATAGGTTTGTTTGTTTGTTTTATTTTCATTTAAGTAGGATAGCTCAGTTGGTAGAGCATGAGACTCTTAATCTCAGAACATGGGTTCAAGACCCACATTGGGCAAAATATTTCTATATTGCAGGGGGGAGCAGACTAGATGATCCTCATGGTCCCTTTCAACTCTACAATTCTGTGACTTGCAAATAAGATACATATATCCAGTAAAAAAAAAAACAACCTAACCTCAACTACATTTAATTGCTGCAATTACTCTGACAGCATTATTTACTTTTTTTATTTTTATTTTTATTAATACCCCACCTTTCCACCAGAACCAAGTCTTAAGGATGCTTACAAAAATTAAAACAAGCACAGATTCAACACAGAAAGCTAAAACCGATAAAAGATGAGTTTAAAAGTAATTAAAACAATGTTTAAAAAATCCTAAATATAAATATTAAAAACTCTAAAAACAGCACAGCGCTATTAAATACTGACAATATTTCCTGATGGGAAATTTGTTGTTCCAAACATCACTAACGCTGCCCATCATTTCTTAGGCTGCTGAGACACTGCATCATCCTGACCTGTCTGTACATCCATAATGGCTAATAGTTTTGTCATAAGAATTATGTGCACAATTTGTCTGCACTATACATTGGTAAATTGTAATTATTGAATATGTTATATGGTCATAAGCAACCAATCTTTTATTTATTTATTTATTCCCCATAAATCATCTTACTATTTTTATTGCTATCAGGAGAGATACTAAAAGTGGTGAGTTAGTTGCAGGCAGTTTGAGAGACACTAAACGTGTTTTTTTATATAAAAGAATAAGAGAGTACCCTGATGTGCTCTCTGAACTTCTTTGAGCAGGTTCCAAATTTGAAAGTCTTGAAACTACGGCAGTGGGTTGGTTTGTATAGTTTCCTGAACTTCAGTGCATGTCATAAATCTTCCTATCATGAATATATTGCAGAGGCAGGTCCGTCTGGCCCCTTCCTAGTCTGAGACTTCTTTTGCCACCTTAATATCTTTATAGAAGATCACTGAAGTTATTGGAGGTGACTCAGATGCCCACTTGTTCCCTAACAACATCTTTGTACTACTTAGGCTATGTATAGATAGATGTTTTTTCATGTGTATATATAGACTAGGAACATCCCATTCTTTCAGGTGGATTTCTAGTCTCAGCTATCCATTATCATAACAGATATCCCGACTGGACTCCCACCATTGACCAAGAGAACTTAATATGACTATACATTAATGTCAATTACCATTGCTGTCTGGCAATGCCACCCCTTGTCCCTCCATCTCCTTTACGAAACCTCAGCTTTGATGCCGGGGATTTTGGTAGGTCCAAACAAAGTAGTTTGTAATTGCTTGAATCAAGTCCAGCTTTTCTTCCTTGGGCAGTTTTATTATCAAGTTACGAAAGAAAGAAAAACTCAGGCAAGACGTGCATTTTTAGCTTTGTCGTCCTGTCCAGCAGAGTTATGTTTTCAATTTTGACCGCTCTAGTATTTGCTGTTTCACCTTGAATATGAGGCTATTATTTTCGATCATTCATTTTTTCTGTCGTTTGAAAAAGTGCCCCAGATATCTCCCTATGTTTGGCTTTCCAGTTGGCTTTACTCAGACTTGTCAAAACTCATATGCTGCCAGATCTCAAAAAAAGCTCATTTAACTGTGACAAGGTTAAGGCTCTTGGGGGGAAGGGGAGAACCCAGGCTCTCCAACCATGTGTCTTCCACCCTAAGTCATCCTGTGGACTTTAGGGTACAACATTGATCAATACATCAGATACCAAAGATGACACGGGAGCCTTGTTTTATGCCTCTCTGAAGATAGACAGTCCTTGACTGCTGCCCATTGCCCAGAATGCCAACTGTAAAAGGAATCTATCCAAATTCTTATCCCATACGTTTAAAGTTTATCTAAAGCACCTCTTAAAATATTATATCTCCTTTCTGCATCTTCTGTGCATTCATTAATGGAGAAATGGACACATTTGGTTATACCAATTACTACACCTTTCATTTTTGTTCATGGGGGAGCGGGTTGCTATGTAAAAATTAGATCAAATTCCTCCCTTAAGAAAAGAGAGCCGTCATTTTTAATGGGTTGTTCAACCCACTTACATTCAAGCTCATCCATTTGAAATTACTCATTTTTTTATTTTTTTGTCTGAAAAAAGAGAAAAGGAAAAAGAGGAAAGAAGAAAGAGGAAAAACTCAAGGTAATAACGGCCTTCCTATTATCACTAATTGGTTGTCGGAATGAGATGAAACATTATAATTAAACGCAAAGATGGCACCCTAAAATTCCCCAGTGTATCTTCAGGGCAGCACTGCCTTCACAATCTTCTTTATTTCTTATATCCTCTGTTGTCATGTCATTTAAAGCTACACTTTCAACCTCCTCTGAGCTTATATATATGTTATATACCCTCTGCCTCTTGCACTGAGTGATAGTCAGCTCTCTTTAATAATCTACCATTAATTTCATGGGAAACCCCAATCTGTATATTCACTTTTCTTTACTTAATGGTGGTTTTAAAAATGTAATTTCTTCCTTTTCAAGTATAAACCTGAATAAACTAAAACTTCCAATCATTCTACCATCAATTTAGGGATTTTGTATAGTGCATTTCCTCTAAATCTTTCTTCTGCCTGTTCTATAATTTTACTAAGAGATTTTGAGACATGTTGGTTTTTCTAAAATGTTTATTTAAGATCCTATGGTTGAAATCCTATGCCCATTTTCCTAGAAGTAAGCCCCTCTGAACACAGTGGGCCTTTGAGTAAGCATGCACAGGTTTGTGTTGTAAAAGCTTTAACAATCTTTGCTTTGGTCTTAATACCTGAACTTATACATGCAGTGATCAGTTCCTTTAGACTGCAATCCCATACACACTCACTTTGGAGTAAGTCCTACTGTGACTTAATTCTGAATAGACATGTATAGGATTACGCTTTTACATAAAGAACTAGCTCAGCTCCATCTCCTTCCTTCAGTCTTCTTACTCTGATGATACCCTGTTCTTATGCTTCTGATGTCTATATCCTCTGAGGGATCTGAGAAATTATCTGCTGTCTCTTCTTGTTCATTAAACCTTTTGCTTGTATGTGAAAGGCTCTTACAAACTTGTTTGTACTTGTCACAATTTCCTAGATTCCTTTTTGTATTTTAACCACTTTCTGTTCTTATACTAAATTTGTTTTATGCTTGAACGCTCTAAATCTAAAGAGCTTACTTTCAAACGTTGGCTTCTGCTTCATGCATGGATTTTATAATGGGTTGCATGTAGCCAATGCTGGTTCTACTCTGAGTAGGGCCATTAAAATTAATGGACATAACTAACTTAGGTCCATTGAGTTGGATACAACCCACTAAATGATATTTTTCTTTAAATATTAGCTCTTTATCCATAAAAAAGTCTTGCACAGTGACGACTTGAATAGATTCCAGGGTCAAGTCACTAGCATCTTGGGGTGGTTCCCCCCCCCCCTTTCGTTATGTTAATGTTCACAATACCATTGTCAGTAACTAGTTACGGGTCTGGACGTTATGGAAATAATCCCTGCTTCTCATCCCCCACTGATACCGTGCTTGATAGAATCTGGAAAAGGTTTAAGTCTGAACAGTACAGTGGTGCCCCGCAAGACGAATGCCTCGCAAGACGGAAAACCCGCTAGACGAAAGGGTTTTCCGTTTTTGAGTTGCTTCGCAAGACGATTTTCCCTATGGGCTTGCTTCGCAAGACGAAAACGTCTTGCTAGTCTTGCGATTTCCCCCCGCTTCCCCCCCTTTTTCTAAGCCGCTAAGCCGCTAATAGCCTTTTAGCAGCTAAGCCGCTAAGCCTTTAATAGCCGCTAAACCGCTAATAGCGCTAAGCCGCTAATAGTGTTGCTTCGCAAGACGAAGAAACCGCTAGACGAAGAGACTCATGGAACAGATTCTTTTTGTCTTGCGAGGCACCACTGTACATCTCAACTATTGACCAGATTAGAGATTCCTATAAAGCCTTTTACCAAATCAAATTGTTGATGCAAAGTACTGTTGCAGAAGAGCTAATGTTATGGTGAGGGGCCTTTTGAGACTTGAGAATTAGAGACTTTTCCGTCATGTGTGCTGCATGCCTGTCTTGTTTGCAGGCACTTCCGGGGCGTCAACTGATGAAGACATGGAAGTAGATGCTGTCAATGAAATCTTAGAGGACATCCCAGAGCACGAAGAAGATTATCTGGACCTAACTCTGGAAGAGGAAGAGCTTGTCATCAATGAATACCTCTCTTACATACAGCACCTGCAAACACAGTCCCAGTAGGCAAATTCTGAAAGACTCCAGTATCACATACATGAACCAGCATTTGTGGGGCTTAGATCCAGGGGGGAAATTAGTTGCATGTAAGTCGCAGTGAAGTCAGTGGGTCATGACTAATTTTAAGTGTAATGTACTTAGTCTAGATTAGGACCGTGGACTTCTAATACTTAGATTGCAAATATGTCTGACCCTCTTTTTGCCAAATGCCTTAAGTTAAGTCAGTTGCATATTTTTTAAAAACAAACACTGGCATGAGTAAAACCTGTAGTACTATTAATCTAGAGTGACACTGGAGAGGAATACATTTAATTGTAGAAGAAAAATATTTGCAGAAGAAATATTTTTATAGAGAGCTTCGATATATTATATTGGTGTGAAATTCATCTATTTAATTAGTAGAGCAAATAAAATCAGTTCTGCATACATTCACAAAACCCAGATTTCTTTTAAAACCGCAGATCTGACTGTGACAGCACATACATAGTATCCACTGTGACTAGCTCTAATATCTTCTGGTCGCAGAAATAGAGACCTAAGTGTATAGATTTTGTCCGTTCTTATAGAGCTTTTTCTGGCCATCCTGTATTCTAGAGCCAGCTGTAAATCTATGGTGCATGGACTTTAAAGAGCTCCTTTTTTCAATAATGCAGTAACAACCAATAAAAAAAACCCCTCCCATCCATCACATTTATTGCAGTTTCCCCATAAAGCTGAGGACTGCCCATTTGGAAGTGGTAGGTACTGAAGTTAATTAATTATCTTTAAAGGAAGAGGCTCTTGGGCAATGTCCCATGTTGCTTTTCCCTGCTGATGCTTTTCCCTGGAAAAGTGATACAAGTATGGATATTCATACTATACAAATAGCCAAACATGTGCTTGAACTTCAGTTGCAGCACATCAGTTTAGGAGACTTTTGTTTCAATTGCAGCCATTTTGTGACCACTTCCCCTTGTCGTCAAAATGCAAATGAAAGAAATACTGAAAGCAGAGCTTTTAGAAATGGGCTGGTGGGTTCTCCTGAGCTGCCTTGCTTAACCCTGTTCAAGAAGGGAATTGTGTGGCCTCGCTTGCACTAAACCAAACCATGCCTTAGCAAAAAGGAGCAAGTATGCCAGGCACTCAGAGTGAATATCATGGTCACTAGGCCGTGGTTCGGTTTAGTGCTGTGAGTGAACCTAGACTTGTGTGTCTCCCTGAAACAAACCACTAGTGGTGAATCTAGAACCACAAACTTGGATTCACACACAACACCAAGCCCAAACCATGCCTTAGCTCTGGGTAATATGGCAGCAGCAGGACAAGGGGAGGAGTGAAAGGGTTGTGATTTTTGCCAAGCCATAATTTGGCTTAGTGTTACGCGCAACCTGTGACGTGGTCTTTAGTCTAGGCTGTGCTTGTTCAGTAGTTCCAAAATTTAAGGTTTCTTGCCTTAAAAATAGAAGTGTGTTAAAAGTACAAAGGCAGGTGCCATGCTGTGTTAAACCAGTTAAACCATCCAGTTCAGTACTGATAACTCATGGCATCATTGGCTCTGTGGGATCTCATGCCAAGAAACACCTTTTCCAGTTTTTGCAATATCCCGTAACTGCTAAATCTGTGTCTTCAGTAAATCATCCTGCACTGTTATGACTGCTGATTAGCAAACCTTGGAAAATTAACTTGCAAACTGCAGCCATAGAGAGCCTATAGGAGGTGGTTTTGATCTGGACAGGGTTGGCAACGTGGTACGATTCTTCCTTGTACTGCTGGCTTACAAATCACTCCCCTCCTTTATCCTTCCAACGCAAATTAAGCCCCTCTTGATAACCAGACAGGGAACTACTGGTTGTAGTGGTGATGTAGCCACAATCTCATGTGCATTTATGTATACACCAGTTTTTGCAGCTATAAACAAGGGGAAGTAAATAAAGAATTGTTGGTAAAAACATGGCAGACACTATTTGTTAACCTGCCTAGCAGTCCTAGTTCTGAAGGCAGCCTCCAATGTGTTTAAAATGCAACGAAATAGGCAAAAGAAACTAGTAAGAGGCAAATGTGTATACAAGTTTTTTTCCGCAGATGTTCCAGCTGCTACTGTGCTTCTGAATCCCTGGACCACAAAAAAAATCTCAGAGTAAATTGCTCTGAAATGTTAGTCTCTCACCTAGGAGGCTGCCATTGCCTCCTTAAATCTCCTGTAGTTTGGTCTCCTGGGGGCAGATTCAAGAGGCACCAGGAGAGCAAACGTGTTTATATAGCAATAAAGCTTCATGATCTTAACTGGCAAAATAAGTTGCTGTCTCGCCACTAGAGGTCAGCCGGGATTCATTCAGTATTTTAACTAATATGAGACAGAAATGCAGGGTTCCTGTTCTGGAGATAATGCTCCTTAAGGCTGTGCTGGACTTGCTGCCATTGAAATGGCTTGGTCAGGACAGGGGCAGGCAGCCAGGTCACGGAGCATCATTCTCCCATCAAGGCACACCCCAAAAGCCACAAACCAAGTCTGCTGGTCATCATCAGAAGGCGATCTTGAACCTGGATGTATTGTGTGCACATTAGGCACCTTACTTCACTTTTCCAAGGGACAGGACTAGAAAATGGTAGGTTTCGTTTTTCTGAAATGTGCTGATGCACTTTGGGTGGTAACTTTATGATTGAACACAGTCATTTGGGTGATGACAAGTATCAGGCACATGAGATTTGCTTCTCAGATAAGGGGGGGATGTAGCAGCTCCTACCAGTGTCATTGTCCTTACACATAACTAGCACTTTCTGATGGGAAGACAATGTGCTGGTTATCTGTTATGTTTTCAGCCATACAGACAGAATAAAGAGTATCTGCACTTGCTTGGAGACTTAATTCATTTTATGAATTCTTGAAAGGCCCAGCCATAGTGGTGGAGAGGAAGTGGGGCTCCTGACACTTTTTCTGTAGTCTTTTTGGTGCTAGGTTTCTTAACTGTGTTTTAAATACAATGGTACCTCGGGTTAAGAACTTAATTCGGTCGGGAGGTCCATTCTTAACCTGAAACTGTTCTTAACCTGAAGCACCACTTTAGCTAATAGCTGCCGCTGCACCGCCGCCGCACGATTTCTGTTCTCATCCTGAAGCAAAGTTCTTAACCCAATGTAATATTTCTGGGTTAGTGGAGTCTGTAACCTGAAGCGTATTTAACCCGAGGTACCACTGTACAGGCTGTGAACAGTGCTTGCATGCTTGCTGTGTCTGTTGTAAAGACACTTTTTGCTTTTTACAGCTTGTTTCTAATTGTGTTATATTGGTGTGTGTGTATATGTATAATAGCTGTATCTCCATTTACGTAACCCTCTGGTTATGCAAACTTCGGGATGCGCACGTGGCAAACCTGGAAGTATTTTACCAGGTTTTGCCTCACATGCGCAGAAGTTGCAACCTCAGGTTGCGGAAACCTCGGGATCCGACCCAACCTCCGGAACGGATCCTGTCTGCAACCGGAGGTATCACTGTATATATAAATTTGTCAACTGCCCTGGGAATATTTCCTGATGGTTGGCTAGAGAAATTTAATAACAATTTCAATGGTCGTGATTTACCCAGGCATGCAAGCCTGTTAACATGAGCAGAAAACTGAGGGTAAGTTGTAGTTTGAGAGACAAAGAGGCGTGTGCCGCCCTGTGACATCTTCCCCCAAGAAGTACAAGTCCCCAAGTTCCTTTGTTCTTGTTGACACTTCCTATGCATAGGCAGCAGGAGCCAGCAAGGCTTGGCCTCTTGACTGGCAGCAGGAGGAAGAGACAAACAGGAATTGAAGGCGGTGAGACCTCAGGGACAGGGGAAGCCGGTGCCCCAAACGTGAGTTTTTAGTCTCCTGGCTCCAGAGCACCTAAAAAGATTTGTCACTGGGGTCACATCCATGCCATACATTTAAAGCGCTCATATCTCCCTGGTAACAGCCATGGTCTCCCAGATAATCCTGGGATGTGTAGTTTGTTAAGGGTGCTGAGAGTAATGAGCTGCCACAGAGGTACAATTCTCAGCACCCTTTATACAAACTACAGTTCCCAGAGCACTTTGCGGGAAGCCATGACTGTTGAAATTGAGGAACAGGAAATTGTCTAAATGGCTTTTGTCATGCATGCTTATAATTGAAAGACCATCCTGAGCAAATCAAGCATCCAGAAGTGTAAGCGAGTTTAAACAAAGCTAACATGCGTGGATGTTGAATTATGGGGAAATACTATAAGAATACAGGGCTAGTTCAATTACACTACACCATAGGGCATCATAAGTAAGGGTATGAGCAAGAAGCAATTCCAGAAGGCCCAGGAGAAGCAGGCGGCAGTGGTGAGGAGAGGAGAGGGGATTACTAGGAATGAGATCAGGAGATGCTGGGGAGCTGCCATGTTTGCAGGCAAGCAGGCAAGGCACATGCAGGCTCTTCGGTCAGTGGGGCTCAGCACCCACCTGGACAAATGTGCCAAACTCAAGCAGCCTGGATTCAACCTGGGAACATGAGCCCTTCAGGGTCCTCTGGCATTTGAGGATGATGATAACATGGATAGAATACTGCCCTACTTTACAAAAGAGGTTATGTGGAGAAGGTCCATAGCACCTCCAGCTAGTGCTGGGAGTGCTCCTTTCCTGAAACCCTGGAGAGCTGCTGTCAGTCAGTGTTGACACTACTGAGTTAGATGGACCGCCGGTCTGACTCATGTAAGGCAGCTTTCCTGTCTTCCACTGAAACGTTAATGGGGAGACGCCTCACAAGCGGCTTCTTTTTGTAAGGAAGCCATCCATTAGCACCTACCGTGTGCCATTTGCCTTTCCTTTTTAAGAATAAGTTTTAAAAATTTGTAGAGTTGTCACATTTATGAGTACTATGAGAGCTAATTAGTGTAGAAGCCATTAGCCCTGCGTCTTTTACTTGGAACGCTGAAAGCACCCCAAAAGCTGCCACTCCAGCTGGAAAGAATTGTGCAAGTATTTGCAGTTTGCACAGCAAGAGTAATTGGCAGAAGCGTGAGAATGTTGTAATCTGCTCAGGAACAGGAAAGCAAATAAAAGATGCATTCATCCACCCCAAACGAGCAGGCAGAAGAATTGGCTGTAAGCCTCAAAAGCCGTCCCGTCCCCCCACCAACTCTCTGACACTGTAGGGCTGGTACTATTGAAGTCAATTGAACTACTCCACAGTCTCCGCCACTGCCCCTTTTTCTCCTGTGTCCAGTTAACTCTGCTGCTCATCCTTGCTCAAAACCTATCAAGATTGCAAAATAATAATAATAATAATAATAATAATAATAATAGTTAATAATAATAATAATAAATAATCCAGTCATTTAAAAATAAAATATTGGCCCATGCCCTCCCCTCCAGGAAACTATCAGCTTGCAATTGAGCTCTTGTGCAACTTATACCAAATGCCCCCCTTCTTCTCCCTTCTATCTTACGGATATTTAGCCTCTTGGTTTTTTTCCATATATATGAGTTACACTTCTGAATGAATGAACTTTATTACAGGCATAGACCAGCATAAGAAAAAAAAATTCCATATATATATTTTTTGTACTTCTGCCAACCTCTAGGATTTCCCCTTAGCATGACGCTACCTCCATTCTTGGCTTCCTCTGTTTCACCTCCATTTCCCTCAGCACTGCCCACCTGAGTTGTTATTAGAGGAAATGGCTGTTTCATTAAAGGCAAACTGAAAGCAAGGTTTGTCACCTGCTTTGGCATTGTATAGTTGTTGTTTTTATTATTATTATTGAAATGAAAAGCTGCTGGAGGGAACCAGATTAGAACTATGGGGTGGGAATGGTAGCAATGGGAGCACCAATTGGGATCATTGTAGGGGCAATGGGTGAATGCACAACCTGCTTTGGTCAGCTGGCAATTGGGTCTTTTTAATTCAGTCTAGTGAAGAGAGAGGATAGATAAAGTATACACGCACTTCATATTTACAGTGGTGCCTCGCAAGACGAAATTAATTCGTTCCGCAAGTTTTTTCTTCTTGCGAGTTTTTCGTCTTGCGAAGCACGGTTTCCCATAGGAATGCATTGAAAATCAATCAATGCGTTCCTATGGAGACTGTCCGGGGACAGAGGGGAAGCGCCGCGCGCCTTCCCCTCTGTCCCCGGACCTGTTTTAAAGCAAGGGAAGGGGCAGCGGGGAGACGCGCTGCGCTTCCCCGCTATCCCCGGAGCTTGCGGGGCAAGCTTCGTTTTGCGAAGCAAGCCCTTAGGGAAATGCGTCTTGCGAAGCGGCTAAGAAAACGAAAAACTCCTTCGTCTAGCGAGTTTTTCGTCTTCCGAGGTGTTCGTCTTGCGGGGTACCACTGTATATAGCGCTTGCACCGTTCAAAGCATTTCACTGCATACACTATTTGCAGTAATCCTTACACCAGACCTGTAAAGTAGGCCAGTGTTGTTATTGCAGATGAGGAGGCTGAGGTTGAACTAATAGGGCCAGGTAGTGTATCTGTGGCTGAGAGATGTGAACCAGCAGCCTCACAGCTCATTCTCTCAAGTCACTACACCAGGAATGGAAAGCAGTGATTCCTGCTGACCCACCCACCAGCAGTGCCTTCTTGAGTTGGCTTTCTAGCAATATAACTTGCTGTTTAGAGGTATAGGATCAGCCTTGTAGGCCAAATTTGACAGAAGGTGGGACTGCCCTTCTGTCAACCACCTCACATCACAATGACATCAGGTGCAAGGTGCTTTGAAGTCCCAAAGTTGGGTTTCAAAGCACCTTGCAGGTCGTTGCTAAAAGGAAGGATTTCCCCCTCTGCTTTTGCAGGGGATTCCATGCAAACCCTTTCCTGAAACATTAAAGGGTTTGGCTGGAATGCTGCCAAAATGAGCAGGATTTAACCCTACATGGCTGATGAGCAGGGTTGTTAATTCCTGCTGCTTTGGCCGCATGTGTTTGTTACCTGCTGATAACAGGTGCATGCAGCCAATGCAGGATTTAAGTCCATCGGATGATATAATGAGTGTTGTCAGCTGATGGGAAGGTGTGCGTGGTTAGAGGAAAATGGTCTTATAGGCCAGCTTGGATGCCTTGGTGGGCTAAGATTAGCCCACAGGCCAGAGGTTCCCGGTCCCTGGGATAGAGGAAAACAGTACAGCACTTACAAAATTGCTGCCTTCCTTTTCTCCCCCATGCCAGTTATATTTCTTGTATTAAACTTACATTTGATGCCAATGCTGTAGAACACCTGGCTTGAGAGCAGTACACGTGAAAAGGATCTAGGAGTCTTGGTTGACCACAAACTTGACATGAGCCAACAGTGTGACGCGGCAGCTAAAAAAGCCAATGCAATTCTGGGCTGCATCAATAGGAGTATAGCATCTAGATCAAGGGAAGTAATAGTGCCACTGTATTCTGCTCTGGTCAGACCTCACCTGGAGTACTGTGTCCAGTTCTGGGCACCACAGTTCAAGAAGGACACTGACAAACTGGAACGTGTCCAGAGGAGGGCAACCAAAATGGTCCAAGGCCTGGAAACGATGCCTTATGAGGAACGGCTAAGGGAGCTGGGCATGTTTAGCCTGGAGAAGAGGAGGTTAAGGGGTGATATGATGGCCATGTTCAAATATATAAAAGGAAGTCATATGGAGGAGGGAGAAAGGTTGTTTTCTGCTGCTCCAGAGAAGCGGACACGGAGCAATGGATCCAAACTACAAGAAAGAAGATTCCACCTAAACATTAGGAAGAATTTCCTAACAGTAAGAGCTGTTCGACAGTGGAATTTGCTGCCAAGGAGTGTGGTGGAGTCTCCTTCTTTGGAGGTCTTTAAGCAGAGGCTTGACAGCCATATGTCAGGAGTGCTCTGATGGTGTTTCCTGCTTGGCAGGGGGTTGGGCTCGATGGCCCTTGTGGTCTATTCCAACTCTATGATTCTCTATGGAAGCCTTTCTCCTGCTGTGATTAAAATCAGTCCAAAAAAAGAGAGGACACATTAAGTGTTATCTCTATGACAGTTTTTATTAACCCTCGCTTTGTCACAGGCACTGGCTCGGTATGCTACACAACAAAGAAAGCCACACACAAGTGATTAAAGTACTTGTTTCAGTTAAACACTGCTACAACAAAATCCACAACATCATAGTTACATATTTATGGCTCAGTGGTTATCTAAACAAACATCAGAGGGAGAAAAGAGAAAACCAGGGTAAGAGATTGCTTCCCCAGGTGGAGAAGCTTAGCCACACAAGCAACAGAGGTCTTCCAAAGCCTCATGCTAGACTCCACTTCCTTTGTCTTTCATGAACAGAAAAGCAGCTCACACAGCCTCCACTCCACACACATCCCATCTCAAGGACAGCTTCCAAGTCACTCTGCTGGGCCCATATTCCACACATTCACACACACACATCTTTGCTGCAAGGGTTCCTCTCCAGTGAAGGACAGGAGATGTATCTCCCTGCTCCTTCTGCCACCAAGGAACCTACACACCTTTACTTCTGAAAGAGCTTACGTCAGACCCTCATTCCATCACCAGTCCCCATGGAGATTATCACAAGTATCTCTCAACCACTTACAAAAAACACTCCATATTTTACCCTGATAGAACCCAGACCAATTTGCTCCAATCGTATCCTCGTGAAGACAAGCCCAACCATTTTCCAGTTCCCAAATGTTGCCAGAAACCTCTCGCCCTGAAACCCAGTTTTGCTTTTAAGAATCCAGCCTTTTGCTTTTAACAGACGTTTGAAAAACAAATCAGTAAGTGAGGCTTTTTGTGGCCTGGAGCTGAATATGCTCATCTGTAGATCGAACTCTTGTTTAAGGGTCACCTGGAGAGGCCAGTGCAAAAGCTCACAATTCACCACAATGGCAATTTCTGCACATCACACTAAACTAAGCCATGGCCTAGTGCAGATGTAGAAATGTGCTGGCTCCCCAAGTGGAAAGGCAGCTGTGCAAAGTGCTGATTGGTGGGTGGCTGTGATCCCACCTTGGCTGCAATATGCTTTGCATATGCATCATGCTCTATGGGGAGTGGGGGGGGGTTGTAAAAGTGCCATATCATTCATGAACTTATCCATCCATTTAGCATGATTCATTTGCAAATAATTGCAAAACTGCTCTGAGGAGAACGAGGGATTACAGACATCAGTAATCAGTCCTCTGCTTAGCTGGCTCTGCTGCAAAACCCAGAGAAGCAGTTTCCCCTGGTGTTAAATTATGGAATGGGAATATGTTGTTAACAAGGCATTAAGTACACATCCAATGCACGGCAACTGCTTTTTTCTGCATGTACCATTAAATACCTTTCCCGGTCTGGGCACAAAGCAAATGGGGGTGGGGAGGGGAGTTACCATACACCCCTGTTCTGTGACACGCCACCTAAACATGACATCAGGCTCCCTAACCTTCTATGACTGACCTGTTAAAGCTCTGGCTTCCACCCCTGAGGCTTCCTTGCCCCCTCCCTTTCTGAGCCGCTCCAAGTTGTACTGGCTCTGCGGGCCCAGTTGCTTAGAAATCTGCACCTGCAGCGTGCAGGATGAGACATCTCTGTGGGCGACAAATGGTGTGTGATGCAGTAGGCCAACAAAACGGGCATTTCTATATGTTCACGAGAATAGATACATTATCATGAAATAGGTATCTGTCATAGTTCACTTCCCTGCTGTTTTTTTCGTTGCCATTTCATCAGCATCAGGCCAGGATCGTGCCCACACAGCTTGTGACCCACCTTGCTGAACGCAGCCCACCCAAGATACAAGGCTGTGGCCAGCCAGGTGCTTGATTATGGCAGGCAGGCAGAAATGCCAGGACATGGAATCCGAGCCCCTGATAGGCCTGCTCAGTATAATGAGCTACAGGCTGCATTTGGCTTGGTAGGTCAGTTGGCTCAGGCGTTCCCTTATGTAGTTGACTGGGTGCTTCCTGTCCTCTCGCACCAGCCCAGCTGTCACACGAGCTCCACGGCCTCCTGCTCCCCCCTGTTTTCCTGGTGCACCATGCAGCCCACTTTGTTGTTGAAGAGCCGAGACAGGCTTCCCTTCTGAGAACGCCTGCCCTGGATCGACCTCTCCTTCCAGCGCCGCTTGCTCCGCTTGCTGACCTGCCGTATGTCCCAGATCCTTAGCGTGCCGTCGTGGGAGGCCGTGTACAGTAATTCGTTGTGAATCTGGAACAAAAGTGCCGTATTTTAAAAGGACACCTTAGAACCACCATAATCACAACACAGCACACACAAGCAAAGAGGCTGCTTCTCTGTTCCTTTTTTTTTGTACAACCCATTTGTGGAGCGGGGTTTTCTCCCTTCTGTCTGAGCCCAATCCCAGGTGTGGGTGGGGTGGCTGGTTACAAAGGTGTAAAGCAACAGCCTCCTTTATTATTTCATTGTACAGTGGACACTCGGGATGCGAACGTGATCCATGCGGGATGCAACCCACAGCGTTTGCAACCCACAGCGGCGCATCTGCGCACGCGCGGGTTGTGATTCAGTGCTTCTGCACATGCACGGCCCCTGAAACCCGGAAGTAACCCATTCCGGTACTTCCGGGGTTTGGCAGGTCTGTAACCCAAAAAAACACAACCTGAAGCGTCTGTAACCCGAGGTATGACTGTATGGTGGTTCAGCTTGCGGCCCAAGGGCCATATGTGGCCCTCAATGCCTTTTTTTAGTGGCCCTCGGCAAAATTTGACACACACCCCAACCATCACACTGCCTCCCCAAATATGCTTTTCAGGGGATCAGCAACATCTGGAAGACCAAAGGTTCCTCACATCTGTGATATGTGACAGGTGAAAAGACACCCACAGTTTTGTCAGAGGCAGGACCTGTTCATGTGCAACCAAAGGGAGCACACAAAGAAAACGGGAAGTACTCCTTTATTCCCCCTCACCCTGCCTCCAGCATGATGAGAAGAAGAAAGCGTGGCAAGCACAGAAGGAACAAAGTCTGGCAGAGGAGGCTTGCTAATGCCTACCACTCAGAAGCAGACACAACACCCAGTGCGTGAACCCAGCTTCAAACCGATAGTGGCAGGAGATGCAATCCTAATTTTATTTATACTTAAACACCTAAGTAATTTGTAACAAAGTGTTTCAAATGTAACGAAACCTGAAGAGGCATCATTATCTTGACCTCCTGGCTCTCACTTCCTGCGGGCTCCATCCAAAAAACAAAGGGCTCTTGACTCACCCCACTCCATGCAGCACAAAAGAGCAATAGAGCGTTGTTTTTTCCAGGGAGCTGCTCACTGCCATGTGCCTATCTTGGCTCACGAATGTGAGTGCATGACAGAAGAGCACAGCCAATGCCTCTCTCGCTGCTCACTCTGACGGAAGCTTTTGGCCTTCATCTCAGGCATGTTGGGTGCATAATTATGAGAGGGCTCTGCTAAAGAGTCCACTTCTGTTTACTGGGGAGGAATGGGAGAAAGAGCTTTTTTGCATGTGCCTTAGCTCACTGAGAGCTTGCAGATTGGGGTTATAGCAAGCAGCCAGGTATGAAGTCTACGGGGGCTGGCTTGAATCCCCAGGTTGCCTAAGCAACATTTGACCGGATATTGTGAATTAACTTAGGACCCAGTCACCATGGATGGGTCTGGAACTTATTTTAAAGCTGTCTAAGCAAATCAACTTCACAGGGTGACCCTATGAGCAAGGAAACATTTTTTTTCCAGTAGAGCCTTTTTCTTAAGAATCTACCACATCCATCATTGCACAACAATTGATGAGTATAGGTAACAATGTCAGTCCATTGTTCCATCTGCCTGAGCCTTGTCTGGACCAGTGGGAAGGGGCTTTTCAATGCTCTTTTCTATCTACCTGGAGATGCTGGGGATTGAACCTGGGGCCTTCAGCATCCAAAGCATGTGTTATAAAAGTGAGCTATGGCCCAGCCTGCCATTAATAGCTAACAGAAGGAACCCTTAAGTGCTTGTAAAGGAAGTGACACCAAACCATTCCTGACCCACAGAGCTATAGCCAAGTGTTGTGCAGCTGCTCTGTGTGAGGCTCACCTGGATGCAGTTAATAACCAGCTTGTGACCTCGGAAAACTCTTTGCAGGATGCCGGTCTTGGTATTAAAAGCTCGGGCACAGGCGTCACCACTTCCTGTAAACACTGTAATGAAAACAAGGAGGAGGGACCTTTTCAGAATAACTTTTTTTTATTCATTTGCTATTAAAATGTTTGTTTTCTCCTATTTTCAACACAAAGGGTCAGCTCAGCAGGCAACAAAGCAAAGATTCAAATTACACAAGATAAGTGTCATTGAAATCATCAGAACTTATTCCCTCATAAGTCGGTTCAGGGTTGTAGCCTAAAGTGAGTCTTATAAGGGGAAAGGGTAGAACAGAGAAGGTAAATGTGCCAACCCTTTGGGAATTATTTTCAGCTAATTCCCATTATTTGATATCTAATTCTAATTTGATAATCCACCCTGAGGCTGAATATAGCACTCAATAAAATAATAATATATGTCAGGGGAGTCGTAATGTATTTTTTTGCTTTTTATCCTCACAACAAACTTGCAAGGTAGGCTGGGATGGGCACTTTCCCCAATTCTCTCAGTGAAATTCACAAGGAGGGGAACTGAAGCCAACTATCTTATATATTTTGGCACTCCTCATCTTTACATTTTTTTTTAATTTATAAGCATCCACCAAATACCAAAGATGAAAACAACTGGCACATGCAAAAAAAAGCCTTAAAATTTATGACATCAATAAGAATTTATGACATCAATTATAAATTAAATCAAAGCTAAACACCCTATATAGCCATGTAATTTCCTTTTCTATCAGTTAGGCACGAAGACCAAATATACCACAGGATGTAACACAAACAATGAATCACTTAGCAAGCAGAATGAGATTTTCTTTTCTTTAATTAATTGTTTGAACAACAGAGCAAGTCATTTTTAATCTTAGTGTCTTCTAAAAAGGGGCATTTCTATTTGGAATGTGTTAAATATTCTTTTTCATTCAATTAACCCAGGGCATTTTTTACTTTGAAAAGGTATCCTGCTATAGAAACCCATAATCACAGGGTTCATGTGATAAACATAGTCAAACAAAGGTTGCATTTACAATCCAGACATGTTGTAAAGCAAGAAAAGGCTTCCGAAGGGTGCCATGCCTGTCAAATTTATAGAGTCCTCAAAGGTAATTCTTTGCCCTTTACCACCCACAGAGGTAATAGCTCCTCCCAGCACTCACATGGGATCTTTCTCCTCCCACCTAGCAATGAATTCTTATTAATGGGTCTAGGTGGCAAACAGTTCTGGGTTGCAAAGAGTGGCACAGCCTCTGTTAGGTGTATTGGGAAGTGAAGGGCATTAGTGAATTACATGCAATGTCCAATTCATCCTTAAGCTGCTGTTTTCTGTATTCAAAGCTAAAACATATCTGAAGAGGTCAAGGCCCATGGCTCAGTGGCAAAGAGCATGTTTTGGCTGCAGGTTAGATGGCTGGTATCTCCAGACTCCTGCCTGAAACCCTGGAGGGTTTCTGCCACTCTCTGCAAACAATACTGAGCTAGTTAGAGGGACGCGGGTGGCGCTGTGGGTAAAAGCCTCAGCGCCTAGGGCTTGCCGATCGAAAGGTCGGCGGTTCGAATCCCCGCGGCGGGGTGCGCTCCCGTTGTTCGGTCCCAGCGCCTGCCAACCTAGCAGTTCGAAAGCACCCCTGGGTGCAAGTAGATAAATAGGGACCGCTTACTAGCGGGAAGGTAAACGGCGTTTCCGTGTGCTGCCCTGGCTCGCCAGATGCAGCTTGTCACGCTGGCCACGTGACCCGGAAGTGTCTCCGGACAGCGCTGGCCCCCGGCCTCTTGAGTGAGATGGGCGCACAAACCTAGAGTCTGTCAAGACTGGCCCGTACGGGCAGGGGTACCTTTACCTTTACCTTTAGCCGTGTTGGTCTGCCATAGTCAAAACAAAATTTAAAAAATTCCTTCCAGTAGCACCTTAGAGACCAACTATGTTATTGGTATGAGCGTTCATGTGCATGTGCTCGGGCTCAGAATAAGGGAGCTCCTGACTGGCTATGGCGTTAGGATGACAAGACATGAAGGAATGCATTACTAAAGCATTCTAGAGCCAGCAGCTTTTTTGCAGCTCAGGCTGCAAGGGGTAGACTCTTAGCTTTAGTTGCCAAGGATGCTTTCTGGTATGATTACTTCAGGTAGGCAAACATCCTCTCTACACTTTCAGTTCTAGCATGTCCAGGCTAAGAGGGAAGGAAACCTGTTGATGCAGAATGGGCATCAAAACACAACCGCAACTGTTTTCAGCACAAATCGTGCCACTTCAGCTTTATGCTTGCTGCACATCCAATATGCAACTGGGGTTGTGTCAGCATGAATAAAGTCTGAAAGGGGTATCAGATTGGGTATATGTAGAAAAAAGGCACGCAAAGCCAGTAACGCCCTCTGAGAACATTTATTACTTTACATCCAATTACTACATTGTTGGGTGGTTTTTTTTTAACAGAGATCAGGAGAACAGTCCAAGTTTGCCAACTGCCAGGATGATTTTGTGCCATCTGGAAGCATTTATTCCTTAAACGCAAAGGCCTTGGTCTGCTGCTACAGAAGGGGAGAGTGTGACTATCTCTGGATGAACAACGGACTGTTCTGCTTTTCTACCAAGGCCAAGCGTGCGCAGGGGGCAAAAAATAAAGAAAGACCCAGCTCAGAATACCTATGCACTTAAAGCCCAAAATTACCTTAAAGTACCCTCAATGTTCAACTGAATGTGGGGGGGAGGAGCATAATATAATTTGCAGTGTGGCTATGCAGCTTAATCTTTTGGGCTAGCAAGGTAGGGTACTGCCAGCAGGGGAAGAGCCCCAATTTAACATTTGGCTTTTAACTGGTAGCAGCTAATGCCAAGGGCATAATCTGCCAGGCACACCTCTGATGAAAGCCCCATTGGAATGAAGCCACCTGGACCATGGGCAGTGGGAGAATGAGGAGGAAGTTAGCTGCTAGCGTAATTCCTCGCCGCCGCAACCCAATATGCTCATTACCTACCATGCAGCTGAAAGGGATTCGAGCCTACAAGTTACAGAGTCCCCTCTCTGCAGGCCAGAACTCTGGGCTACATGGATCCATTCCAGGGAGTTCATGCCAAAACCTACATGCTTCTACGACAGGGTAGGGAGTCCTTTTAGCCTGACATGCTAGATCCTTATCTTCCCACACCCCCATGGAAATATGACAGCTGGCTGGGCTGACCCATCTGTCAATCATCTGATGTCATAATGGCATCAGGCTACTGATATCTGGGTGGTCCTGCCTACCTATCAAAGTTGATGGGGGCGGCGGGGTGCTTTGCCAGTGTGTTCCCTTCACCTAATGAGCAACCTTATCAGGTGATGAGAAAAGGGGTTACATCCTGCTACTTTGGGTGCACAGCCCCAACCCTGTGGGGAACAGGGGGTGCAGACAATGGAAAATTTTATTTGCATTTGTGTACTTAAGCCTAGATTGTTTTTTTCTTTGTAATGTTGAGTTTATTATGTGTTTCCTAAACTACAGATTATTGTTATTTTGAATTTACTGACATATACTATATTTTGTATATTTGTACTTTTACTGCTTTGAATGTTTGCTGTAAGCCACTTTGGGCACAGCTTGTTGTAGAAAAGTGACATATAAGTAAACTCAATCAAAGCCCTGCCCTTGTATATCAGCTGACATCACTCACCCATCAGCGTGACATCAGCTGGGCATGGTTTGGGTGAAAACGCCTTGTAAGCCAAACTGGACTCTCCAGCAGGCCAGGATTGGCCCACAGGCTGTAAATTCCTCACTCCTGTTCTAGGAGGTCTTTGGTTTTTCTGCAGTACAGTTTTTCCACAAATGCCTGGAAAACTGGTTTAACCAGAGACCATAGCAAGCCACCAAAATGAGATTTAAAGTAATAACCACAGCTGAGTTTTTGAAAAGATGTCACTCATTCACAATCTTCATCCTTAACAGGATATTTCATCAATATTCATCTGCTTTCACTACTTGCAACATCTGTCAGTTAGATTTTTATTGTTTGCAGCCAATTTACTTATTACTTACTTTCAACTATTTATATACCACTTAATCACCAAAGTTGCTAAGCGGTGCCATTACAAGCTCTGCAACATACACAAAAGCAATTTCACAGGCCTGGTCTAAAAATATAAGTGTGTCTTCAACTCTAGCAAAGTGTGCCAGGTGAGCAAAATGGCATCAGGGATGAGAGGAAAGAAAATTCAAAATCTGAAACAAGATGTGTGACACCCTTTTTATATGGAGCTAAAACTCTACATGAGCCTCTGCCTAGCTCTGTGTTGTTGGCTTACTTAACAAAAGAAGGAGAATAACATGGGGGTGATTGTCTCCTTCATACCATCAGGACTTGGATAGTTGTGGCAAATTTCTGCTATAAGGAGAATACACAGAAGGTGGTCATTCCTGGACTAACATATCTGTTGCCAGTGGACAAGATGAGAAAAGGCAATTGGGAGGGTTTGTTGGAACTTACATATTCCAGCATGGTATTTCAAAGTGCTGACGCTGTGCTTGTGAGCCTTGAATGTCCGGACTCGCTCCCCGGTATCGGCCAACCAGCATTTCACTGTCCTGTCTGCACTCCCTGAATACAAGCGCCGATTCACAAGCTAAGAGGGGAAAGAGAGGAAAGATCACTTTCGCGAGGGAGCATTGTTCGGAGTCATGGTCATTTTCGGCGCTGCCTTCCCCCTGCAAAAAGAAAAACGATGACACAATTCAATGATATGATTGCAATGTAGAAAGCAGCACAGCTTTTGGAGCTCTAACACAGACCTCTGATCTTATGTTCTGCACGCAGCCAGGGCTCCCAGTGGGCCTCCAAATGGCTTTGAGATGTCAAAGAGGAACAGATGAAATAGCTCTCACTCTGCTAGTATAATTAGGAGCAGATCCTTTAAAGCTAGTGAAGTTCCATCCCTTTGCATATATCTGTAAATAAACCACGTATCATGAAGACCCCACAGTCTCCGCTGTGCCTCATTCCCAAAAGGAAACATGAATCCTGGGTGAGCACCTGGAACTCCTGGAATATCTCACCATTCAGAGACTGGGGTGGCATGCAACAATAGAGTATTAAAAACAGTTTAAAATAAGTGACACTCACAAGAAAGGGAGGGGTGTGTGTGTGTGTGTGTGTGTGTGTGTGTGTGTGTGTGTGATGGCAAAGGCCAGGGTAAAGAGTTGCATTTCAGCATAATGAATATGCTAGATGCACCTCTGTGGGGAGGGAATTCAATAACTTCCTGAACTTCTTAGAGCAGTTGACCTACTTAGAGGGCCACCTCTGCTGAGCTTAACATCCAATAGAGTCTGTAGAAGAGGTAATGACTGCACAGTGGTACCTCAGAAGTCAAACGGAATCCGTTTTGGAAGTCCGTTTGACTTCCAAAACATTCGGAAACCAAGGCGCGGCTTCTGATCGGCTGTAGGAAGCTCCTGCAACCAATTGAAGCCAGGTTGGACATGCAGGTTCCAAAGAACGTTTGCAAACTGTAACACTCACTTCCGGGTTTGTGGCGTTCGGGAGCCCAAACGTTTGAGTCGCAAGGTACCAAGGTACGACTGTATTTGTTCCTCAGAAAACGGAGGTACAAAGAATCCCTTGTATATGCTTCTAATTTAAAAGACAGTGGATTAGAATGACTAACCCAATGACTTGGGTAACATAGACTGGAGGTGGCAATTCAATTCAGGATTATAAACAAGCAAATCTATATGTATTTAGTTAATGGCAAGCAGTTTTTTTAAATGTAGGGTCAGTTACAAAACTCTGGGCTCATCTACACTTACATTTCGCCCTGTGCTTTCTAGGCAGAGGTCCATGTCTTAAAGTGTGGTGTCAGAGCACCTCCCTGCCCCCCTGCTTTCCCCAGGAAAAACTGCTTTTTAACGCTGAATCTGAACAAGCAACAATTCAGGTTTTCTGCAGATTGACGTTTTCTCCAATGCAGAAGTAAAAAAGCGGGTTTTCATGGGGAAAAGCACCAGGCCAAACAAAAAAGTGCTCCAACACATGGCTTTAAAGAGCAGACGTGTTCCTAGAAATGTGGCACAAAAGGAAGTCTGGATGAGGCCTCTGAGAAGCTGCACACTCCATAACCAAAGCCAATGTCTCCTACCAATTCATATTTTCAGCTATTTTCCTCTACAGAAAACATACATAGGCAAGAAACCCACAAAACAGCAAACTTTCTTGTTCAGAAAACTTCAGTTTGGTGCAGGTTCCCCCTCCCCCTCCTCCTGAAGGAATGCTTGCTTCCAGAAGAGATCCATTATTTTAAATAAAAGAAACATTTCATGCAACCTCCCACAACAGTCATTTGGCTAATGGAATGGAAAAACAACTGCAGCCGTAGGGCTTAAGGTATCCTATATCGTGAGGCACATACCAAGTGTGTTACAGGAAAGCCTATACACGATTTTTGCTTCATTTATGTCAAGATAAAATAAAGTGGCCAATCTCTGCGAAACGTGCTTTTAATTTCTTTCATTAGAAAGACAGGCATGCCTTTCATCGACAAGAGCTGAGATTAATTTCCCATGATTAGCAAGGGAAGGGAGAAGCGGGAAAGAGCCCTTTCCACCATAGGTTTCTTCCAAACTTATCCAAACCCTAACAATGCCTGATTTTTTAAAAAATAAAATAGCTGGGGAGACACAAATCCCAATTATAATCTGCCTGTGGCTTGAAGAAGCAGCAAACGGCTTTGTTGCTGTGTTTTTCTTGGCTGGCATTGGAAAAGGCTTTGTTCACTCTGGCTAATTTCCCAACAGAGCGGCTGTTGGAGAAAAGCACAGCAGATCACGGAAAACAAGGAGTACAACTGCGCTCATACCTCTTAGGGAATGTCTGCAGAGTGGCAACTGCCTGAGCTCCTAAAAGACAGATACTCTAGCCTTCTGTGGCATTCGCATGCTGCATCGTGAAGCGGGCTAGGCAGGTCCCCCACAATCACTTCTGCTGTGTGGACAGCTAGAGAAGCAGACAGCATGGAGGCGTCCGTCCTTTGCACCAGGGATGGGAAGCATCTCTGGCCCTCCAGAGCTCGCTGGGCTCCCACTCCATTCAGCCCCAGCCAGCATGCTCAGTGGTCAGGGATAATGGGAGTTGCACTACAACATCTGGAGGGCCAGAGGTTCCGCAGCCCTGCTTCACACCAGCGGAGCTTGCAACCCTTTGTTCAATGGCGCTTGCAGTATCTTCATATCCCAAAGAAAGGGGGAACTTGGTGGAAACTCATTTGACAAATTTCTCAGGTCACGTTGACAATACTACAGTGGTACCTCAGGTTACAGACGCTTCAGGTTACAGACTCTGCTAACCCAGAAATAGTACCTTGGGTTAAGAACTTTGCTTCAGGATGAGAACAGAAATCGTGCAGCAGTGGCATGGCATCAGCGGGAGGCCCCATTAGCTAAAGTGGTACCTCAGGTTAAGAACAGTTTCAGGTTAAGAACGGACCTCCAGAACGAACCTGAGGTACCACTGTACATGGGATGGCTTTCATCCCATTTCACTTGCTTCATGCCGTCCCATAAAACATGGAGGAAGAGCCTTAGCCATTTAATTTCCAGCAGGCCAGTGCAGCTTCTCCTCTCACTCATCCCTGGCCATGTTCACATCAACATGTTTCATGGAATCACAGATAACACTGTCCACACATGACTGACTCAACCCTGGAAAGCTTAAATTGACACCTACTCATTTCCACTACTGGACAGGCGTTCGCAAAAACAACGTGTAGAAGACAAGATTATCTATCTCTACCTTGTAGTTATCCCACTGCATGGGGCAAATAACAGCTGCTTCCTGATCAATGCCTTGCTAAACCATCCATTGAAAGTGCCCTGTGTTAAACGCATGCAGTCATGCAGTCAGGTACAGTCCTCACGCTTATTCGTTTTTATAACATTCTTCCAATGAGATCAAGGCGTCAGTTAACCTCTGCAACAATCAAGGCGTCAGTTAACCTCTGCAACAATCAAGGCGTCAGTTAACCTCTGCAACAATCAAGGCGTCAGTTAACCTCTGCAACAATCCTGTGAGATAGGTGTCAGAAGCTTTTGGGCAGTACACCCAAGGCATGTGCCTTATTCAGCTTCTCAACACTATGACCTGATGAGCCACAGCTGAACATGTGGATTCATTCCACTAAAAGGCAAAACACCGCTGACATGAGGTAACTGGGTTCTGTCCTTAGCATTTGTTTTGTGACAACTCAACATGAAGAAAACACCCGTTCGTGCTGCAGTCCCTGAGTGGTGATGGACATGTGTTTGTGAGCCAGCTTGGCAACTTTCTCAAGGCTGTTCAGTGAGCGTCATTGCTGAGCAGGATTTCAACCTGCATTCTCTATGCCCAAGGCCAGCATTACTCACTCTACTAGTCTACAAATCATAACATTGAAGAGACCTTTGTGTTGGATAGAACATGCTTACAGTGATAATTTATCTCCCGCTCCAACTTTCTGTGGTCCCTTCCCTTGCAATTATATAAATATATTTTTCACAGGGTTGCATGGCTTTTCACAGCTCCTCACATGGAACCATGCCTGCACAGCTGCATTTTTCAATGGTTACCGCACCACAAATGTCATGGGTCAGCTGCTTTGCATGCAGAAGGTCTCAGGTTCAATATCCGGTATCTCCAGGGAAGGCCAGGAGAGAATTCTGTCTGAATTCCTGGAGAGCCACTACCTGTCAGTGTATACTGACCTAGATGGACCAAGGGTCTGACTCAGTATAAAGATAGTTCCTATGTTCTTCCTAGAATTAGTCTCTCTCTCTCTCTCTCTCTCTCTCTCTCTCTCTCTCTCTCTCTCTCACACACACACACACACACACACACACACACACTGTACATAGCTCTCGCCTCAATGCAAGGAAAATAAAAACCCAGAGTAGTTGACAGACATGCTTCGCATATATGCAGCTGTTCAAGGCTATTTCTGTATCTTTCTGACCAAAGAAATCTAGAAGAGAGTTGCTCAGAAGTTCCTTCTGACCACAGTTCTCAGGGATGTGCTCCATCCCAATCAGATGCAGAAGACTATCCTACTTCTTTTCTTTGTCATGGAGTTCTTCAGTTCATCTCCTTTGTGTACACACTCTGACAGTTGCTTTACTTTTCCTGAATCTCTCCACGTATGTACTGCAATCTGTCAGGAAATACCTTATTTCAGCATACGACACTGGGATAAGTTAACAGCCGCTACTTGGGCCATTCCTTACATTAGTTCCATTACTATAGAAGTCCTTTATCACACTGGCTTCCTCTGCTGTTTTCTCTTCCCAACAAATGCTACCCTAGTTGCTCCAAGCAGCAACACTGGCCTTAGTGAATGGCTACATTCGCACATAATGCTAAGCCTTAACCATGGCTTGTACATGAGTCACCTTGCATACATTCAAAGAAGCCATGGTTCATTCTCCGAAGCTTGGTTCATTTTCCAGCTGCTCTTGCCTCATGCCTGTATTTTGGCATGCATTTGGGGTGCTGTGGTCAAACAAACCAAGGTTAAGCAAGACACCTGGATTCCAATGTGCCACCAAACAATCTATGGTTTGTTAGCCAACTACAAAACACATCACTGATTGTACCCAGAAACTGTGGTTAGTCTGCTGGGCTGGGTTCAGACATTCAAACAAAGGACACTTTGGTTAAACAAACCATGGTTTAGTGTTATGTACAAACCAGGCCAATATCAAGTCACTTACCTCTAGGCAAATGACAGATCCTTGATGCTCTTTGAACACTCTTAGCTGCTCGCCAGTCACGATGTTCCAAGTCCGAATGGTGTAATCAGTGCTGCCTGAAAAAAGCTCCCTGTTTGGAGCATCAAGTATAAGACATAAGACGGCCCCAGTGTGTCCCAGCAGGGTTTGGTGGCAGCGCCCACTGGACACCCACCAGACCTTGACAGTGCAGTCTGTGCTCCCTGTCACCAAGAAGCCCCTGCTCAATTTCTCCTCCTCCAACTCTTCCTCTTCTGAATCCTCAAGGACATCCTTGGAGGAGTAAAGAGCCAACGTCAGAACACAGTTCCGGTGGCCTCGAAACTCTTGGATTGGCTTCTCCTTATCCACACTCCAGCACCGCGCTGTCCTGTCATAGGAGCCACTGAAGAGATAATCCTTGAAAACCAGAATCCTGTTGGGGGTGGGGGAATAAGCCACATGTCAAAAGAGTTTGAAGCATTAACCAACCTGTGCCATGCGGCTCTTTCAGCTTCCAGTTTCTTTCTCCTTAATAATTGTTTGTACGACCGTCTCAGATAAATATAAGCATTAAGTAGGAGGGCAGTCCCTGATTTCCTGTATCTCCGGTAGGCTGTTCTCATTTGTCTCCTTGTTTGCCTGCACTCCAGGTCAAACCAGCTAGCTCCGTCCTTTGCCCTCTTTGTAGCGGAGCTATGTATCACTGTTGTTAAATGGGGTTTCAATCTTTCCAAGAGTAATTTAAAGCGTTCCATAATCGCAGCTGCTGAATTTCCTGATACAATAGCGGAGCGAATAAGCTTTAACTCCACTGACTGAAGAAGGAGGGTTAGGTTTTCATTCAATATTGGGGACCATTTGAGTCTTTTGGGGGCAGGAATATCCACATTTACAGAAGGTATATATTGTGGCTCGGCAATAGAATAGTCAAAAGGCCGACCTGCAAGCTCTAAAATTAGAGGTAGGTGATCACTCAGAGTATTATGGCCCACTTGGAACTTCCTTATAAAGCTGTGAGCAAATCTTGAGATTAAGATATAATCTATAACACTTCCCCCAGCCTTGGAGAAATGGGTATATTCCCCGGGGCGGTCCCCCTCTATATTGCCGTTTAATATCAGCAGTTCCCTCCGTCTAGCAGCCTGCACTAAGCAGAGACCTGGGAAATTACTTCTACTATCTTTGGACAGACGTGTCGCGCCAATATCCGTCTGTTCTTCAGGGTCCATAAATTGGTTGAAATGAGTGTATAGACTGTTGTCATCTGTTCCTATACGAGCGTTGAAGTCTCCACACACAATAGTCAGGGCAGACGGGTAAGTAGATTCAAGAGGCTCTAAAAACGCCTCTAGCTCAGCCCATGTAGCCTTAACAACGGGTTTTTTTTGGCCTGGGGGAATATAGACATTGACCAGCAAGAGAGTAGTTCTCTTGAAGCTAAGTAGAGCGGCTGTTGCTAAGGAATTGCAGCTGGGTAGGGCTGTTAGAGAATGCGCTAGCTCCGTGGAAATGAAGCAAGCTAGGCCACCACTAGATCTGCCGCCCCTTAGAGATGGAGAGGCAGGCAGGTAGTGGCAGTTATACCCATTAAGAAATATAGGGTCATTCTGCCATGTCTCCTGAAAAAAGATGATGTCAAATTGCTTAAGGTAACACAAAAATTGTTGATTATTTTTCTTGGCGTGCCAACCCGCGATATTCCAAGACAGCACTTTTAGGCCCCGGGCCCTTCGGGGAGCTGGATCTATGTCACCACCATGTCCAGCAATTCTTTGGTGTCTAAAAAAACACACCCGTTGGTTCTTTTCGAGGCTGGCTGCTTGGAGAGAGTGTAGTGATCCTCTTTTCTTGGTGATTTGGGGCTAGATTTTGGAGTTGGGGGGGAAGCTAATTCATTCGGAGACAATTTAAGATAGCTGTGCCAGGAGCTTTGAGGTTTCACACCTTGCTTTGGTCTTACTTTATTGTACATCACAGGGGGCTCTGATTGTAATTCCACGTCTACACATTTAAAGGTGCCTCCCACTGTCTTCTTATCCACCAGACATTTGGGAGATATGGGCTGCACATAAGGGTCCTTCATTGTCTCACCTTGATCATCCTTTTTTTCTAGTCTGCTTCGAAGTAAATCAAGTCTTTTCAGGATCTCAGTTTGAGCTGGAGAATGCAGTGACCAGAATCGCTTTATCAGCGAGAGTTCTTCCTCCCAAACGGAGTCCTCACTATCCCACGTGAGAGGCCCGACGCCAGTTGGATGTGAGGCTTCCTTTTTTCCATTTGGTGCTGTTTGGTGGGGATGATCCTGCTGGAGCTTATGCTTTCTATTTCGATGGTTTTGGTGGTTGGTTTTTTCCCTTTTGTGAGCTTCCACTCCTATGCTCTTGGGCCCTATCAGAGAGGTTGCAGGTGCTCTATTTTCAAATATTCTTAATAGGACTATTCTTTCTTTTTTGAATAGGTTTTTAGCTCTAAAAATGAAACTGGCCAGATTATGATCTAAAAAAGTAATCAATGCTCGTACCGAGCAATCATCTTGATGTAGATACTCTATAGCGGCTATGTCAGTTGCTTTTACTACCCCCGGTAAAATGCCACTTATAATGGACAAAAAGTGGTCTATACGGTCCAACCCTGCATAAAATCTAGGCGGTTTAGGGTAATTAGCAAAGACAAGCTTTTGTGGGATTAGGACTAAACTCCATTCTCTTTTGGGACACAACATCTGTCGAACTTGGGAGGAGTGGTTCCCCTCAATAGTTTGGGTATTGAAGTTTTTCCCCAGCTCCTTCTGCCTGCCCTTATAATGTTTCTTCCAGTAGCACCTTAGAAACCAACTAAGTTTGGTGCATGCACACCAAAGCTCATACCAATAACAAACTTAGTTGGTCTTTAAGGTGCTACTGGAAGGATTATTCCCCCCCCCCGAGTACGACAGATCAACACGGCTACCTACCTGTACTTATAATGTTTGTGCTTTAGACTGTCAGCATGTAATCCTATACATCTCTACGGAAAAGTAAGTCCCACAGAATTAAATGGGGCTTACACTCAGGTAAATAAGATTGCGATCTTAATAATCCTTGTACCCTTTTTCTCAGTTTTATTAGCTGAACTGCTGTATGCAGAACTAAACATAGTACCCCACATGAATATATTTTTATTCCCCCAATTTGCATACTGCTTAATCACAGTCGTCTCTAAGCGGTGTACAGAATATCCAGTAGAATAAAACTAAAAATGAGTTAAAACAATACAGTAATGTCATAATTCAGTTGTGAAGCCTGCTGGAATAAAAATACTGTGCTAGTTCCTTGAATTCCCGGCTAGTTTTCCAGAAACTTATTTATATCTAGATTAACTGAAATGGGGTCAGATTAAATCCTGGGGCAGCTGAATTCTCAACCTTATCCACTAATAGCCATGGTTGCATGCCAGCCATAGTTTCCTAGATGGTTTCTCTTCCTAAACAAATTGTGGTGCAGCCATGTACTGTAAGTGCTTGGCCACGTGGACAGGTGAACTTTATCACAGCCCTAGATTTCCCCAAGTGCAATAAAACTGAACACTGCAGATGACCAACTCTAAAGACGGTACTGTATAGTAGCCCTAAGGGTGGTCCTCTGTATTCCAGCCTAGGTTGCCAATTTATCTAGAAATTCCATTTGCAAAAAGGAGAAGTACATTTGGCAGCTGGCACACACACAAAAAGGATCCCTTTCTTGCTTGCACACAGAATGCACGTTTAGCATAACAAATCAACGTCTGGCTTTAAGCTTCTCTGGGGGGTAATTAACAGCAGGGCAAAATTCCAAATCTTTAAACAAAGCTTTAGCTGTATCCCCCCTTTCTTTCTTTTTTACTACTAAGAAGTATGCTTAACACAATGCTTTTTAATCTCTTTATCAGGTGCAGCTGTTGCCAATTTCATTCCCAGCAGAGGATTTGGTTCAGTTCCTCCTTGTTCTGCTGTCCGTCTCTCTTGCCCAGGCTGTGGCTGCGTCAGCATTCTTGCTGGAATAACTAATCGCATACGGCCAAGAGCATGTGTAGCAGAAATTGAGGCAATCCATTTGTGCAATACAGCATAGGGAGGAAACGACTGGTTTTGAACAGATTCAGGATAGGAGACCTGAGGAGGTTAGCTGAGGAGCTAACTAGCATCAGATTACAGGTTGTGACAAGCAGAGAACGCAGGGTGAGGGGAGAAATCTAGGCAGCTCTAAATAAAAAGACTCTGTGGTACCTACCTGTTGACAATCGATGTGTGCCCTCGGTAAACTGCCAGGCACTGGCCTGTCATCACGTCCCACTTTCGAATTGTGTGATCCGCACTACATGTAAAAGCAGCTTCATTTTCTAAGTGGCAAAATGTGATGTAGCTTTCATGTCCTGGGGAAAAAATATACAGAACTAAGAATGATCAGTACAAATTTACCGAAAACTACAAAAGGAGATTTTTGTAGCAGGAACTTGTGGCTGTCCAGATGTTGTTGGATTTCGGCTCCCATCAGCCCCAGGGCAGCATAGCCAGTGTCCAGGGATGATTGCAGTCCTGCAATCTCTGGAGGACGACAGGCTTCGCCATATGCGGTGGGAATGTAAGAAAGTGAAGGACTTCTGGGAAATTATTTATAATGAGATTTTTAAAATGTTGAAATACACATTTGTAAAAACAAACAAACCCAGAAGCCCTTGTACTTGGTATTGTAGGTACAGAGATTCATAAGCATGATAAAAAATTGTTTTTATACGTGACAACTGCAGCAAGAATACTATTAGCCCAACGATGGAAGCAGGAGGAACTACCAACAAAAGAAGAGTGGCAGATGAAACTGATGGATTATTCCGAGTTGGTGAAATTGCTGGTGAGTTGCTGGCGGAACCAGCAAGACCAGACTTTCCTGAAGGACTGGAAGAAATTCACGAGATATTTGAAAGACAATTGTAATCAATTGACATCACTTGTAGAGTTACAAGAAGTTTTGTAAGGAGAACTATATGAATTATTGCGAAAGAGGACTAAGAAGGAGTTTATTTAGGATTTGGATTTTATAGCAATAACTATAATAATAAAATGCAAAATTAGAAAGGAAGTTAGAAAACCATCAGTCCATTAGGATGATGGAAGTCCTAGGCAGTGATAGCCAAAGGTCTGTTATGTTGTTCAAGATGGGATGTTATGTTTGGAAAACGTGTAAAAACCAATAAAAAATATATTTAAAAAACAAAAACAAAATTCACACTCCAGCAATCCAGTGGTGCTGTTAGGTAATTTTTAAACTCTGGACTCAATGGTTATGGGGTCTGGGGTCCCTGCCTCCCTGCTCATTTTCCTGAGTGCAGAGCCCTAGATGGGCTGGTCTGATGTCTTGCTGTTAGCACTGACCGCCATTGTCCTGTGTTTTTCACACAGAGAACAACGGGACCTGTTCCCAAGTAAGTTGCACATAAGGATTTCAGCAAGAGAATGGGTAGGAATTAAACCTCCCCCTATTCACATTCTCCACATGCGTGGGAAGAATGCAATCTATATGAAAGATGACTAACAATTTACGTACACTTTGGAAATTCAAGCTTCTTCTGACTCAATGTTTTTACTGTTTCGAATATAGTTTTTCTTTTTTTTAAGTCCACCAAGCTCCTTGTTTAATAGGCACTTCCTTCTACCTACATGGTCAGCTTCCATGTTCTTTAATCATTTTGAGGTCAATCTATGGAAATTGTATAAAAAGTGGCATTTCTCATTCTGAAGATGAAAACAAACTTAAGAGCAGACAATCAAGCTGTTTACATGAGCCTTTACTGATTATTCAGTTGCAAAAGAAACAAACAAAAACTAAGTGAATACCTAGAATTGGCTAAACTTACAGACTCAATAAGAAATCATTCAAAGGAGAGAATGGGATGTTTTTTATAAAATATATGAAAAATGGAGGTTCCCAGACCATCACTTGGCTTAGAGTAGATTAAAATCCAGAATGTTCTCCACAGATTTACCAACTGAATACAGATATTTAGAAAAAGGAATTATCAAATAACGTTCATGAGTAGTGGAAGACATGTTAGGAATCAAGGAGTCAAGCCAGAAGTTGCAAAAAGACGGCTTGCACTCTCTACGAAGAATTGTATTTGAAAATGCTTGGTTTTGAGGCTTTTTTAAAATTTAATTTTTCTTTTTTCTTTTTCCTTTTTCATTGCTGATATGCTTTTTCTTTTTTCTTCTTTTTCTTTTAATATTCTGATTATTTGATGTGTGTGTGTATGTATATGAAAAATCAAAATAAAATTAAAATAATTTTGTTTTTTAAAAAAATAACTGCTTTTAAATAAATAAATTTAAAAGGGAGGAAAAAAACCTGCATCAAAACTCACAAAAACAACTTCAGGAAAAGATTTGTTTAAAGACCTAAGTCAGGTTTTCAGTGTTTTTGAGTCCACGGCTCCCTTGACCAACTACATTCTTTCTGCAGCACCTCTGTGGGCCTCTGGAACCTAGTTATGTCACCCCTGCAGAGCTGGCAGCCCCTCACCCCTTTTCAAACACCCTCCCTTGTGGAGTGCTCCCTCAGCCTCCTTTCCTCTCCCCTCTCCTTGGGAGTCCTCCAGGCAGCCACTTTTGCTGTCCCTGGTCTCTGAGCTGCCCCCCCCCCCCCGCCCCAAAGAGAGGTGCTTCCTCACACTGCCCCACTGGCAGAGACAGTTCCCGCCCCCCCCACTCATTCATCCCGAGTTGCCCATATTGTTGTATACAGTGGTACCTTGGGTTACAGACGCTTCAGGTTATAGACTCTGCTAACCCAGAAATAGTACCTCGGGTTAAGAACTTTGCTTCAGGATGAGAACAGAAATCGTGCTCCGGCGGCGTGGTGGCAGCAGGAGGCCCCATTAGCTAAAGTGGTACCTCAGGTTAAGAACAGTTTCAGGTTAAGAACGGACCTCCGGAATGAATTAAGTTCTTAACCTGAGGTACCACTGTATTTGTGATGGGTTTTAATTTATGCAAGTCGTTTGGGGAGCCAATGTCTTGGGTAGCATATAATAAAATGGCTTCTCCAGAGTCAGTCTTGAATGAAAAGGTTTTTAAGCAAAGGTTGGATGGCAATCTGTCATTCTGCATGATCTAGTGGATTCCTGCATCACAGGGGTTGAACTATAGGACCCTCCAACTCTATGATTCTATAAAATTGCCTCACAACCATTTATATGTGTGTGTTGTATGTGTGTGTCTTAAATACATCATCATCTGCCTTCTCCCATGAAGAAAAAGGTTTCCGGTCCTCATTTGAAGGAATCCTCCAAGGATTCAAGCATGGAAGGATCTCAGCCGTCTGACTAAGCAGACAGACACACTGCAGCTTGCCAGGTATGTTATGGGCTACCACAACCACACAGACATTAATATCACTTAACCAGAATTTGGGAGGGGCTGTGTGATGGACAGACCATTGGGGTCATCCTCCAGAAGACCATCAGCCAATCATGGCAGAGAAGAGAAACGGCTAATCAGGAGAGTGAGGATAGGAGAGAGAGAATTTGACAGTTTAACTGCCAAATGGAGTCTGGCTAGGGAAGTTGCTTAGGAGTTTGTCAGGCAGGGTAAACCTGTTTAATTTTGTCCTGTGAAAGAAACGGACCCAGAAAGGGTCTTTTACAGAAAGAGTTAGCCATTCTAGGAGGAAAGAGATCTATTAGAAATAGCTCTGTTGTGGGGAATTATAAGTAAAGTTATTGCTCAAACCTGAAACAGCATTTCTGAAGGAAAAAGTACTGTCCCTTTAACAGTAAAAGTGCTTTATCCTTCATTAAGCACTTGTTAGTAAAAATACAGTTTCCACTTCCATCGTGCCTCAGCTTTAATTTATACCTAGTTTGGGAAATAAGTTGTCACAGGAAAACCAATATTAAGAATCTTTAAAGCCGATTTATGTTGTACAAGTGCCCTGCCACAGATAGAGAATCCCTGAATTCTCTTTTTTATATATATTAATTTTATTAGTTTTCCAAATTTTAACAAATCAATCCAAATTATTTAAATTTAATACAATTTTTTTAAGTAAATAGGTTTCCCACTCCTGTTACAAACATATGTCCATTGCTTCCTGATGTTGCTGCTTCATTCTTCTTTAATCACCTTCTCATCTATTAATTTTAATCCATTTACATAGCTAGCCTTTGTTTCTTCCTTGCAATTAGCAAGAATCCCTGAATTCTCAGTTGTCATAGACAGGTAGGTTAAATCACCCCATATGCGGTCATTTTGCCCCGCTCGCATCTTCACTGAGGGAGTTTGTCACAGGGTGCACCCCAGAATCAGTGGCTAAGGGAAGGTTTACCCTACCTTGAAAATGGGCCCTGCACTGGCTGTCCGCAGTGCTCCAGAGCCGTGCAGTGCCATCTTCACTACCTGTCAGGAGCCACTGGCCGTCTGGGCTGAGGCTCAGCCAGTTGATGCCTCCCTGGTGATCAGTGCAAACTTTCAGTGCCGAACTACTGCTCCCCATCCTGCAGGTTCCACAACAAGGCAGGAGCTGGGGTGGAGAGTCTCATAGGGTCCGAGCCAAACAAGGATCAGGAGTAGGCCTTAAAACAGCAGGCTGCATCAAGCCAACTCCAAGGATCATCTTTGGTGCAAAAACAAACAGTAGGGAGATGTTGTGGTCTCTACGAAAAGTGAAAAAAATGTATTAATAATGATAAGAGCAACAACATCACAATAACAAATGATACTAGATTGCTCAGGCACACAGCCATATTAGCTGGCCATTAAGCTGGCCAACCCCTGCACCTCCCCCATGAGTAAACCCATTATATTAAACATTTCGTTGTTTATGAGAATAACCCTGGAAAATAAACCCTGAAAAAATATCTGGATACTTTGCCTGGTTAAAAAAAATGGCCAGACTTTTGACTAAAGCCCACCGTTTTTCCACATGTAAGCTTTCAGCTGAAACAGAATAGAACTCTACAGTTCTATGATTCTACTACAGTTATTCCCAATTTGTATGCCAGAGCATTCTGGTATGAACTACTTACTGTGCCTAAAGGAGGCTTGTCTGAGGCCCTGGGTGTGCCTTCTTTGAGAACAGGTAATTCTGCTGATCAGGTGTGATTGAATGATCCGATCATGCAATCATATCAGATGCAGACAAACAACATAATTGCTTCTCCTTCCCTGCTGTCTGTGATTTTCACTGCTCTGGGCATGTCTCTTCTCAGATGCAAAAGGAGAGGAGACTTTGCTACCAGTGTTCCTTAGCAATCTGGAGTCTGGGAAGCTGCCCTGCAGAGTTTAGGCAAACTTATATTGAATGATGCACCTACATCACATGCCAGACCTTGGAGAATGGAGGGCTATAGTTATGGCTAAGAGTTCAAGCAACAGACTCTGTAGTTTATTCCATATGTTTTTCCTCCCTCACCGCAAATAGTGGTTGCTACTCACAAGTGTCCAAAAGCTAAAGGGAAGACAAATTATTTTGACGCTAGCTGCTGTCATTTTAATAACAGCCACGGCTGTTGTGCCAAAGGTTATGCCAAAGAAAATCAAATTCTGTGACCAGAATAGACATTGCAAATATTATGCATATCCTTAGTTTGCATACACTTATCCTGCTTCAAAAATCCAGGTTTTCAAAATGCTTGGAATTCTTTGGCAAAGGTTAAAGGATACTGAGAATATGTGGGCTGGGCGGGGGGCACAGAGCTGCCTCAGATTAGTAAATTCCTTTGTGGAAACACACATACAAAACCATTTCTGCAATAAATCTCAGTGGGAGGGCAGCAGGGGTGGCAGTTATTTATCCCAGCAAGTGGCCCCCCAACGCCTTGATCCCAGGAGAAAATAGTCTCTAGATACCATGGGGTTTGTCTTTAATCTGCACAAGGCTGCCTGGGCTAATATCTCCAAGCCAAAGGGAAGCCTGTCATAGCAAACTCTGCCTACACAAATTGTGTAAGCCAAACACAGCCCACCAGCAAAATCTATCACAGCCCGTCAAGAATTCAATACACTTCCTAGTTTGCTTCCTGCCTGGGATTGGCAAAGATGAAACAGTAAATTGTGAAGCACCTGGCAGCCCTAATCCAGCAGCTAGAAGAAGTGGCAAAAGGAAAGCATACAGATAAGGCTCCATCCATCTTTCCATTCCATCATACGGCAGTAATTTACTCCCCCGAGGGAGGGGCTGTAGCATGCAGAAGATCTCTGGTTCAATCATGAGCATCTCTAGATAAGGATAGGAGAGTCTCATATCTGAAACCATAGAGAGCTGCTGCCAATCAGTGCAGACAATACTGATCAAGATGGGCCAATGGTCTGGCTCTGTATAAGGCAGCTTCCTGGGCCCTGTGTTCCTGACCACAGTGAACTGCTCCTATTAACTTGAATGCAGCCTGGTTCAATATGAAAACTGGCCACAGGGTGAAGCTTGGCACATTCCTCCTCAAGCCACGTTTATTTACTTTCTTACAGTGTTTATATGCTGCCTTTCCTTTAAAAATAACCCACAATGCAATTTACAGTAAAGAAGGAGAGGCTAACATGTGGCCCTCCGAATGCTGGTGGACTCCCAACGCTCAAGGCCAATGGCCAGGGGAGTTGTAGTCAAACATTGTCCGGAGGGACAGAGTTTAGCCGTTCCTGCTGTAAATTATATTTGAAGCCTTGATTCTTGCACCCACTCTAGGAACAGAGACGTAATATATGAGGAGGGTTTTCCTAGTGGCGCAACAATACCTGCATAGTCCCTTCCAGCTATACAATTCTATGAGTCTATGTGCAGCACCAACACTGCCTTTGAGGCTGCCTCGTGTGCTATTTATGTGTTGGTTAGAGCAGTGTTTCCCAACCTTTTTTGGGCAAAGGCACACTTGTTTCATGAAAAAAATCTCGAGGCACACCACCATTACAGCCCCGTGACGTCAGCGCGCAGCGTCACGCCGGGAGGGACATGAATTGCTAGCAAATTACATAATCACCTCCTTGAGGGCTGGCTCATCTTCTCCGAAGGCAGAACCCCATTAATTAACAGCACAGACTCACACCATAGCCAAGACGAGGGGGGAAAACCTCAGTCATGCACAGTCATGCACATGTGGGGGCTAAATGAGGACGAAGACCGGGCAGAGAGCAGGGTTCAAATCACCCCACCTGGCCAGGACAATCCCTGGGTGCTCCCTTGGGCCACTCGCCTGACCCACCTCGCAGGGCTGTTGTTGCGAGGATAACACGGGGAGAACCACGCGCGCCCCCGGGAGCTCCTTGGAGGAGAAAGCAGGCGATGAATGCAATGCACGAAATATATGAGAGGCGACCAGGTTTTGCAGGTGAGGGGCCCCCGCCAGCCTCCGCTTCCAACACCGACGCCGAAGTTTCCCCCCGGGCTCGGCTCGGGGAGCAGCGCTGCTCCCCCCCCGGCTCCCCTTCGCCCTCCCGGCTCTCTCTGCTGCCCACTGGGGACCCCCCTCACCTGCCAAGTCCGGAGCGCCGGTGGAAGTTGCATGCATGCATGCAGGGCGCCGCGTTGCCATTGCATTGCACTGCACTCCATGCAACGCCTGCACACATCCATTGCCTTGCACGCCCGCCAAGGGGTCTCCCCGCGGTCCAATGCGTCCCCTCCGGCGCGGATGCAGCATTGCAAAAATAAAAAACCCCCGACGCAGCCCTACCTGGGGGGCAGCCTCCGCCGCTCTGCCTCCGCGGGGATCCCCGGGCTCCATCCTGCCGCCCGATCTCCGGGGGGCGCAGGCAGGCTGTGCGGGGTCTGCGCGGAAGAGCCCCTGCCCGCCCGGCCGCCGCCGCCGCGCTCATTCCATGGCCGGGAGAAGAGCGCTTCAAACAAAACGCCCGGCCCGCCAGGCCACGCTGGGAAACGTAGTTCGCGCACCCCGCGCGGGCGCGGAGCCCAAGGGCGAGGGGACTCAATTTCAAAATTGAGCCCACGCCCCAAGGTGGTGCAGATATTTTATATTCCATCTCAGGTATCCCCTAAACCTCAATTTAATGCCACAATCCTATACATGTTTTCTCAATAGGCAAACCCATTAAACTCAGTGGGGCTTATTCCTAACTCTTAAGAGTACAGGATTGTAGCCTAAGCCTCAGGTGTGAAAGCCAGGGAAAGGGGATAGCTAGGGGAGAAGCAAGCCAAAATAGGTCTTCCTTATGGAGTCGCTTCCCCCTTTGACGGCAGGATATTAACCTTCCTAAATGGGGTGTGTGTGGAGAAATGGACCCCTTCGAGGGCGGGAAAACTCTGGGAGCAGCCAAGACCCCTTTCGCCTGCCTCGCCCAGGAAGGGAGACAGCCAACTCCTCCCCATAACCATGTCTGCGCTGCTTCCCTCACGCCACCGCCTCCCCACCCCCCATGTCTGGGTGGGCTGAGGCTTCCCTCGCCTCCTCTAAAAAGACCCCCCCCCCGGACTTCCCTCACGGCCCCTCTTTAAACAAAAAGAAAGAGAAGCCTCAGGGCTCTGTCTGTAACCCTCGCCCACAGGATACGGAGCAGTTCCTGCCCGCTCCCCTCCCCCTCTGAAGAAAAATGGGGGGCGCGCACACACACAACTAGCAACGCCCCCGACCCAAATCCGCAGCGCCCACCCCCCACGTCTCTCCTGTTTCCTTTGCGCGCGCACCGCAGATATGCCTGCAGTCCCCCTCTCCGCTTTGTTTCCTGTCGCAGCCCCCCTCCTCACAGCATTCTTGCTTTCTCAAAAGTTTCCCTCAGGACCCCCCAAGGCTCCCCTATAACTCCCACTGTTTCCCTCGCCAGCGCCACACACACGAATTTATGTCTTTCTTTTTCCTGTCCTGTGGACAGAAAGAAGAAAAGAAACCCCCTCCTCTCCAGGGTCACACAACTCCCCACGACTCGACGGCGTCTGGGTTTTTTATTGGGCTGCCGCTTCCCTCAGCGAACCTCTTCTCTTCTCCCCCCCCCTTGGGTGCCACACGTTGGGTGCCTGTGGGGAGTGGGTCCTTTTTTGTAGGAATGAGGAGGGGTTTCTGAGGCAGATTGGTGAGGCCGGTCGTAATATCATGAGGGAGCAAAATACAAGGGTGCGAATTAGCCCCACACGGTGACCCCCATGACCCCAGCTGCGCCTGCCTTCTTCCCTCAGAAAGAGCCCCCACAGCAATCTGTGTGAAATGTCCCCAGAGAGAAGCACCCATCCCAAGTGTGCAAGTTTCCCACCCGCAGGGAGTCACATCTATTTCTCCACAAAGCTACATCATAATTCATTTTCTAAACAATAAGGCAAATCAAGTCTGCACACTCCCAGCTCTCCCAAACGGCACCATTCCCATGTTTCCGCCTAGCAATCTCGCAGATTTTCCAAAGATAATTATTATTATTATTACATGTAGACACAGCACACAAGAGTTGCTCGCTTACTTCAGTTCAAATCCCCATCCCAAGGGGAAATCCTCTTGCTCATGATCTCTGGTGTCGTTGGAGAGAAGCCAAATCAGCAAACACGCACACCCCCTTTCACCTTCAGAGAAGCTTCATCCAAAAATGTTATCTTTTTACGCACAAACTACGGCCAGGCGAACAAGCAAAAAAACAAAATTAAAATCAGAAAGTGGATGGATCCGCGCTGTAGGATCAGGCTTCTTCACATTGTTCCAGGGGGGTGGAAGGAAAAATCCTAGAGGACACAAACTCCAGAGAGCAAACCAATCTAGTAACCGCAAAACTCATTTCCAGGCAGATCTCATTTCCTTCCATGATAAGGGGAAAGAAAAAGAAAAGGGGGGAAAAAGAGAAAGAAAGAAAGAAAGAAAGAAAGAAAGAAAGAAAGAAAGAAAGAAAGAAAGAAAGAAAGAAAGAAAAGGGGGTGACAGATTGCTGGGTTAATGGAGCCAAATAGTTTTGCCTGGACTCTCAGGCAGTTCCTAAATCCTAACTTTCTCCAGTGGCTTTTTGCATTGTAATAAGAAGGTGCCTATGCTGATTCTGAGTCCGAGTTTAGCATAATTCATTGGGGCAGCTGTTGCAGCACTGCAGAGAGAGAAAAAACGGTTTTTAAAAGTCTTCCTGTTTAGAGAGACTAGCTGCCTTTTGTCTCCTGTTCTTACCCCCTTCAGTTGTGTGTGAAGAAGGCTCATCTGAACTGCTTGCCAAGATCCCTGCAGGACTCCGAAACCTCTCTCTCTTTCTCTCTCCTTTTACCCAGTTCTCCCCCAAAACTTTTTCACTGTTTCTTAGATTAATACAGTTGTGCAGAGCATAACTTGTCCGTCTTTTCACGCTCTGCGGGGGATCAAATACCACCCCTCAGATTTCTACAAGGTCCTAAAGAAAGCTGAATTAAATAGCAGAAACTACTAGGATCTGTAGCAGAAAGAGTGCTGCAAGACTCTTCGCTGTTTTTACTAGGATTTAAACAACAGATTCTTGGAAATGCATAATGCCTTGCGGTATATAAGTGATATGGAAAGTTTTGTATCTCAAGGTGCTAAAGGAACACACACAATATGGAATTCCTAGGAAGGCAAGATGTGAGGGCAATGGGGAGTGTGAGGACAAGCAAAAGAAGCTTTGGCCGGATCAGAATTTGGGCTTTATCAGATGTGTCAGTCTAGCTCAGTGTTGCCAATCAGAGGATTGGCAGCCACTCTGCAGGGTTGCACTGTACTGCAGTTTTCTTGGGGGTGCATGGGGTGTTAGGGGAGAGGTAGTACCTCTGGTGGGGGACATGTCGTGCTCTTTCTGGGGTAGACTGTCCACTTTTGGTCCCCACCCTGCACTCACTCTCACTTGTGGCTCCTAGAAGCTGTTAGCATGCGGCAGTGCCTGCACTCCAGGAATGGCTTTGACTGGCTGGCTAAACCAGATGAAGGTAGCCAATGGGTCTCAAACCCTCAGTGAGTTAGGGACTTCCTCTACGAATATATGAAGACAGGCTCAGGCGGATTGACTGAACGAGACCAATGGTGGATCCATCGGTTAATAAGGTGGTTTCTGCATGAGCTGTAGAGGGAAGTGAGGGGCAGATGGGGCTCGTCAACCTGGGAAGGTAGCCCATCTGGGAGGAGGAAGACTCTGATCCTAAACCTCCGCTGCTTTGTGGGATATCTTCAGAAGAAAAGACTAAGGAGTAAACCCTACACAAATCCGGAATGGAGTCCCTAAGAAGGTTGGCTGGCACCTTGAATGCTTCCTTCCGGCAATTTCTGTAGCCAAGCTGGTACCAAACATATTGCTCTGCTTTCCTTTGGACCACATCAGCCAGGCCAAGAGGAGTTGTTGTTTTTTTGTTATCTGGGCAGCCCAGGAGCTCCATACACACCGTCCAGACTTGTACCCCAGGGAGGTCACTTGGGTGCGGCTATTGCAGCAGTTTAACTTCACCCCTGGAGGCAAACTCCATTGTCTATCAAGAGAGATGGATGCCAACAACTCAGTTTTCTCAGTCCTATCTGATAGTTCTGGGAATTAAACCTAGGAGAACTCTCTGCGTACAAAGTGATTTTTCATACAGAGAAAAAGTAAGAGGTGACATACACAGAGGTGTATAAAATTATGCATGATGCAGAGAAAGTGTATAACGAAATGGGTTTATCCCTCTCTCATAATACTAGAACTCAGGAACATCCAAAGAAGCTGAATGTTGGAAGATTCAGGACAGACAAATGAAAGTACAGTGGTACCTCAGGTTACAAACACCTCGGGTTACAGACTCCAGTAACCCAGAAGTTGTACCTCGGGTTAAGAACTTTGTCCCAGGATGAGAACAGAAATCATGCACCGGTGGTGCGGCGGCAGCGGGAGGCCCCATTAGCTAAAGTGGTGCTTTGGGTTAAGAACGGTTTCAGGTTAAGAACGGACCTCCGGAACGAATTAAGTTCGTAACCAGTAGTACCACTCTGGTTAATTCATCGACTGCATAGTTAAAGAGGCAGTGGTGGCCACTGACTTTAATGACTTTAAAAGAGGATTAGTCTAGATCAGGGGTAGGCAACCTAAGGCCCATGGGCCACAAGCGGCCCATAGGGGTCGTTTAAGCGGTCCACAAGCCCCCCTCCAAACCGAGCCGCTTGCTCGGCAAGTCCCCGTGCGCTGCACTAAACCGATGCAGCACGGCGCAGGGACTTGCTTCTGTAGCGCCGAAAATCATGTCTGCGCAGACGCAGATGCTGGAAATCGCGTGCGCTCACACACATGTGCAATCCGGCCCACAGAGGGATCTCCATTGGAGTGAACTGGCCCAGGCGAGGTAAACCTTGCTGACCCCTGGTCTAGATGGAGGAGAAGGCTGCTAACCCTGATGGCTGCGTTCAGCTTCTCTGCTGGAGCCAGTATGCCTCTGAATACGTTGCTGGGAATCTCAAGCAGAGAAAGCATTGTTGCACTTTGGTACCCTCTTGTGTGTTTCCCATAGGCATCCAGTTGGCCATTGAGAGAACAGGAGGCTGGGCTAGATGGACCATGGGCCTGATCCTGGAGGGCAAATCTTATGCCAGGCACCCCCAACCTGCGTCCCTCCAGATGTTTTGGCCTACAACTCCCATGACCCCTAGCTAACAGGACCAGTGGTCAGGGATGATGGGAATTGTAGTCCAAAACATCTGGAGGGCTGAAGGTTGAGGATGCCTGTCTTATGTTCTTATGTCTGTCATGTTATTGCAGGGGAAGCCCAATTCACAGACGCAAATCCTCACTTGATGTTGCAAGAATCAAGTGAGGAAATCTACGTGTGAATCAACCCACACATTTCACACTAGGTGGGTGTACTAGGCTGGTTAATGGGGCAAGTAGGCTGCTCTGAGCAGAGCTTGCTGAAGAATCTACCAGTGGCCTCTTCTTCCTGCTTTATTTTGCAGGAGCCACAGAGAGGCTGGAGGGCCAGGAGGACAAGGCAGCCAAATTAGTCCCAGCTGTGCCTCATTCCAGGTCAGGAAGTCAGGAACACATATCCAAGCAGCGAGTCTGAATAACCGTGTCATGCAGTGGCTCATAGGTCCATGCCATAAATCAGCCCTGCAAATAAAATGTATGCCTTAGTGCAGTTAGCTGTGCATTAATCTGTAGCACCAATCTGATATAGCTGGCTGTCTACCCTAATTACTTACTTTAAAGGCTGGGCTTTAAAGGCTGGATATTGCTATTTCAGCCATCGATATAATAAAAGGGGTTTACTCCCATTTCACCAAATAGTAGGAAGTTTAAGGGGCAGCTCTGTAAAGGATCGGTTTCCTTGTGAGAGAACAGTCTCGATTACCTTTTTATGTAATGTTATATTTACAAAAATAGGAAATGAACATGAAGAAGCAGGCAACAGGCAAGGCCAGTACTGCTGGGTTTTAACCCATGTTGGTTTCCCCCAAATCAAATAACATGTCATTTGAAACCCTCCCACACCTACAAGGCTCTTTAGCATTTAACTGGGGGGGGGGCGGACAAAATGTGGTTTCTGCCTCCTTCACTAGCTTCTCTCCAACTGTTTCTGTCAAATTCCCACCAAAACAACTAGAGTGTGTTCAGTAGCAGGCTGCCACCAGCCATCAAAAGCCATCAGTGCTAATTTAAGGAAGCACCTTTCAGCCAACAGTGCTCACCGAAGAAAGATCTTTTAGCTATTGAATTACAAGAGTCTAGAGAAATTTTTATCCTCTCACTTGACAGCTATAACAACAGTATTAAGAGTAGTTCCCTCGCATCTGAAGTTTTGACTGAACAAACATTACCTCTGGCTAATCTGGCTTCTTTTTCATTTGGTGAATAAGCATTTAGACTCCCACAGCAAGCTTGAATTGCAGCTGGAACAAAATAAAAGAGGTTAAAAAAAATGGCATTTGATCCTGCCTTGTTTTGCTTTCAAGAGGCAAAAGGTTTTGGACAAAACCACTATTTATATTTACAAACAAAATAAACAACCTTATTAAGTTTTAAATGGAGAGAGGATAAAACTACTTCTGATTCCTGTTTTGTGGGGCCAAATCCAAGATGATTAGGAGTGCTATGGTCTTCTGCAGACAATAAAGGATCTTTTGTTCTTTCTAGGAAGTGGAGCCAGCCATGTTTTAAAGGCCTAAGCAGTCAGTCTCAAGCCCCTTCTTAAGCTGATCATAAACAATGGAGTGCCCAGCCATTCGAATTAACTTTCCTAGAGGATTAGCCCCCTGCACAGTGCAAGTCTATCCCATGTGATAAAAGCAAGAGGAGCTCGCTATCCAGAAACAGAGTCTCCAGGTTGCTCAGACTAGTGAGAAATCCTGACTGGGAGGCCTTCACAGAGTATCCTCTCACCTGCTCTGGTCTCCTGCTGTTAAGAATTTTTGTTACACGTGAATGTCTGAACCCTCAAGCGTGTCTACTCTGCCTAAGGACCCAGCAGAGACACCCACCTGGGAAATGAAACCTGTTGCTTGGAAACAGAATGTGCATTGTTTAAATGTGTGTGGTAAAATGGTAAAACCAGCACTTTGAATTGGGCCCGGAAACTATTGGCAGTCAGTGCAGTTGGGCCAGGATCGGGGTAACATGTTCTGTGTTGGCTGCTGAGGAAGAAAGAGCCCTTTCTCTATGACCAGCATGGACATGCAGAAGGCTAGCAGAGAAGGGATGGGTGGGTGATTCTTTCTCTCCTCAACCAGTCCACTTGGTAGAAGCAGTGGCATAGCATTGGTTGCTGGCGTCCAGGGCGGGTGGTATGTATCGGGCAGAGGGTGTCAGCCCAGCTAATGCTGCCAGAGTGATCCCACCCCCACCGGAGCAAAGCGGAGCTGCAATGAGCTGCCTGGCTGGCCAGTGTGGCCCTTAGCAGGTGGAGAAGAGCACTAGGCCAGGCCATGCTGGGGGCACTTGCTTCGCACCCGCTTGAAAATTGTGCGCCTGGAGCCACAAGCCCCTGGCACCCCACACGCTATGTCCCTGGGTAGAAATGTTTTTTCCTAGCCAGTCGAGAGGTTATAAATACCTGCATTTCTATGCAGGCTTCAGATGACAACCAACATGGAAATTCAAGCTTCTAGCCTCATGGCATGCGTGCACATGCACATGCACACCCACATACATGCACACACACTTGAAGGCTTCTAGCTTTTGTGGACTTACTTGATCAATGCATTGAATGTGTTAGAAAACTCATTATGGACTCCTGGACACCACCGTTCCTCTTCATCATCATCATCAACCTTTTTATTCGACCGTCAGTCAGAAAAAGGTACATTTGTCAATACAAATTCTATTTTTGTACTTATTGCAAAAACGGAAAGTTGTCTCAATACACAAATCTTCCTCACTGGATTTTGGATAATACGTTTGGTACCTCTAATT